TGAAAAAGTATCACGATACTAACTTTTTCATATCAGCCAATACCTTATATTAAAAAAAAAAATTATTTCAACACTTAAATTTTACCACAATACTCCCTTTTCATCAGATACGATGTGATCAACTTTCGGGAGAATTTATTGCCAGTGAAATTGTTCGAAGATCAGTAGGTAAATTCATGTTTAATGAACTGCACAAAAGAATACTGACATCTCTGAAGAATGCGTCATTGCATTGATAACAGGGAGATTTTTTATCACTAATATTTATCTTTCGTATTGTACAGTGGGGGTTCAAATATCTATAAACATGTTGAGTAATACTTAATAGGAAACAAAGAAGTATGATTACTTTAACCATGCATTACACATTAAAAAGCCAACTTTGATGATACTGTGTATCTATCTATATAATGCACATAATGTATTTAAAAAAAAAAAAATTAAATTTTGAAGACCGGCGTGGTGTAAGCAACCTCAAAAATCATTTAAAAATAAAATAGCTTTTGTTTTAATTGCCAGCATATTGTACAGTGCACAAAATAATATTGAATCCCATGATTTTTTTTTTTTTTGGTATGATTAACAGATCAATTTTTTTTAAATTGTACATTTGGTTTTATGTAGTGGCCATAATATTTCAGTCTGAATTTTGAAATTTTCAGACAATTACACTTCCAGTAGTTCCCTTAAAAAAAATATTTCTAATTCTAAAAATCTTTTTCAAAATTATGTCCCTCTCTCTCTGGTGGCGATAATACAATTGTTTATTATCACTTCATGGTTTTTTTACTTTTTCACTGACATTGACAAATTTCACAATTGTGTTTTCTATGTTTTGATTATATATTTTTGTGTAAACTTTCATCTCTGGCAACAAATATTAGGATACTGAATGATTATTCTGGTCTGAACCACTACCAAAAATTCCACATTTAGCTCTCGATCCTCCCTAATACGTTAAAAACAAAATCTATGGGAGTCCGATTGGAAGGTCAAGCAGGCAAAAACGATGCATGTACTTCATAATCAAATGCTAGCTGTCCAAAGTGAATAAATTTGGTTCTGAATTTCGACCAGCACAAAACACAAATGCACTGTGTTGCATGCCTAATTGGGACTGAAATTTGTTTCAACAGTAACGAAACAATTTAATGAGTTGATAATAAATTTATTTATTTTTAAATAAATTAAATGGATATGAAATTTATAGCTAAATCCCTTCAGGAAAGCATTTGATACTATCTGACATGATGTTCTCTTGTCAAGGCTACACAATCAGTGGAAAAATAATCCAGGAGATCCAAGTCATTGTACTCTTCAGCAAATTTCTAACTGAAAGTAAAGAACAAAGTAATTAACAAGGACGAACCTACAACCCAAGGCATATTGCAAGGGGAATCACTGCCTCCCCTATTATTTCATTTCCTTTTTGAAATCTCACATTGTAGGGGTCAAGTTTGACAAAGTGTGTGCCTTCTGTTCACAATGATGTGTTTGCTGATTCATTTATTGAAGTACAGTGCATGCTTATTGTGCTGTCTGAACACTGTACCATAAACAGCCTAAATCAAAAACTAAGATAATGGTGTTCAGAATTTCACCCAGAGATAAATATTTGAGAACATTGTGGGCACTTTGCCCTAGACACGAAAAATGTTCTTACGAAAGGCAAGAAAGATTTGGGAAAAAACAAAGGAATTGCATTCAAGGAACATGCAAATTATTAAAAACTAAAGTTGAGCTCTTCAGCTGGGTTTCCATTGCACAAAAAAATCACTCACCCAACTAAACACGAGAATCACTAGAAACACAGTCTCTGGTTAAGCATTTCCTTGAGGCGAAACATTTCACAGCCTAGAGGTGTAAAACAAGCCATCAGTTTGCGCAAGACAAGCATGCCGTTTATAACTACACCAATTGTCGCACCGTTGTTTGCTATCATGGCAATACTTCTTTTTTTATTTTATTTATTTTTGGTTTTTGTCCCATTTTGATGCTCATTTCCATTCATACATTCTCTCTCTAGTTCTTGTTATGATGATATTTAGCATCCTACAAAAATCAGTAGCGGTGATATGTTCGGATAAGTCTAATGCAGCCCTCATGGTTCATTCTAATACTTGAGATAAGTGCATTTACATAGAGAGAAACAACACAAAACACTTTGATGCACACTAAAAAAACCGACAGCCATTCGCCTCACCCTGAAAGTTTCGCAGTTCCAGCTAGGTATCCAAAATGCGAGACGAGTTTCACGAAACAGTTGCACGAGTGATTTCCATGCAATGGAAACCCAACTTTTGATTCTATTGTAGTGATCACCTTCTGCTGTGGGCATTGAGTTGTCTAGAAAAATCAACAAACTTTTAATGCGCTTCTTTAAACAATTACATCACCATCAGAATTGAATTTGGATTAACTCCACCAAGCACCCAAATAGTAACAAGGACCCCTGACTGGTGGGAGAAAATATTAAAATGTAATAGAAATACTCTTCTGAGACGCTCTTTTGAATATTCTCTAAAAAGCACAAATTCCTGCCGGTCCATCAGTGGTAATTGGTTCGACAACCTGAATAACTGTCTGCTCTTCAGCGTGTAAATCCTTCTACTACTATACAAATTCAAAATTCCTTTTAAGTAGGAAAGACGATATAGTTGAGAGGTGGAAGAACAATATATACTCAAAAGACATCGATGCTTTAACTCCTGATTTAACCCTGGCTTCTGTTATCTAGCTGTTGTACAATATTTATTTTTTTAGTTTAGCCATTAAGAAAATAAGGTTCCTGGTTCAGTTAAGACCAGCTAATTTAGAAACATTAAAAATATTCTACAATGGAAGTTATTATAAAATCAATACAAATAACATTTGTTTAGTTTGTATTATAAATCAATACAAATGACATTTGTTTAGTCTGTAACATGCATGTTAAAGAAACCGTATTATATTTATTTAGAAATCGTGAGATGCGGTCTGGTGTGATGTAGTTTTCAGAAAAACATTTTCTTTATCGTGCTTGCGTTTCGATCTTTATTGAGATCATCTTCAGGGCCTGGGATTTACAAACATTGTTTACATATAACAATTACATTTTGGATGTGGAAAAGTGAATTTATACAATGCAAAATATATTTTTTATATATTCAATCAAAGTATTTCTAATGTTTAAACTGTCCGGCAACTTACATCAGTCTTACATCCCAATATCTGGACAAGAGAGTAAAGCAACATATCTATGATTGCAAAAAACCCAAGCAAAATCCTACAGCACTCGCGACCCACTATTTTGAACACCAACACAATTTCGACTCCAAAAATATTACATACAGAACAAAACAAATATAAATGTAATTTCTTAGAAATGATTTATATCAACCGAGATAAACACAGCATCAATTACAGAACAGATACATGTAAACTCAGATAACATACCTACATCATCACATTACATTCCACACATCAAATATTTTTCACATAGTCTAATTTCCCACTTTTCCAAAATGTAATTGTTATATGTAAACAATGTTTGTAAATCCCAGGCCCTGAAGATGATCTTAATAAAGATTGAAACGTTGGCACGATAAAGAAAATGTTTTTCTGAAACCTACATCACACCAGACCGCATCTCACGATTTCTAAATAAATATCGATTAATGGTCACTAATCACCACACAAACCATATTATTATTTTTGCACCTTATTATTTTTGATTGTCCAATATACAGTCCTCTAAGAAGCTGTTTCATTTGTAAATGTGCGCAGTTTAATTATAAAACTGAGGGGGGTATCAGTGGCCACAATGGTTTAGGCGTAGTCATGGCGCTCATCACTGTAAAGTAAACATCCTAGGTTCGAATGCAGGGCCTTATATGACATATTTACAAATGGGCTTTTTTCAAAAACACTAGTACCCCGAGAGTCGAAATAACGTCATAGTTGAAATACCCTCATTAAAAATAAATATTTGGAGATCATGAGATGCAGTCGTCTGGTATGACATAGGTTTGAGAAAAACATTTTCTTTATCGTGCCAACGTTTCGATCTTTATTGAGATCATCTTCAGGGCTCAAACACACGACACAGAAGAATGACACATCTACACGGAAAACAAACACTTTGAGCCCTGAAGATGATCTCAATAAAGATCAAAACGTTGGCTTGATAAAGAAAATGTTTTTCAAAAACCTACGTCACACCAGACCGCATCTCACGATCTCCAAATAATCATTAACTAACGGTCACTAAACACCACACAATAATAATAATAAAACTATAGAGAATATACTATGCTTTGATGAAAACTAACAAAGAGCCAATGATTTATTATATTTTTCCAGTGGTTTTAAGGTTGAGAACCTTTGCATTATCAGAACGAAGTTGTTATTATTGCTGGAGTAACTGAACAGATACGTGTAGTTATTGGTAGTATTTAAAAGTAGTAATTACATATCTGTTTAAATCCAATTTATTTTGTTTGGTTGCACTTATTTATATATTTTTGTTTTTTAAAATGTTAAAAAGATCTTGAATTCAAATTATGTTTTAAATTGTAATGATAAGTGCCTGACATCACCCCTCTTGTACTACAATAAACAAATTCTGTTCTGTTCTGTCTAAATTCTATTAGCGGTCATAAAATCGTTTTTGACTCTTGGTTCGTTTTCCACTACCTTTCTTGAAGATTATCATCAGACAATTTAACCAGTCGGCCACCGTGGTCCCTTCTCTTTTATAACAATTTTATTTGAAATTCTACATTCACTTTTACCATTTACCTTCATTTATATATTATATTTCACTTTTATTAATGGCATAGATGTTTAATTAATTATACTTGAATATTTCAATATGACTTAGCTTTTGAAATAGCCTAAGCCAGTATACTACTTACTATTTATAATTGAAAGAGAAAAAAATATAATTGTTAAGATATGTTGATTGTTTTGTTTTAACTTTTTTTTTAAATTTGTAATGATTTGTATTGTTTGATTTCCAGGTTCCAAAAGCAAATAGAAAATACATTTTAACTCAGGGTCCCTTACAACGAACCGTTGGCCATTTTTGGCTTATGGTATGGGAGCAAAAAAGTCGTGGGATTGTTATGTTAAATAGAATATTAGAAAATAATCAGGTTTGTTGTTAGTATTGTGTTAATTGTTACCCAGTAGATAATGATTTTTTTTAAATGTATTTTTTTTTAATCCTTGAAAAGAAAAAATGCCACCTTTATTGGCCCAGAGGTGAGAAGGCTCACGGAGAAAATGTACTAACATTAACAGATGTCGGTCTTTCGGTAACATTCGTCTCGTTTGATGATAAAAATGCTTATCCTAAAACTATACTGAGGTGAGTATGTTACAAAAAAAACAAGAATATACCTTTTGTAAACAATTTTTTTTTTTTATTAGGCTCACTGACTTAGAGTCAGGGGAAAGTAGGGAGGTCATACATTTTCAGTACACCATGTGGCCTGACTTTGGTGTTCCCGAAAGTGCACGATGCTTCGTACGGTTCTTGTGCCTTGTCAGGAGGAGCGGAATCCTAGAAGAGGATAGTGGAGGTCCGCCTGTTGTCCATTGTTCAGCCGGGATCGGAAGGTCGGGCACCTTCTGCCTCGTTGACTCGTGTCTCATTCTCGTAAGCCTGCATTAAGATCGAATATTTTGAACTTTTTTTAACTTAAACTTTTCAATTTGTTCCTAGATGAAAAAATTGGGCCAGAAAGATGTAAACATTAAAGAACTTCTACTGGAGATGAGATCAGATAGAATGGGCCTGATTCAGACCCCGGGGCAACTTCGATTCTCTTACTTAGCTGTAATCGAAGAACTGACAATGGATTGGGAATCACAGAAAGAAGTTAGGCCTTTTTATGTACAATGTTATCATGTTCTTTTTTATTTTATTTTGAGATGAATCTATTTATTAAAATCAACTTGTGTATTTTTTATTTATTTTCATTTTTGTTGGTTGTTTATTATTTGAGATATTAAATCATTCTCTTTGTGCAACCTAACTCTACCTCAATGGGTTGTTTATTGATTAAGGAAACAAAAACACATAAAAACACATTAGTAGATGTTTCTATTATTTGTATAATTTAGAATGCTTTTAGTAATTTAATGTTTCCAAGCGTTTTATGCATTGTATTTTATTTTACTTTTAATGTTCATCATTAGTTTGAATGTCTACCTGAAGAGGAGTCTGCATGGAAGAACACAATATCGGAGTCTGACTCAGAATCAGATGATGAACCGCCTCCTTTGCCACCGCCGCGAAGTGACAGCAAAAGAGAAATACCTCCATCACCACCTCATGACTTACCTTTACCTCCAGACAGGCCACTCCCGAGTGAACCACCAACGCCTGAGACGCCCACACCTGAAAACGAACTTTCCAACAACGATGCTTCAATGCATTATAATGATTTGTATGTTTCTTCATTTAGACTTCGTCCTTGAGCTGTAGCAATAAATTTCTTCTGTTCCAGGGGCGAGGGTCTCAGGGAGAGAAAGAGGGTTGAAGCGAACAAGAAGACATCTGATATTATATCGGAAATGAAAAGGAAGCAGGAAGCGGCCGAGAGTTGGCAGAGAGTTAAGAGGTCTTTATTGAAACCCTTCAACCTTGGTCTTGGTGCTTGCCTCATTGGAGGCAGTGTCATTGCCATTTATTTGTACATTAGTCGAGAATCATAATGCTCATAAATGAAAAGTCAATATGAAAGAAATCATGTAAATACATTAATAATAATGGACTTTTTCAGCCCTTGATTATACACACATAATACATACACAAACAAACAACAACCACAACGGTGTGCCTGTGTAAACACACAAACAAACGTACATGTACATAATAACCTTTTCCTCTTTTAATATCTGAATGATTTATTTTCAAAGAAAAAGGAGGTGTTTACATTTTCACGTTTGATACAAATTTCTTTAGTATGTAGAATCGTCATGGTATTGATGAAAACTTTTGAAGTAAGTACCATAAAGTTATTGTTTCTATATATTTCAAAAGGAAAATTTTCTCGACGAGTCTCTTGTTGGAAAATATCAATGTTTGTCTGTGCCATATCATTTTTTGTTATCCCTTGTTTCCGTTTTTCCCCTTTTTCATGAGAAAAAAGTGTATTTACTATGGAAGTGTACAGTATTAATTTAATTGTTATTGCTATTAAAAAACTCCAACAACCAAATTTTTCTATTTACTAATTATATTGCTCAAAACATCTTGTTTTGACAAAAAGAGTCGCGAAAATGTCAGTCAAAGTAAAGAGCTTATTTTAAATCCAAGTGACCAATCACATAATAATATTCTTTTTAAAAAAAAATGGGAATGGATTATGTTTCCAATCTATTTCTACTGAAATTAAACTAAAAAAATTATATATTTGCATTTGTCTTTATTTCCTAGTGTCTTCTTTTTGTTCTAAAACAAAGTGTTCAAAGAATTTTATGGATTCGTCCAGTTTTTATCTCAATTTAGACTTTCTGTGATGGATATTTTTTTATATTTTACAATTTGTAGATTTTTTATATAATAACAAAATGAAATAATATATTATGTATAAGTAAATTTTTTGTCATATGTACTTGTAAAATACACAATACAGAAGCTCGATGGTAAACAATCAATTTTCTTTTTCTTTTTTAAATATATAAGCCTAGTACTGAATGTAAGGCTTAAGGCAGGATTATTTAGAGGATGACTGCAAGACAAATTATGTTTTTATACATGGATTTAAAAAATCCTACTGTCTTGATTAAAGTTAAATGGAGGATTTCCACATTTTTTAGTTTAAAAAAGCCTGTATTTTATTACTTTATCATGGCATCCTCTAATTTTTTAATTGTTTTATTGTCAAAAACGTTCATATGTGGGCCTAAGAAACATTGTATAAAAGGCAACAACGCTTCTCAAAGTGACACAAATTGCGATATTTGATACGCTTGTAAATTATAAACCGACTGCGGTTAAATAATTAATTATCATCTGCGAATAAGGGAGGGTGAGAGGCTGTAGTAAAATGTTTTGCCATTTCTTTTATACCGAGTTGAGTGGGTGCGATAATGAATAGAAACATGGTTTACTAATTGTCTAGGTGTGAAAACATATTCCAAACAAACATTTTCACTTTATTTTTTTTGTTAAACAATAAACTCGCTGTGCAATAAATTCTTAGGCTATTTAATGTGTCATTTATCACTTGATGAATTTCTATTGAATTTTTAATATTAATGTACATTGAATGGACAACTTAGACTGAAATGTGTGGTTATGGTGGTATTTTGCTGATGTTAGAGCAATTGAAAGTAACGCATGTTAACGTATCTTGTATGGAACAGTCCTATCCTTTTGGTAAAACAAAAATAAATATGTATTTTTTTAAGAAAAAAATTAGCTAGGTTAAGGGAATGAGATGGATCTTCAAAAATTACTTTTTATTCATTATAGAAGGCACACCATTCAGTGAATGTATTTGTTATAAGTTGTAGTCTTCACAATGAACATTTTGGAATTGAAATTAAATTTTCAAAGAATTTATCGCAGTGTGCTGTGGAAAAATAATCAAAACCTGCATATTTTTATTATCCTTTTTGTGTTTTAGATTAATAGAAATGTGAAATACCTGAAATTGTGATATTTTTTAATGAATATCATTATGAAAACTGGGTCAATTTTGTTGGGTTACTGTAAAAATGCAGCTGTCGAGGATATTTTATGTAACACTTAATATTACTGCTAATAATGATAATAATATTACTACCAATATTATTATTATTATTTAATTGATAACAATAATAATGACACTGTCATGCGTATATAAAATATTTGAAACAACTTTCTATAAAAATAATCTAAATTAGTTTTGTACTACTCTCAGTTTGTATACAATATTATTGTGAACAACCTTTATTGATATTTTACACAGTTAATATATGTGTCAAGTGTAAATTGCCTGTGTATTAATTTGATTGCAAAATATTAACACAACACCCGAGCCAACATCCCTTGAAATTTAAGATATTAATTTTGCCATCTTTTTATCAAAGAAAATAAAGAAATTTTGGTCTTGTTTCGCTTTCAGAAAACACACCGAAGACTCAGATGAAGGTGAGAACCCTCCGACAAAGAAAAGTTGATTTTCTCCCAGGAGCCCACAATTCACATCAAACGTTTTCCTTGAAATACTTTTGTGTTTATAATTTGATTTTCTTGACCTGTTAATACAATAGATGTGATATTAAATTTTCAATTTTTAAATATTAAGTTATTTTTTATCAGTTTATGAAATTGTTTGAACTACATTTTCTACTTTTTCTCCCCCCTGCTAATTGTAGAAAATATTTTCAACAATAAACACTTGTGTAATTATTAAAATTTTAATTTCTTACAAATTTCCTATAAATAAATATTACATAATACAATTATTTTCTCACTCGACTCACATTTTAAACTTTTTTTAGTTTACTTTACATTACTTTTTGAGTATTCCCAATTCAGAACTTCTGTGTTTCAGACAATTTCAGTTTTGGGTTGTTAAATTTAATTTTAACTGTTAATAAATGACGGACATCTGTTTAGCAAATTTTGTCAATAGTTTATTAGTTTTGATTCTAAGACTAAATTTATGGGAAAATGAAAGCAATAAAAAATATGTAATAAACTTGATAATGAGTAAAAAATCTATTTAAATTTACTTGAAAAAAATCTACACAATCTAATTTTATAAAAACAAATTTCTTAAAGTAAAAATAAAAAGGTAAAACTATTAATGTGGTATAATGAGTTAACCTATATTTCCAGATAGACTGACAGTGTACTTGTACACTTTAAAAAATGGTGGTGGTTTAATAATTATAAACTTTTTATTTTCCTAATTGTATATTTTCAGTTTTTCTTCTTTGACTGATTAATTTTATGTTATCCTTAAAAGCCATGCATTACAGAGAGTATTTTATTAGGCTAAAGTATCGTGAAGAAATATTGCATGCTGAAAAGGGGGCTGGCTGCCTCAAAATATATAGCTTTATTTATTTGGTACTTTTATGTAATATGGATAATGTGATGGTTACCAAATGGGTGAAAAATGTTCTAAGGCAGTCCTAAACATTGCACAGAAAATAATTTTTATAGTTGAGATGAAGGATTTACATTTTCTAAAAAGGAAGCTGTTTTATAAGGCGGAAGAAATATAAATGCGATGAAAATTTAAATTCAAGGACAAAGATAATTAACCAGATTGTTAATCCCATTGACTAATTCTAACGCTGGTTTCAAAGACTGCATTGATCAATTAATGGTGAGGAAAATGACGATGTAGTAGTTCCAATTTGGTACAGTTGTACTATAGCCGCATTTAACAAGGACTGGAATCTTGGGTAACTAAAGAACATAATAAATATTGGGAGTGCAAACCAGGTATGAGACAATCAAAATACTACTTGAAAAAACAACCAAATGGGAAAGAAAATAAAAACTGGTGTGTTTACAGGAACTGCTCCAGTAAAATGCCAGCTTAAAAACATTGGACTATCACAGATGACCAATGTCAATTATGTCCAGGAGAGAAAAATAACATGCCCTATGCAACTACCCCACAATGGCTAGGAAAACGCTATGGAAACAGAAAGTCGTTCTTGAGCTACACAGATCCAGACTTCCAAGAAGAGAGAATTCTCTACCTCATAAAAATATCAATGTTAATTAATTGTTAAAAAACCATTTTAATTTTTTTTAACTTATTTAAGAAATCGAAAAACTATTGCAATAAAGTGTAGTTTATGTTAAAAATATATTTTTTTCTAGGTTTAGTAATTTTTGAGAAATTGAAAAAAAAGGGAGGGAACTAATAAATTGAAACCCTGTATATTTAATGTTTTTATGAACCAATTTCCAAATGGTTTTCACCATTTTTCTAAATATCCAATTGACTTGAATCCGCAATTGAAAGTGTGGGTTATCATTCGAAAAAAATTCCATTTTTTAACGTTTTAAGAAATTGAAAAATTATTTATTGCAACATTTGAAAATATTGTGCTAAAAAGATATTTTTTTTGTTGTAGGTTGAGTTTTTGAAAAACCTAAGGTGACACTAGTAAGTTGAAATCCTGTATGTCTAACGTTTTTATGAACCGATTTTCAAATGGTTTTCACAATTTTTCATAAAATTTAATTGTTTTAATTAATCTGCAATTGAAAGTGTAGATTACCATTTCAAAAAATACCATTTTTTAACTTTTTTTTAAAGAAATTGAAAAAACTAATTATTGCAGTTTGAAATTATCATTTATGCTAAAAAGATATATTTTTTCTTGGTTGAGTAATTTTTGAGAAATTAAAAAAAAGGGGGGAGGACTAGTAAATTGAAATCCTCTACATCTAATGTTTTTAAGAATCGATTTTAAATGGTTTTTGCCATTTTTCATAAAATCCAATGGACTTGATGAATCCACAAATGACAATGTATGTTACGATTTGCAAAAGAAAAAAATTAACTCTTTTATGAAATTGAAAAAACCGTATTTATCCAAATTTTGAAAGTAGTGTTTATCCTAAAAAGATATTTTTCTCTAAGTTGAGTAGTTTTTGAGAAATTGAAAAAAAAGGGGGGAACTAGTAAATTAAAATCCTGTATATTTAATGTTTTTAAGAACCGATTTTCAAATGGTTTTCGCATTTTTCATAAAATCCAACTGACTTGATGAATCCACATATGTGTTATGATTTGCAAAAGAAAAAAATTAATTTTTTTAAGAAATTGACAAAACCGTTACCTACTTGAAGGTAGTTGTAATATACTACAAATTTAAAAACAAAAGTAATGTTTATGCTAAAAAAGATATTTTTCTAGACTGTAGTTTTTGAGAAATTGAATAAAAAGGGGAGGGCTAATAAATTGAAACCCTGTATCTAATGTTTTTATGAACCGATTTTCAAATGGTTTTCGCCGTTTTTCAAAATATCCAATTGACTTAATGAATCCGTAAATGAAAATGTATACGATTTGAAAAAAAAAAACCTTTGACTTTTTTTTTAAGAAATTGAAAAAACAGTTATTATTCCAATTTTGAAAGTAGTTTATGGCTAAAAAAATAGTGTTTAAATATTTTTTCTAGGATTAAGATTTTGAACAATAGGGGGACACCTGTAAGTTGACACCCTGTATATAATATATTATTATATAGACCCACTATCATACAGTTTGGTGTAAAATTGCTGTTTACAGATAGGAATATATTTTTCTTTTAAAAATAAAAAATATAGTCCATAGTAAAAATTGATATTTTCAAAATATCATATACTGTGAAAAATGTAAGAGCTTAAATCACCCTCTTGTGTCAAAAATTATGGAGTTCCACAAAATTGACACTTACACACTACAGAGGATCAGGAAGTTATTATTTATCGGCTAATTTTAACAGACGCGAACAGCGCGAAAAATTCCGCAGATGTCAGCAAACTCCCTTTGAAGCTGGAAGTGAGAGTGGGGGGGGCTCTGATTTCTGGAGACGACGGGCCCGGGCTTCTCCAGAAAAGAGCCGGTGAGCCAGTGAGGCACCAACAACGAGAGGTCGAGGGAACGGCGACGCCGATCCGAATAATTGAGATGGTACCATTCCTGGTGATGGTACTGGGCATGTCCGCTGTCAGGACTGCGGCCGAAGTCCTGGCACCGCCCTACTTCAACATCGCTGCGAACAAGAGAGTCGACGCTTCCTACACCTGTGGGGAGGACATCGACGAACCGGAGCTCTACTGCAAATTGGTCGGTGCAGTACAAGACTCACATGACAAAGACAAGTCAGTCATCGCAGGACAGGTAAAAATACAATTAACCAAGATTGGAGCATTTTACTTAAGTCGTGATTTATTTAAAGGATTAAATACTTTCGTTTTGAAGTTTTTCTTCATGAAGAGAAAAATGTGCTTACAGCACCATATTTCCTTACTTTTACATTCTTTACCTTATTTTTTAAAAAGGAAGCACTCAGTAGTGTCTAATTTCAATAAAAAAAATTCAAATCTATCCAAAGCGTTCAACTTTCTGCAGTTGTCAAAAAATTTCTATAATCTATCTGCTACTGAACGACCTGTTCTGATTCGGTTAATTTTACAGGTTCCATTAAATTTGGTAACGCTTGTACAGTATTGCAAGTTCATACTAAGTATCGTGCTTTTTGAGTGATTGATTATTATTTTGGGCAAAGGAAAAAGAATTTGCAAACCATATATTAGTAATCGTAAAATTTCTTCCTGTGGTCGCTAGCCTGATGGGTGATGAATTTTTGGTCGTTTCCGTTCATCCTGTGTCAGACGAGTTTCAGCTTTGCACCATCATCAATGGAGGTTTTGTGTGATTTTCGTTTGTTCGGGTTCCTTTTTGTGTGTTCAGACATAATGTTTCGGTGTTTGACAACTCACAAACCACTGATGATGGGTGCTGAACTTGTAGCTCGATCATTTCCGTCCGTTTGGCCTATAAGACGTGTTTCTGCTTTTTGCCATCATCAGTGGCAGTATTGGGTGATTTTTGATTTCGTTTAGACAGTTGTATTTTCAATTTTACAAACACATCTGACAGATCAAATGAATGAAAATGACCGAGCTAGTTCATCACGTATCATCAGTGGTATTTTGAGTGTTTTTCCTTTAGACCGCTTCATTTTTGTGCGTTCGTACATGATGTTTCGGTGTTTGAGAACACAAAACCATTGATGACGGTGTAAATGAGTATGGGTGATGAACTAGCTTGGTCGTTTCCGTTCATTTGTCTGTCAGACGCCTTTCGGATTTTTGCCATCGACATGGTAGTTTTGGACAATTTTTCGTTTAGACAGGTGTATTTTTGTCCTCAGGATGACTCTGACAGACCGAATGAACGGAAACTACCAGCCTAGTTCATCACCATCATTGTTTCGGCTTTACGCCTTCATCAGTGGTTTGTCAACCAGAAGTTAAGGAATCTTTTATAAAGTGATTACAAAAGTGCTCATACCTGGCCAAGAACAATAGAACATAACATCGAAACATCTTATCCGAACAAGAATGGACCCGATTAAATTAAAATTACCCAAAACTCACTGATGATTGCGAAAAGTGCCTGACAAAAACAACGTGTTTATCAGAGGAAATGACGAATGTAATTCCGAGTCAGTCCTTTTCCGACTCGAAAGGATACTGGTTGCTTTGAAACTAATCTATAGTTTATAAATGCAAAGTTGTTTTAAAATTAAGTAGTTATCAGTATCAGCAAGCATCAGCAGTACCTGCAAGCAGCAAGAAGCATCCACCTGATTACGACATATGCGATTTTATGCCATTGAGTATTGAGGTCAACGAGGTGATGGACGTGAAGTTTGATCATCCCGGTCAGATACCCTTCGTTTAAACTACGATTATTGGGTGTATTTTTGTTCAAAGTAGTTTATAATTTTAGAACTATGCTATTTAACTGCATACACTAATTATAGTAAAGTGATTTCTGTCAGAAGGACTTAACGTCCCATTCGTTGGGTGACGTGGTGAGGGGTCAAACTACTTAAAAATAACTTTTTTCATACTCTTCTCAATTAAAAATTCATTGGCTAGGCCTGGATTCGAACCCAAAACCTCTAGTATGACAATTACGAGAAGAAAGCCTTACCAACTCGGAATCGCGGATTGTATTATCCATCCTAGCAGTTTTGGTGCTCGGCTTCTCGATATCTTCAGTGGTAGGATTTGTGTGATTTCTCTCTAGATTGGTCTCTTTTAAGTCCACACACAATGGATATAATTTGTACTTAAGACAGCATAAGAAAAACAAAAGGCTTGAGTGTTGGATACTAAGCGGACTTCATATTTTTTCTCTTCCATCTTTACTCTTTTAATTAACTTTTTCAGTTTTCTCCTTTGCCTATTTTCTTCGTCTTCAAATTGGGAAGTTAAATGGACAATAAAGCAAACCTTACGATGCAACTTTAATTACCGAGACCATTCCGTTTGTACAAATAGAAGACGTGTTTAATTTCAGTGGCGAAATAAATTTGTTAGACCGTAAAAGCATTTTCAAAGGGCGGGATGTTCACGTGTAGAACAGATGTCCTTTAATAATAACAAATAACCAGTTTCTGGAAATGGTGTTTTCTCCTTGTCAAATTAGCTGGCAGGTCAAACTCTCAGGCCTACCCTCTTTGAAAACGGTCATGGGCCCCTTTATTTGAGGTAAACCCCCTATTCAAGTCTTTTCTATTTGGTACTCGATCGGGAGATGATCCGCATCCTCCCAGTAAGCAGAAATAGACAAAAACTGGGTAGTTTTCGAGTTCAACTATTTTTGAAAATATAGTCCTACTGGTACGAACTGCATGACTGAGTCTGAGCTGCACTATCCGAATAGCTAAATTAATGAAACAATGAACAAGCAAGCAGTAAAACGTGCGCGCGCGCGCTGTGTGTGTGTGTGTGTACGCATTGAAAATTAAGTTAGCTGTTTTGAAAAATCAGGACAAGATTATTATGCAGTTTGGGCTTATGATGGGTTTATGATTTGCTGTATAGTTTATAGTTTGCTTATGACTTGTTTTGATCTGTCAGAAGTATTTCCGCTTCTCGCCATCTTCAGTTTTTAATAATAATTTTGGTTAAAACACACCGCTGAAAGAAAAAGGAAAGAAATGTTGGTAAAGGACCAAACTAAAGGTTACCTTACAGACCTAACATTTGATGTGTGAAAGTGCAGTAAAAATCAGTACTATAGTTTGGTGTGAACAAGGCCACAAAAATGAACATTAAAATTCGACTGGAAACTACAAAAAAAACTATATTGTGCGATAGTTACCTATCGTCTAGGTCCGCCAACCCTCGCTGATTTTTGTTGGTTCAGACGCATTTCGGCATTTAACCATCTTCAGCGTTTGGGTGATTTTTGTGAAATGATCCGTCAAAAATTACTCCAAAATTGCGAAATGCCAACACGCGTCTGAACCAACAGAAATCAGCGAGGGTAGGCAGACCAAAATGATAGGTGACTATCAAGCAGACCTCAAGAGGAAAGCTCACAAAAAAACTATGTGCTGCAAGCTAACAAATTTTCCCTCAGTTTGGATTATGTGGGCTCAACTGTACAGCTGTTTTATAGCTAGGCATGAAATTGTATTAATATTCTACAATTTACTTAAATTTCATATAACAGTGCATCGTTTTAGTTTTAAATGTTTAGCTTATTAACTTGCCCTGGGTGCAATTATAAAATTAAATAATATTCAAATAACCCTTTTAAATTATTATTTACAACCTTTTTGTATTATAGAGACATTATAATTTTGTCTCATAATGATTATATTTACTTTCTTTCAATGCGTAAAAGTCTCGAGGGGATATGGAGTCAGAACATGCGGACAGACTAATCAGGATAGATTTAAGTTTATCTACTCCTCCAGACGTTTTTCTTAGTCACCCGGGGCTAATGAGTTTTTAAATTATATCATCGTATAAAAAGTTATATCCTTTTGTTGTTTGACTTTGAGTCGGTGAACACATGAACTACTTTTCACTCAAATGAGTTTCTTCTTCACGCCATTAACGGTGATGAAACATAAACCCAGTACATGGCAAGAACATAACATACATACCAAGAGTTACACACTTCTCCAAACCTTCCATCCTTTCATCAAGTATATACTCAAATCCCCCTGTAGAAAAATCTCCTGCACATGCCCTAATTACTCTTTTAGACCTGTGTAATAATATACTTCGAAACTTTCTTCAGAACTGCTCAATATCCTGTCTTGTTGGGTAGTCTCAATCCTAAAGCTCATAAATTTCCCATTACCCTACTAAAGACCTTACCACCCTCCTTCCTGTAATGTTCAAAATCCTTCAGTCTCATTTTAAAATGTTTAAACTACTCACATAAAATCATTCCTTCTCATCAAGTCGGCTTTTATCCCGATGATTCCACGATCTAACATGTTTTCATAACCGTCACCAAACATCATTAGTTCAAAGATGGTGTTGAATTGCTAAACCAAATTAAACATATTAGCAGAACAGTCAGCTCTGCTGGATCCCAGGACATTTGGGCGTCGAGAAAGCGGACACCCTTGCAAGAAAAGAGGCTGCAACACTGATGATAGGGCCAGAACCCTTCTGCGTCATAGGAACCCACCATTAATGAGTACTCAAACAGAAGGATAAAAAGCAAATGTGGAAACAATGGAATTCACTCATTGGACACAACAAGCCAAGAACGTCCTAACAAATTTCGGAAGGAAAGAAGTGACAGATTGTATAAGGAAGCTGGAAAAAACAGCGAATCCTAACAAGATTCTTAACTGCAAACTAAATGGACATTTAAAGAAGATTGGTATAACCCAACACGGGATCTGTAAGGAGGCAGAGGAGACACCAACACACCTATTAACAAACTGGTGCGTTTTGGGATGTACAATGTGACTGTAGAAGAAATTCAACCTCTGAAACAGGGCCTACTATTTAAGTTCCTTGATGAAATAGGACCGGTGTGCTATAGGCACAGAACGGAGGATAGCTCTTAAAGGGCGCAGTATATTACACCCCGATTAATAAATCTACTTTTAGACGTCAATATTTCCCTCGATCAAAAGAAAACCCATTGCTTGCGTTGGGGAACGCCTAGGGGATGTTGTCTAGGCTTTTGGTACGGTCTGGCACCCAGGTATCTTTTATAAACTTATAAACTATAACACTTCCTACCCGTTATTACCTTATCCTGGAATCCTATTTAACTGGCCGCTGCTTCAAAATATGGCACATATGACCGATACAAGCCTGCGTCCCACAAGGAAACATTCTTGATCTCATCCTATATACATTTACACTGCTAAAATCTAATTTGAATCCTATCCAACGAACCTCCAACATCCAAGAACACCTTGAGTTTACCAAACATTTGTGCAAAAAATGGAGGACAAATCTGAAAAAGGAAAAATGTACCCAGGGAATATTTACATTGAAAAAAAGTCTTTCCCTCCATTATACATTACAACAAGAACCTACAGACTTTCACTCAAGCCAGGAACTTAGATCTATATGAACAGACTGACTTGGAATTACCTCACAATACTTAAAAGACAACACCTCAACGAAGACTTGGACAACTACGAAGTCTTCTAGGACCGAAGTCTTACTGGGATGGTTAGGGATGGAACGTCGCGTTGGCGGGTGTATCGGCAGGTTCACTTTTGCAATTCATGTCGAGAGACGTGGTTGTAGACTTCAACCTGATGATGAGCTAAAAGCTCGAAATCCGGATCGTTGCAAAACAACTTACTGTGAGCAGGAGTACCTTTTTAACTAGGAATGAACATCGCATTCACTCCACCATCCATCATTTCTATGCAGTCTTACTTGTCAAAACTACACTATCCTTAATCAAGCCTTTACTGCGATCACTTTGGGCATATGGAGCGGAACCGTGGGATTACGCCAAGCCATCCAATATCCAGCGCATTTAATCCTTTCAATCACAAGTCCTCAGACGATTGTCAAAATTCCTTGCTACATTACTAACCTCTCTATCCCCAACCTCATCCTTCCTTTTGTCAACTGATCCTATACCGCTTTCAATCGTTCCACACCAAGCTCACAATCCATCCTGACCTACTGCCCAAGCCGTACACACCCCCTGCCATGCACTTTCCTATCCTGAGAACACTTGCCTTAAACGACGATGACCTCGAGACGTACTCGCCCCTTAATTACTCATATTGGATTGTTGTCCGGTTTCTCTTAACCTCATGGTTGGTGCCCTCCTGGTGCAATGTTGGTCATAGTGTCACTTTTGTGACCTAGAAAAAAACACAAATATCCACATATTTAATATGTACAGGTTATAAATAAATTTGTGGTATCTAGGAAAGTTCTCTTTCATAATTAGATTGTACCCTAAACTTTCTTTTTTATTAAATGTATGGCATGTTAAAAATATGTCCCAATGGGCAAGGACCCCACAATTTAATAAAATTCACTTTTTTAGACTAAATTATAAATTATGAGTCTAAGTTTTGTTTTTTCGTTTATTTCAGGTGTGTGATTACTGCGATAGCAGTCAGCCGGAGAAGTCTCATCCTCCAAATTACGCTGTCGATGGGACTGAAAATTACTGGATATCTCCGCCCCTTTCTAGGGGTACAGATTTCAACAAAATCAACTTTACCATCTATCTAGGCCAGGTAACTTTATTTTACAGCAAAAGAGAAAACGTCAGAAGCAAATAATTCATTCACCCAAAAAAATCCAACATTACATAATTTTTTATCTACGCTCATGATGACATTCATGATGCCCTTGTACGCTTTTACAGGTCTCAAATATTTTTCAATTAAGCTCATACAGTTTGTTTTGTAAATAAATTTTCCGTTCTGTTTCTTTTGAATCATTAACATAAAACAATCATTGAAAGAAAGAAATTTAGCTTTCTGTGACGGTCATATATTTTATCTCCACAGTTATCAAGGGTCAGATTATATGTCAAGGGGGTAGAATCTTGTATCAGTTCAATGACATAGTTCATAAATTAAAATAGCCCATTCATACAAGACTAACGATCGTCCTAAATAGAGTAAAAAGTAATTTTCTATCTACACAAATATTTTCTCGTTTCCTTTCATTATGAAAGACAATAAAATAAATTCACGGTAATAAAAATGGCATATACATTTGCATACAGCCATGATTATTTCAGCCGTGAGTCATTCATTTACTCAAAGCAAAATATAGTAATTACACAGTAATTGGCGTTGTATAATAAAATCACATTCCTATGTTTATCTGTAAAACTGCGCTCTGCTGTTCTAGTTAAATCGGCCGGTTTTCATTTTGTTAACTCCCTGCGAACAGAGCGATCCCGGTTTCGTCGCATCAGCAAATAATTCAGTTGACTTTTCCTATTATTAAACGAATATCCAGCGTAAATTTTTTTTTAACAATTTCGCCCTCCGTGGATATTTTATTTTAAGTTATCGAAGCTATTTTTGAAAATGAATGTGATTCCTCCATGATCCAATAAAACCAGATGCTCGTATGAAATTGATTTAATTCTGAAAAATTCGCTACTGAAGATTGACCTGAAAACAGAAGAAAACGGCGAAAAAGAGTTAAAATCCTGAAATATACTAGGCTGTACTGTTCTCCCTCGGCACGGTAGTTCTTACAAACCCTAGGAATAAATTGTGCCCGCGTACAACAAAAATATCAAATAATTAAAAAATGTGTGGTGATTAGTGACCGTTAGTCAATAATTATTCGAAAATCGTGAGATGCAGTCTGGTGTGATATAGGTTCCAGAAAAACATTTTCTTTATCGTGCCAACGTTTCGATCTTTATTGAGATCATCTTCAGGGTCTGGGAATTACAAACATTGTTTCAATTTAACAACTACAACAACAAATACACAAAAAAGTGAATTTATACAATGCAAAAAATATTTTTTTATATTCAATCAAAGTATTTGTTTTCTGAGAAAGTAGAAATACTTTGATTGAATATTAAAAAAATATTTTTTGCATTGTATAAAATTCACTTTTTTACACATCCTACATGAATTTGTTAAATTGAAACAATGTTTGTAAATCCCAGACCCTGAAGATGATCTCAATAAAGATCGAAACGTTGGCACGATAAAGAAAATGTTTTTGTTAAACCTACATCACACCAGACCGCATCTCACGATTTTCGAATAATAATTAAAAATGTTAAGGAATGAACTTTCCCCGACTAAATTTCCGTCCATGTAACGTTTTTCGAAGGTTGTCCATGGGAAGAATTGAATTTCAAACTGTTTTAAATTAGTCAGCTATTCAAAGGTCATATTCTGAACCATGTTTATTATATAGTTAATATATATATAAAAACCGAACTAATAAGAAAAGTTCTAAGATTTTTGTTTGAAGTTTAGTGGCGAACCCCTAGTTCGATCTTTCCGATCATCCTTGTTTACCATCGATGGATTTGCTTGTTAAGTACGTTATTGGCACAAAGCCGAAAATATCCAGATTGTGCTGATCGGAAAGATACGACTACTTAAGAAGATTTCTAAATGTGCTCCTTCCATGGAGTGGAATCAATCCAAAGTAGGTCCAGTTAAGCGCAAGGAACCCTATTTCACCCTTATTAAGTAAAAATGACTATTGATTGCTAATTGTCTTGTCGGGTCGCTGAAACGAGTCTGTCGGACCAAATCTCGCCTAGCAAATCAAACCATCTGGCAGACCAGGATGATCGGAAACAACCATAACTACAGAGGTTCAACACCTTGTAGATACCATCATGAAATCCCACGCTACTTTTTTTATAATATTCTATCTCATTTTGTCATTCTAAACATTTGTATATTGGGATTTGAGGATTTGTGGGTTTCAACGTTCCTAACGTCAATATTGTGATTGTGGAGTTTTTTGAAGATCAGTGGGGTGATCCTGTAATTTTAATCGTTTCCGATCAATCCTGTTCTGAGTTTGGTCTATCGAACCCTCTTCAGTTGTAGGCTTGTGTGCACCTGAAGGCTGGGATTTAGCCATAAAAAATACAATTTTTAGTTTTACAATTTTGAGTCCACTTAACCGGACCTACTGTGGATTCGTTCCATTTTATGTCATTACCATGAAAAGTATACGCTTATTTAGGAATCTTTAGCATCTCCTTAAAACGTTTTTTCCGATCTGGCCATCCTCGCTGGCCATATACCAAAACGCGGCTAAAAGGCAAAACCACCGAGGATCCGAAAGGGTAAACTACAGATTCTTCACTTCAAACCACAGAGGTTTCAAGAAGGAAACCTACTTTTCTAAGCAGTTTGGCCATTTAAGATCATCCTGTTCTGTTAAGATCATCCACCTTTCTCGATGGTTGGTCGGTCGTTACCGTTCAATCCTGGTCTGCATATCCTCGCTGTTTTGGTCTAGCAAACCCGCTTCAGTTTTGGGCTTGTTTGAGTCCTGTCGGTTGGAATTTATGCATACCAAATACAATTTGTTGTTATTAAGGCCGACTAGAGCCGAGTGTAATTGTTTTTTTTTTTTTTTTCAATTTTGAGTTTCTTACGTCCCAGACTCTTACGAACTAACCACCATATTCGTCACAGACCGTGCAAGACCTCGACAATTCTCACAATAAATTTGTTAATTTTTTGACCTATTTCAATTCTCTCTTAGGCAAACTTTAAACTCTAAACCACATTTCAACCAAATGCCAAATCGCGTATGATTGACCAAAACAGCGAGGCTAGGCGGACCAGTCGTTAACGACCAACTTTAACTAAGTGCTCTGGAACTATCTAAAGCTAGGCCATCTCATCTCTTTCACACGTTTAAGTTATAAATTTAATGTAAACCACTCATTCAATCTTAATTAAATTAATTCTAATAGATTCGATGATTCTCTATCTTCAGTGATGAGATTTATTTATAGAATATTTATAAAGAATTGTATATAGAATTCTATATGTAGAATATTTTATATAGAATTATTTATAAAATAATTATGATAAAAAAGGGTCATAGGACAGAATAAATTTTTTTAAACTTTTAGCCACTTTTTACTTTCTCTTGCATCTTCAATTTTTTTACGTTTTTGTTGACCTCCAATAAAACTACGTTGATGACAAACTAATATAAAATTAGACGTTATATTATGGTAATGTGATTATTTATACATTCATTGTTAATAGTTGGTCTCTATAAATAGATTCAAAACGTTACGCTGAAGATTGATAATTTCCAGAGAGCTTATCAGACCAAAACAGCGAGCTTAGGCGGACCATAGTAAACGTATATTATGTCAGTTTATTGAGTATAATATATAAATTTTGAGTACATTATAAAGAGTAAAATGGGTCAACAGTTAGTATGTTTGAGTTAGAAAGTGTTCAATTTTTTTTCAACTTTTGTTATATTTTTGTTATTTCCATAAAACGCATAAACAAGAAAGCTGTTCGGTGACTTGAAACTTGGTACTTATGAACTTAGGAAAGATTCCTTTATTTTTAAACTTCCTAAACTTGGGATCTTAGCGAGGCCCTTTTTTGTACTGCAACATGTGTTGACCATACATTTTCCCCCAACCGTTTCAGCCCGGACGCTAACAATCCCGGGGAAGCTAGACAATTTCTAGGCAAAACGAATAATTCTTCAATAATAGTAATATTCAAGCTGGAATTCCACGATTTTTTCGTTTTGTCAGCGAACTTTTTCGACCGGAAATGAAACTTAAGTCTCTTTCCTTTGTCCCCGCATTTACACGATTACTAAAGAATCAATGACATAATTAAGTAATAGTTTCATTTTTTATGAATATGAATATAGTTATAAAATTTCTGTAGTATTCAACTGGGAGTCTGACGGATAAAGTAATCTTATCTACCCGTTGCCCACGCTATAGATAGTCGTTCTCTTCGTCTTGGTTTTGATAAAAAAAATAATACAAATAAATAAATGTGGGGACAGTTAAAAAGATCCCAAGGCAATTTTACGATAATTTTCAAAAGCTACCCGAAACACCAGGGTCTATTTTTATTATGGTTTTTTTTGTAATTCACCTATTTATATTATTTATTACCAAGTTCAAATGGTACCCAATTACATCGACAGAAATAAAATTAAATAACGATAGAAAAGCGTACTCCTCAAATGAGTAAAACAATTGTGAAACAATAGCCTGAATTTCAGATTGAAATTTACATTTGGGCCAAACATTTTTCACCAAGTCCAAACTTCTAATTTTATAAACCAATATTTATAATTTTAAACTGTATTAAGTCTTAATCTAGGTATTGCCATTTTATTACCATAACTTGTCATTTCATCTGAATCATTTTTGAAATGGATCTCTAAAAATACAAGTCCAAAGAAACAAAAGTCTGCCAGAAAAGTTGTAAGAATTTTATGAATCTGACAAATTCCTCTAGGCTACCACAAGGTTCCCACCTATGCCCTCTCCTATTTTTAACCTACTTTAAGGATATATCTTACATTTGTCATGATGTTTGCATACAATTTGACAATTTTATTGAATTTATAGTTTTTATGATTTTTTATTGTTACAACAAAATGTAGATAACCTAGGAAGTTGGTGTAAAACAAATCTCATTAGGGTAAATATATCAAAATGTTCTTTCATTTAAAGCAGTATTTAAATGCCATTAAATAGGATTTTTTTTAATAATATTAACTTCACAAAATAGAAATACATAGAGCTTCATCTACCCAAGATTTGTTAGTTATAGTTGATAAAATTTCTTTTGATGGCCGCTTAAGTTACATGTCAAAGGCCAACAGGATGTTTGGATTTATCTATCATAATACTAGAAAATTCTGGGATATTAATTCACCAAATATACTTACGATTCTTTATTTAGGCCTCATCTGGATTTTTGTTCTCCTGTCTGGCCTGAATTTTAAAAATCATAACAAAATCATTGAAAATGTTCGGAGTAAATTTGTAAAACTAATTACTTCAAACTTTAATGCTTCAAAAAAATACTACGACTATCGCTTGCGAAAATAGACATAAATTGAATGACATTCTATTTCCAGTTACAATTCAGTTCCATTCCAGGTACAATAAAAAAAATCTCACTATTCTTTGATTCCCATATCTTTAAGAATGAAACAATTCTGCAATGATGTGGATATTCTTTCAACTTTAAGGGTAAACTAAATAACTTTTGTACAATAAACTGATGACAAATTTTGTCAAACTTTTTGTATGTAAAATACATAAACCATTTGCGATTTATTGATGGATTTGTAAGTGCAATCACTTACAATTATACTCTATGGTGTATTATGTGTAGAAAAATAACATCACATTTTAGAAAAAATCATTACACTTCATCTGTATTTTTCATGTAATTAATTTATTACCAACTAATGACCTAATAATTTTTAGGTAGGACTAGATTTCCTGTCTTGAGGTTTATGTGTTCTCATTATTTATCAATCATTTTTGTTATAGGAGTTTCACGTGACTTATGTTTTAATTAAAATGGGCATATCACCTCGTCCCGGACTTTGGGTTTTGGAAAGATCAGCGGACAACGGGCAGACGTACAAGCCTTGGCAATATTTTGCAGAATCGACTTCGTGAGTGATATTTCATAAATAGTCTCGGTTTGATTAATTTTCATATCTAATAAATCTATGTCCTATTCAGTGATTGTGAACATCATTTTGGCATTGAAAGCTTGAATCCCATCATGACAGACGATTCTGTCATCTGTACTACTCAATTTTCCAAACTTATACCTATAGAACATGGAGAGGTGGGGGAAAATGCTATTAAAAATATTATTTTACGTGCAATCAGTTTTTTTAATTACTTTTCAGATTATAGTCTCTCTTTTGAATGATCGCCCATCTGCTAATGATTTTTTCAATTCTCCTGTTTTACAAGAATGGACAAGAGCTACAAACGTGAGGCTGCGACTACTTAGTACACAAACCCTATACGGTCATTTAATGTCAGTGGAGAGACTAGATCCTACTGTTTCTAGAAGGGTTAATAAAAACTTTATACATAATTTATAAAACAAATACATAATTTATAAAATATTTTAGTATTTCTACTCTATAAAAGATATAAGTATTGGTGGCAGATGTCGTTGTAATGGCCATGCTGACGTTTGTGCTGAAACAAAAGAAGACAAATACAAACTCCGGTGTGTGTGTCAGCATGATACCTGCGGTACCAACTGTGATAAATGTTGCCCTAACAAAGTGCAAAAACCTTGGCGACAATCCAAACCTAACAAATTATTTGTTTGTGAAGGTAAACTTAGCCCAAGAGAAGTGTTTTTTTTTAATCTGTGAACCATTTATATTTGCTTTTTAGGATGTAACTGCCATGGGCATAGTGAACAGTGTCAGTATAATGAAACTGTTGACAGATTACATTTGTCACTTGATATTCATGGCAATTATGAAGGTGGTGGCGTTTGTCAAAATTGTGCCGATAATACAGAAGGTATTAATTGTGAGAGATGTAAACTCGGCTATTACCAGCCTTTTGGAGTTGACATCCGTGATCCGAACGCCTGTGTCCGTAAGTTTATGAGTTTTCTCTGCCATGTTCTTGTACGCATTTAAACTTAATTCCTCAGCTTGCAACTGCACTGGCAAAAAATACACTGGAAATTGTCAGTTTGGAGATGGAAGATGTGAATGCAAGTCAAATTACGTTTCCCCGCTTTGCGATTCTTGTGCGTTCGGATATACAAACTACGATGAATGCGAACGTTGCCGATGCAATGTAAACGGAACAGTTAATGGTTTATGCGACCCGGAACACAGTGAGTGCCCATGCAAACCAAATTTTGATGGACCTCAATGCGACTCTTGTAGAAAAGGATCGTACGATTTTCCAAACTGCAAACGTAATTCTCATTTCCTTGTTCATTCAATTATTATTTTAAATTCTACTAATTTTTACCTTTTTAGCTTGTGAATGCAACAAGATTGGTTCTCTGAATGATATTTGTGATTATGAAACTGGAAATTGTGTGTGTAAAAACAATTACGCTCCACCAAAATGTGACGAATGTACCAACGGATACTATTCTTTCCCTCACTGCGATTGTAAGAAAGCTCAAAAGTTGAAATATTTTGAAATGTATTAAATGAACTAATTTTTCAGTATGCAATTGCAATTTGTACGGAACAATTGACGAAGTATGTGATAAATATTCAGGAAAATGTATATGCAAAGAAGGTTATGCAGGAGAACACTGCGGTGAATGTGCTCTGGGTTATAAAGGTTTTCCCAACTGTGAACCCTGCGGATGCAGTAAAATAGGATCATTAACGCATTGCGACAGTAAAGGGAAATGCCCCTGTTTAGATAGATTTTCCGGGCAAACGTGTGATCAATGCTCTCCTGGCTACTATAATTTTCCACATTGCTTGCGTCAGTAAAACATAACAAATATATTTGTTTGGGTTTGTAAGATTAAATTAAAGGCATCACTATTTTAAAGCTTGCGGATGTGATCCTTCTGGAACTGTTGGGAAATCATGCGATGACGAAGGAAACTGTAAATGCTTAGATTCGTTCCAGGGCAAACACTGTGACAAGTGCAAAGAAGGCCTGTTCAACTATCCAGCATGTGAAGGTAAAAGATTAAGTATAAATTCTGTAATATATGTTATTAAGAAGAAGAAAAAAAATCTAATATTATTAATGGTGGTATAGAGTGGGATTGTTTAGCCAAAAATAATGTGTCTTGCCACCCTTTTTATTATTTTATCCTTGTAAAATAAATTAAAAGAACTTTTGGAGCAAAACACTCAATTAAAAGTTGAATTTTCCGACCAAAAATCACTGGTATATAAAAATCAGACAAAGAAAAGTAATACAATTTTCCAACTGTGCTTTCCTTCTGCCTTGACTTTCTAAATTCAGTTCAATTCATTAAGGACTGGGCACGTGCAAAGGAAGTGGAGTTTTGTGGTGGATTTTGCCTGTCTGTCTCTCTCTCTTCACCATAAGAGAGGTGTGTGTTGTACAGCTTAAATTTGTTCTTCAGTTGGGTGTGAATCTTGAAATTTGTAGTTTCTCGGTGAATTAAAAAAAAAAAAATTCCAGAACCTTTCTGTTCGTCCACAAAACCAACTTTTTCGGAAAGCATTGCCAGGTATGTAAGGCACTAGGTAATTAAGGTGGAGTAACGTGTACATTGATATCCCTAGCTCAGTCTCAAGTTTAAGATTGTAATTTGGCGTGTAACGTGGCCGCTTACTCCTCATAACACCACACCTCAGCTGCGTAGCATAAAATAGATTGGATGTCCACCCTGAATATGTTATTCTTCTCTTCTTTCTTCTTGGTTGTTTGCTTGTTTTAAGATCTTTTTAGGTGTTTTTCCTGGAACTGACAACCAATTCAAAATTTCCTTTTATTATATCGATATCGATAAAAGGATATTTTGAAATGTTGTAAATTCCTGAAAAAACACCTAAAAGACCCTGAATATGGTCACCATGGCACTCCAATATTCCAAACACCCACTTTGTTGGGAGGAAGGGCTTTCGTTAATTTGAAATACCAATTTCCTTACCCAATATCCCACTGGTTCTGTGGGGATTAATTTTCCAGACCTCAATTAATTGCAGAGAAGATGAATAAATTAAATATATACTGTTATTAAATTGAAGATAGTTATCCAGAATATTTAACTCTCCTTTCCCCTTTTATCTTTTGAATAAATGACAAATACCTAAAATTTGAATATATGGCATGCACACATGTATACGGGTAAAACTATAAATAATATGGTTTTATACATATATAAAGAATATATTGTTATAATAAAATATAAAAATAAATGTATTCTTACTTGATTTAAAACCATAAAACAAGATCAGATAAAATTAAAATAAACCTTTTTCTATTGATTTGAATTGAATTTTCTATTGATCTATATATAAATTAAAATTAAACAACTTCTTAAATTACGATCATTTGACCAGATCGTGGTATTCGATTGACCAGATTGAAACAAAATGAAAATTATTAAATTTTAATGAAAAGAAATGAATGAAAATTGACTTTAATAATATTACTCATGTCAAGACGTGCACGTTAACTACAAATTAAATTAACTTAACGAATAAACTTGCATGCAATAAAATAATAATAAAATAAAGTAAACTTAATGAAACTTAATGAAATGGCAAAGAAGGTATGAAAATTGAAGATGTGTAGTCGCAAATGTTGAAGAAGCCACAGATGATGAAAAAGCAGAGATGATGAAGTCACAGATGACGAAGAAAACCAGACGAAACGGCGACGAAGAAAAAAATAAAGATGAGATGAAGAAGATCAAAAGAAAATACAGCCTGGTGACGTCACGGTTCATCATCTGTGGCTTTTTCATCATTTGCGACTTCACATCTTCAATTTTCATACCTCCTTTGCCATTTCACTAAGTTTACTTTATTTTATTATTATTATTTTATTGCATGCAAGTTTATTCGTTAAGTTAATTTAATTCATAGTTAACGTGCACGTCTTTACATGAGTAATATTATTAAAGTCAATTTTCATTCATTTCTTTTCATTAAAATATATAATTAAGAGAGAGAAAAAAGGGGGGAGGAGACTTCGTAATTTACGATAAAATATAAAAGAAAAAATGCTCCTTAACACACTTCTAAACATAATTTACCATAATATTTTCCACTTCTGCTCATTTTCTTGGCAAAAGTGAGCCTAGGAGTGAGCACTGTCCCAAAATATGTGTATTCTTTGACAATTTCAATTTCTTTTGAGACATATGTCCAGTGTTACATACCCCACCCCCTTTTTGAAAATCATTATTTTTGATTTGGCAAGATTGATCACAACCGATTTTTCACAGTAATGCTGAAGGAGGTTTATATTTGATTTCTAAAACCAAGTCATCTGCATATTTATTCTCAATTTCATTAATAAACAGAATAACGAGAATTTAACTCAGTTGTATTTTTTTATATATGCATATTATTGTAAATTATATATATGACATACACATTTACTTTTAATTGTACAATTTTTCCTAATAATTCAAATTATTGTTTATTGTTATGTTAATTATAGCTTGTGATTGCCATCCTGCTGGTGTTACTGCCAATTTCACTGGATGTGGACAAATCAAAGGTGAACTTTGTGAATGTAAGCCAAGGGTCGAAGGCAGAACATGCGACCGATGTAAGCCACTCTATTGGAATTTGCAAGAATACAGTCCTCATGGATGCTTAGGTGAATAAGTTTGAATTAAATTTTTATTAATATAAATACTTTTATGAATTGTTAAGAAAGAAATTTATGTTTAAAAATTTATTCCTCGAATGATGTAGGCAGTCTTTTTATGTTAGTATTAGTTGAAATGAAAAAGTTAGTATCACGAGCGGGATTCAAACCCATGAAGTCAAAGGTTGTGGGTTCGACTCGCTTGTTACACTAACTTTTTCATTTCAACCAATACCTCACATAAAAGATTAATTAATTGAAAGAAGTTATTTGGTCAATCGGACCATGAAATATAATGGAGATATAAACAGTTTTAATTTAGCAAGTAATTAATATATATTTTATATATAATACCATATTTTAAGTTGTATATTATTTTCAGATTGTGATTGTCATTTGCCCGGTGTTCAGGGAGGGATAGCAGAGTGTGACAGCGTCAATGGAGGACAGTGTTATTGCAAAAAATTAGTTGTATCAAGGAAGTGCGATCAGTGTGCAGATGGAAGTTACAACTTGGAAGAAAACAATGTTTTCGGATGTACAGGTAATTTCTTTCTTGATTCGATAGAATACATTTATACAAATATATCAACAAGGAAAAATTGTTTGTAAAAGATTGTGGCTGTGATGTCGGTGGTGCACTGCCAATCGCTTGCAACAAGATAACTGGTCAGTGCATTTGTAAAAACAGAATCGGCGGCCAGACTTGCAACAAGCCTCTTGAACTACATTATTTCCCAACTTTACACCAATTGAAGTATGAAGTTGAAGATTGGACGACTGCAGAAAACAATCATGTCCCTTATAATTTCAACGAAACCATATTTCCTAACTTTTCCTGGAAAGGTTATGTCGTATTTTCGAGTCATAAGGTAATTATTTGCATTTAAGAAGCAATATACAAAATTTCTGATGTATTCTTTTGTAGCCGGTGATAAAAAACCTGATACATGTAGAACAGATTGGAATTTATAAAATTATTGTGAGATATGTTAACAAGAACAGCGAACCGGTTACTGGAGAGATTATAATGAAAGAAACATCCACGGATAATGTACATATGCATAAAGTAGTTTTTAAACCATCACCTAAACCCGGTTTTGTCACCGCTGTACCGCAAGGACAACTCGATCTCTATTTATCAGAAACCAATACAGTTTTGGAAACTTTCATTAAAATCCCTCAAGAAGCCCCATCAATTTTTCTCGTAAGTAATCACATTTTATAACAAATAAAGCAATTTAAAAAATATGAAATCATTTAAGGATTATGTAGTGCTCTTGCCAGAACAATATTACGAAGGAACTATCCTTGATGAGCACATACAAACTCCCTGTAAGTATGGTGAAAAATCCCATTGCCAGTTATATGAATATCCGAGTCTGGACGATTTCGCTAGTGAAAAGTTTGTTGGATTGAACGAGTTTTTGGTAATAATACTGTACACATTTGTACATAATTCGTTTTATTGAAATTGATATTTTTTTAGGAAAATCGCTCAATACCATTGCTCTCAGGCTCTCAGCCTCAAATGTCCGTCACTTTTGATTTCAAAGAAGGCAGTAAAGGTCCGAAAGTTCTTGTAGTGTCGTACGCTTCGCCAAAAGGGGTGGACCAAAGTTCCAAGATTAATGTGAATGTTCAAAGCAGCAATATGGAGGAGCATAGATTCGTCAACTTAGCCCCGTGCCACTATGCCTGGTTGTGCCGGCAAGTCATTTTGGATAAAGAAGGACGGGTCGCTACATTTTCCACTGAAGGAGACGCTACTCCAATGACAGTCACATTTTTGGTATTTGTATTAAAAGAAATATTTTTTCTTATGTAAAAACACTAGTGTAAAATTGCCTGCTTTGACACTTAATTAGAATGAATTGCAACCGGAAACAGCATTGTATGAAGTTGTAGCCATTCCAGTTAAAGATTGGACTTTTGATTACATTATGCCTACTGTCGTTTGCACCATGCAGGACTCGAAATGTGCCAAAATTGATTATCCACTTCTGACTGGAACAAAAAAGGTAACTTAAAAAAATTTAATCCTTCATTTATTTATTTTCTAGTTACTTTTATTAATTATATTTTCAGATTGAATTTGAAAAAGATAGTGATATGAATAAAACATCAAATTACCCACAAGTTTTAGATCAATCAGTAGTACTTGTCAGAACAGATGAAGCGCCTGAAATTACACTTAATGGGAAAGTTCTTGTGCCTGGAAACCACATGTTTATAGTCCATTATTATCAACCAAAATCACCAGGTGAAACGAAAAATATTTCGCCCTTTACTTTTATTTTGAGAATAATTTTTAGCTGAATTTATGATACATATGTAAATTTTTATTTATTTTTAATAGTTGATGATGGGTGTTGGTTTGCCAGTCGGTGAACTCATGCTGAACCGACATAGGGTCACTTATTGGGTATGTCTTCATTCACGGGTTTGAGTAATCCAACAAACCCGCAAGAAGACAGACCCCACGCTGGTTCAGCATTATTGTTAATGCTTAAAATATTTTTAAGTACTTACACTCCTATGTCAAAATGTTAATGGTAAAATTATTTGTAGCATTTACGTTGCCTGTGGTTGTCCAGGCTGATAAGGCATTCAATGCGTCATTAAAATTTCAACATTGCCCGTCACGAATTGGATGTAGAGCATTAATTTTAGATCCAATGCATAACAGTAAATTTCCTGTCACCAACAACTTTAAAATCACGATTCAAGTAAGATTCTAAAAAATAAATTATTTTTTGAATAAAAAATTCTTATATTCGACACGGTTCCGACAGGGTAATCAAAAACCATTATGGCTTGACTATGTTCTGGTTGTGCCTGAAAGCCAATATAAAGACATCCTTCTTGAAGAAACAAACCTTAACAATGCTGAAAGGTTTAAATTAGAATGTGGCGCAGATCATTTCCATGTTGACACCAAAAATGTTACAGGTATGCTACATACGACAAAACAAAAATTTATCACAAAAATATAATAAAAACGTCATTTTTCAGAATTTTGTAAACGATCTATATTTTCCTTGACTACAAATTACAATGGTGGCGCTTTGAAGTGCGGATGTAATCCTGAAGGTAGTAAACACCATTATTGCGCGCCGTTCGGGGGACAGTGCGAGTGTAGGGACTTTGTCATCGGACGAAGGTGTGAGGAATGCAAAGCTGGCTATTACGGATTTCCAAACTGTAAACCTTGTAAATGCCAAGAATGGGCGCATTGCGACAAAGAGACTGGTAATGTTCTTAGTAGACAAGTTCAAACAAGCTTTGTAAAGTTTCAGTATTTTCCTAGGTCATTGTAGCTGTCCAAAAAATATGGAGGGGGAAAAATGTGAAAGATGCAAGCCAAACACTTACAACTACCAATTACCGATCGGGTGTACAGATTGTGACTGCCACCCTCAAGGCGTTGTAAACGGTAATTTGCAATGTGACATGAACAGCGGAGCCTGCTCGTAAGTTATTTTCTTTTATGTATTTATTTTTATTATTAATGAAGTAGAACAGGATAGTGTTTTACATCCTTGCATAGTATATCAAAGCTTTGTTTTATAAAATACATTTAAAAAATAAATATATAATGTAATTAATTATAGAAAATGTATTAATAAAAAATGTGTTGGCGGCTGCCTGACTAATCACTGTATGAGCCCTGCGTTTGAATCTCAGCGGCACTGAATTTGAATCTACTTTAATTTTTAACATTTTCCAATTCAAACATGACCAATATTTATATAGCCTTAGCCTATTTATTAGCATATTTGTGAGGGTGAACATGATCACTGTCAATCCAAAGTAGGACTCTATTTAGTTTTTAAAAAAAGTCATAGATATCGTGCATACTGCATACTAAAAGGAATTGACAAAATTTTTAGGTGCAAGGAAAATATAGGCGGAAATCGCTGTGACAGTTGCAAGCCTGGTTATTATTCATTTCCATATTGTGAAGAATGTGAATGTGATCTCCGAGGAACAACTTACGAAATTTGTGATGCTGTAAGTGTATATTATGATTTTAAGACTTTGATTCTTGCAAAATTATTCTAATTGATCAATTTTCTTGTTTAATTAATTAAAATAATTGCTCTCACTAATGTTCAATGTATAATATACTTTTAGGAAAGATACGGGGAATGTAAATGTAAAAAGAACGTCGAAGGAGTTGTGTGTGATTTATGCGCTCCAGGGACATTTAATCTCAATCAGGAAAATGAAGATGGGTGCACGGAATGTTTCTGTTCTAATCGCACGCAGGAATGCTCCAGCTCTCGATTTTATTGGGACTATGTAATTTTACTCTTACAAATTGAAAATAAATAAATAAATGTTGTAATGTTATAATAACATTTTAGGTCGGTGATCTAGAGGATTGGGTTCTGGTGACAGTAATGGTAAAGAATGGTATTTATGTGACTGAACTTCAAACCCCTCCAGACAATGTACCCCATGGAATTAGTGTGAACTTATCAGGTGAAGAATTCAGAGAGCAAGAAGTGTACTTTTCAACTTCAGACGCGTTTTTAGGAAATAAGCTAGGCTCTTATGGAGGAAAATTAAAATATTCGCTATTTTGTACTGTAGGAGACAAAGGTAGAGTACTGATAATTGTATCAGTCGACAAATTAAATCATAAAATTTATTTAATATTTCAGAAAGCTTTGTACACGGCCCGGATATTATATTCAGTGGAGGAGGTATCGAACTTTTTTATTCCGCTGTCGAATTGCCGTCACCTTCCACACTGTTTGAAATGGAATTGACCTTAACTGAACATAGTTTCACTCTGGTTAACAAACGCCCTGCTTCGAGAGATCATTTAATGCGAGTTTTAGAAAATTTACAAGCAATTTATTTAAAAGCGAGTTACTGGAAAAATAATACTACCACAAGGTGAATAATTTTCATATTTAATCACAAATTCATAGTACATATCACAAAGATAAAACTTGAATATGTTTCTTTGGAAGAATACAAAATTTAGCCATGGATGTCGCAACGGAAAAGTATACATCAAACGGGATTGCCCTGTCAGTAGAGCAGTGTGCTTGTCCTCCTCAGTATACGGGAATGTCATGTGAGGAATGTGCAGATGGTTACTACCGTTCTTCTACCGGGCCATACGGTGGTTTTTGCATTCCATGCCAGTGCAACGGCCATGCTAACACTTGCGATAAAGTCACAGGTGTTTGCAAGGTAGGAGATTGCAATTTACAGATTTTTTTTTAACAAGTTACTCATAAACTCGTACATTCATAGGATTGTCAGCATGATACTACTGGTGATCATTGTGAACAGTGTGCTGAAGGATATCACGGAGATGCAACTTACGGCACCCCACAGGACTGTTTTATTTGTGCTTGTCCTTTACCATACCCAAGTAACAAGTGTGTAAAAATATGTAAAATATAAAATTTAATTGTTATGTAATTTTTTTTTAAATCAACAAAATTTATAATTTATTGTTTTTTTTAGTTTTGCAAAAAGCTGTGACATCAGTGATGACGGGACTATGATTAGTTGCAATTGTAAAAAAGGATACTATGGCCATCGATGTCAATCTTGTGCTGATGGATATTTTGGAAATCCTGAAATTTCAGGTAATATCTTTGTAAATGTATTAATTTTCACAAAACACATTAAATTGTTCTATATTTCAGGTGATTTTTGCAAACCTTGTGAGTGCTCAGGAAACATCAACTTAAATGAAGCGGGCTCTTGTGATTCAGTTTCTGGTAAATGCCTTAAATGCCTTAACAACACTGCTGGAGCGGCGTGTAATTATTGTAAACCGGGTTACTTCGGTGATGCAGTTACACTTAAAAATTGCCAGAGTAAGCGATTTTTAAATCAAGTCTAGGGATTTTGGTAGCTAAGCTCAAATCCTATTTGTTACATAACAGGTTGTTCTTGTCATAAACATGGAACGTTCAGATGCGATGATGTGACTGGTGCCTGTGAGTGTCATCCGAATGTCGAAGGGGAGAAATGTGATCGATGCACAGAGAATCATTATCTGTTTGAATCAAGTCAAGTGTGTTCAATTAAAAACACTTTTCATAAAATTTTATTAGTAAACTTTACAAGTTGATCATTCTCGGAATGTTTTCCTTGCATATTTCTAGGGTTGTATACCTTGCAACTGCAAAGAAGCATCTTACAGTAAACAATGCGTTGACTCGAGTGGACAGTGCAGATGTAAACCCGGTGTCGCTGGAAGAGCCTGTGAAAAATGTGATCAAGGCTACTGGAATTACACTTCCGAAGGATGCACTAGTACGTTTTACTCATACTGACAATCGGGCTTAAAATTTGTGACACTCATTGCACCATCTGTTTAGGATGTTCCTGCAACCTTCAAAACTCAGTTAAAGTTGGGTGTAATGAGAAAGGGCAATGTGAATGCCTTAAAGATGTCATAGGAGAAAAGTGCGATGGCTGCCGAGAACGTTGGGTTTTTGTGGAAAAAGAAGGCTGCTTTGAATGTGGAAAATGCGTACACGATTTGTTAGACTCGGTTGATGAGATGCAGAATAGACTAGAACCGATCAGTAATGAATTTGGGGTACTGAATATTGTTTAAATTATTTTGAAGGCTACTGACAATATTTATATTTTAACGTTTTCTTTTTTTTAATATTATTATTAGTCGGTTGCAAAATCGTACTTTATTCAGAGACGGCTGCAATATCTCAATGAAACTGCAGCTTTACTCCAACCGAAAGTAAATCAGTTACAAAATGTAATGGTCGAGTTGAATCCATTCAAAGAAGAATTAGACCATTTTCAGAAAAATGTAGATCATATTAGTCGAGAGGTAATGTTCAATCAATTTTTAACTGGCATTTTATAATGTGTAAGATGGATACGATATTATTTTCAGAACTCATATACATTAGAGAAAGTTAATGGGACATCTAACGACAGTTTGTCCAACCTGTCGTCAAAGCTTGACAAAAACACGAAAACCATGAACAAATTGGCTAAAGAAGCAATTCAAGCAGCTAAGATGACAGTTCAGAATGTTAAAAACGTTGGAGAAAGCTTTCATCATTATGGTACTAGGCATTTATTTAAACGTGCTTATCAGTTCAAGAAGCTTGAACCGTTATTTAATTACATTTTTATTATAGATGTGGATTTGGACATCACACAAGCTGAAGCCCTTGATGAAGCAAATGACATTTTAAATTCCCTTCAAGAAATGTTTTCACCTAACAATGGTAAACATCTGTCAAAAGAAGACGTGAAAAAAAGTTATATGGAAAGGGCAAACAAGGCATTGGAAAATATGAAAATGTTTAAAAAGCCTGTTGATGAGAAAGAAAAGGCCTTGCAAATGCTTAAGAAAAGGATAGAAGACATACGAAAAAGAACCAAAGAAGCATCTAAACTGTCTACTGATGCGTTGAAATCTTCTAAGAAACTTTCTGAAGCTTTAAAAGAAAACATGTAAGCATTCTGTCAGGGATGATGTTTGAAAAAAAAACATTAAATATTTCAATTAATTATTCTTTTTGTGTAAGGTTTTAGGTTGAGATGAAAAAGTTAGTGTCACAAGTGGGATTTTAACCCACGACCTTCGGCTTGTAGGATGGGGAGTTGGTGTCCAAGTGGATCGAAGTCTTGATAGCTCAAATGATTAGAGCTTATCGTGACTTCGATCCACTCGGCCACTAACTTCTCATCTCAACCCACCTTTTTGAATTTTCCCTCCTTTTTGCCATTTTTCAAAGAAGAGAAGTTAGTGCCCGAGTGGATTTAAGTCACGATAGCTCAAGTAGTAGAGTAGCAACGTATCAAGCCAAAGGTCGTGGGTTGAATCCTGCTTGTGACACTGACTTTTTTTATCTCAAGTAAAAATGTTAATTAATTGAATGATATTAATTGGTCAAGCAGACCACGAAAAATAGGGAATTATTAAAAAAATTTATATTTATGAAAGGTATTGGTTGAGATAAAAAGTCAGTGTCATGAACGAGTTTCGAACCCACGACCTTTGGCTAAATATGCCGCTACTCTACCACTTGAGCTATCGTATTCAGCTGAATGTCATGGGTTAAAATCCTACTCATAACACTAACTTTTTCATCTCAACCAAGACATTACATAAAAATAAAATTAACTGAAATAATTAAAATGGTCAATTAGACAACTAAACATAAATGGATTCAAAATTTAAATGTTGATTTGTGATGTCATAGGAAAATAAACTTGCCTTCGCTGTTCAAAGAAATAAGTAAACTAAATGAAGAAGCTAAAAGCACTACTGAAAAAACAGAAGCATTATTAGATGAAATATCCGTTTTTATGGATAATTTTTTCATTTCGCTCAACATTCATACTGGTATGTTTTCACAAAACCCATATTCTTATTATTATTGAAAAGATTTCACATTCATTTAAATAAATTTTCAGATGACGCGAGTGACTGGCGCGCTCATGATACAGAAATGAAGAGGCTCACTAGCGGCATTCTCACAAATGACTCAATAGAAAACTCAGCAATTATGGTAGAAAGTGCTGAAAAGTGGGCCGATAATTTGTTAAATGATGTGAGTTTGGTGAGGTAAATCACATGAGACGGATTAAGAAAAGAAAACTTGATTTATTTTTTAGGCCAAAGTGCTTGAAAGTATAGGGAAGCAACAGCTCTCAGATGCAAATGAATATAATGTTTACAATCAAATTATTAGTGCTCTTAGATCAGCATTAATCACAGCAGAAAAGGCAAAAACGGATGCAGAAAATGCTAAACTTTTGGTTAGTTTGACTAATTAGGAACAAGAAATTCATATCTTAAAAGCTTTAAAACATTATCTCTTTGATTTGAAGATATGTTATAAAATTTATTGAATTTTTAGAGTGTACAAATATTACAAAATGCTCCTGAATCACTAGAGATGTCAAATAAACTTTTGGCCGATGGAAAAGAAATTTTAAATAAAACTGATGACGTATTGCTGAACAATGTTAATCTTACTCTAAGTGAGGTTGAAAAACTTAAAAATGAAAAGGATAACATTTTAAAAGAACTTGATGCTATTGGAAAGTAATATTCCCGATTCCCCCCTCCCGCTAAAGATTCTTTTTATTAATTTATTTCTCATATTTACAGTAAACTTGAAGGAACAGTATTAACAACTGAAAAAGGTGAATTAATCTCTGATATGGAGTCGGCCAACCAGGAAGCCACACTCTTTATTAACGGTATAGGTACAATTTTACAAGAGTTACCTAAACTACATGATTCTGTAAAGGGAGTTATCGTAAAAAAGCGAGATGTAGTGAGCAAAATTTCAGAAACTGGAAGAGCTCGTAAGTAAAATAAACTTTCTGAAAATTAAGATGCTTGATTCAATAATGTATTGTTCATTTCGATTTTAAAATATTAAATAATTTATATAAGGAATTTCTGTTTATAAAATTTTTTTATATGTTTATTATGTTTGCTATTTCATGAGATTTCATGAGAAGAACTTGTAATTTGGTCATTACCAGTCATTTTAGTAGGATAGGCAGACGAAAATGATCAGTGATGATCAAATTATGTGTTTATTGTTAGAGTTGAATAATATCTTTAAAAAAAGCTTAAAATTAAAATTTGTTCTGTTCTTTTTGTTTCAAGTTGAAGATATTAAAAAAATTATGCCTGATGTCAACAATCTTGATACGATATTAAAAACCAAAATTAAAGAAACGGAGGATACCATGGATACACTGCAAAAAAAAATTGAGTTCTTGAATGAACAACTTCGTCTTGCCCGCGAAGCTGCCAACAAGTAAGTTTATAACTGAAAACTCATCGATTAGTTATTATTTCTAACTATTTTGTAGAGTAACACTAGGAGCAGAGTTCCTTTCTAATACAAGTCTGGAATTATGGCAGTCAGATGACATTCCAGAGCAGGCGATAAACAACCATGTTTCACTTTACTTTGCAACTTTGTCTCCCAACTCCTTATTATTTTATATGGGCAATCAAGCAAAGCGTATCAAAAGAAGAAGCAAACAGTCATCTGTACTAATACTTTTACTTTAATATTATTTAAAAGACAGTTTCTACATTTGTCAGTATCTGTTTTAGGAAGAGTTTATGGCTCTGGAAGTTCAAAATGGACTTCTCAAATACAGCGTTGATCTCGGAAGTGGTCCCAAAAGTGTTTCTACGTCGAAAAATGTGGATACAGGTCATTGGCATAAAGCTATAATGGAAAGGTACGGTACTTTATAAAATCATGTTCATTTTCATTTTTGATTGATAAAATTTAATAAATGTAGATTAATAATTTAAGTTTTAACAAAATAGACAAAATTAATTGTATTAGGCAATACCTTCAATGTGAGGTGATGAACCTGTCGTGGTCATCTCTGTTCCTGGTCCTTTTCAGCATTTTGTCATCTTAAGTTGTTGGTTAGGACCGTAGGGAAACTGCATATTCCATGTGCAATAGTAACAAGCCTGTGCTAGGATGAAGATTAGATTAGATTATACAGGAGCACCGCAACCAGTATTCGTCTATTGTGCATCTAAATTTATTTATTTTATTTTTTTTTATTTTTTTATTTTTTTATCTAGAGCTCCTCATTAAGCTTAAAGCTTTTTATCAGATCCCAAAGCTTTTTCAAGGGCTTACCTATGTATCCTTCAGGCCTTGGCTTTTCCTCTCCCTACATAGGTCTTCATACCAATGGAGGACATGATCTATTTTTTCTTCTACTTTTTAGATTGCTAAGAAGTACAGGCTTGTTTCTGCCACTCCGAGTCTACATGTCGATAGAGTCTGCAGTGTCTAGTCAGCAGTCTAACTATTATTCTAGTCCTAGCACAAGCCAGATTTATTAGTTCTGCCATTAGTTTCTGCGATTATCCTTTAATATTTTTTTTGCATGCCTCTAGCCTGGGCTACATTCCCATTGAGCAGAGGACTTATGTTTAATCTATTGTCTAATGTTAGGCAGTTTGGTATGCCACAAAAGGGTCCAGGGCCAATAGGTGACCTCATCGAACTTTCCTTGGCCAATTTGTCGGCCTCTTTGTTGCCGCTCTGCTCTGTGTGCCTTTGTACCCAGGCAAGGGTAATATTTTTATTTTCTCTGATGCTGTGATGCAGTCCCAAATGACTCTGACAGTCTCCCTGGCACTATATACAATAGCCACTGTTTCGTAGACACCGGCGGGAGTAAGTATTGGATATCTACCCTCCAAGTCCGGCGTTACCAGGGATAGTTGCCGGCTGTTGTGTAAAGGACTTAAGGTTAAAAAAAAATGAATAATTCATTTGATGATTAAATTTATTAACTGACAATTTATGATAAAAATACGGAAACTAAAATCTGGCCAGAAACAAAACAAAGTTAACAAATATATAGAAATATAGAGAGTTGGTTATAAGAAAGTTAATACGAAAAATGGCAATGTTGAATTAAAAGAATAAGGACGTTCGTACATCTTGTCAACTCACAACAGTGAAGATCAAACGATTTAGCACTTATCTTGGAGTCTGGGAGCCACTCGCCGGACGACGTCAAAGGTGCGTTCGTTCGTACCCGTCAGAAGCCAGAGAGTGACAGACTGGAGACCGCTGATGTACATTCGTGCGTACGGGTTGAGTCCTCGAGAGAGACTCGCTGAAGACAGCTGATGTACGTTCGTGCGTACGGGTTGAATCCTCAGGAGAGACTGACTGAACGCTGAAGACAGTTGTACTTCGTGCGAACAGTTCGAAAACCAGGCAGTGACTCACTCCTTTTACGAAGGTTTGCTGAAAATTGACCTGTTTCTCCCTCCAGCATCGTGATCCTTACAAATTTTCTGTTTTTATAATTTTTTTAAAATGATAAATTTAAAATAATAAAGGATAAGATTTCTAATTAACGATTCATACATAAAAATGTTTACATTAACAACAGCGTAAACAGCCACAGTTTCCACATGAAAGATGGTGGTATATTGTTCAAGGCTTGTATGAATTCTAATTCTTGGTTTATTTCCATAAATGCCAGCTCCTGACCCATATTCAGTTTTGGAGCCATCTGTAAGCCAAATACGGTTGGCATTTCTTCCAGACTGCTCTACAAGGTATTTTGATTAGAGATTTTTTGTAAAAACTGAATTTAGGGGTCATGGGTTCTTTCTAGCTGAAGCTTCCCTCAAAACTTTAAATACTCCTTGTTGTGAGTAGGCTATTGGAGCCACCCCTGCACTAGCCTATGAATTATGGCCCTGGCCTCTCCCTGGATAAAGATATGTACAGGTGGTAGATTCAGAAGGACTTCTAGGGCAGCTGGGGGGTCTTCATTGCCTCAGCGATGCTCAGACATTTAGGATGAAAAAGAAACTGCATATCTTCCATTGGTTAATGAGATTCCCGCTCCTGGGATATGGAATGAAGGATATATATATATATNGAGTAATCCTGTAAACGTAAACAGAATATTTTATATAGATTTTTTTTAATGAAAACTTAAAATCCTGCATTATTTTCCGGACAACCCAATATATACAGAGTGCGCGATCAAGACCCGAGGGGTTAAATGCCTGGGTAGACTCGTACCCCATCCCTAAAAAGTCCAGGACTTGTTCACAAAACCCCAAGATTTTGGACCATTTTATCTCAGGGAGTGATTTGGTGATGTCTGCTCCTTCAAAGATTTCAAATCTAGACCTAGCATACCTATCACACTCTGCAAGGTAGTGCCTTCAGCCAAGTTCTGGAATGAAGGATACAAGAGCCCTTAACAAAGCTTTGGAATTTGATTAAAAGCTTTAAGCTTTACAAAACAATTTAAATAATAATGAAGATTGCACAATAGACCAATATTGGTCCCAGTGCAAGGTTGTGAAGAGGCTGGCTCCTGTTAACATTTAACATTAAATTCTCTGTCAAACAGAATATTTCTATATTTTTGTTAGATAAACAATAAATAAATTCATTTTCAGAACTGGAAAAATAATTCGCCTGACTGTCATAACACCAGATAAGAAGCAGATGGTCGAAGAAGCAGTTCTTTCAGGGACTTCCTCCATCCTCAATTTGGACAAAACAAGATCAAAAATATTCATTGGCGGAATACCTGCAGACTTCAGTGCGCCGTCGTATTTCGAGCACAACAACAACTTCTTCGAAGGGCGAATTGAAGATCTCACCATTGGAAATTCACCAGCTAGCTTGTGGAATTTCATACGCGAAGAAAATCTAAGACCTAGTGGTGGACGGTACTTATTTATTAAACTTTTTTAAAATAAAAGTTTGGAATTAATTTTTTTTCTTTAAATAGAAGTGAACTGTCAAATGTTAGCAATACTATCGGATGCAGGTTTGATGGCCATGGTTATGTGGCTGTCGATAGTGAAACATACCGTATGGGTTCCAAATCTGAAGTGTCTATGAGCTTTAAGACAACTGCTAAAGATGGATTACTCTTCTTGGCTGTGAATGAAGACAATACTTTTATATCAATTGAGCTTAAAGATGGAAAAGTTTGGCATCAGGTTAGAACCGTCAGTGAAAGTAGTTCACATGCTGCATAAAGCATACGACACTAAAATTTAAATGTTTTATGTTTATTGTTATTATTATTTTCAAGTTTGATCTCGGTGATGGAGTAATAAGTCTGAGTTCAGAAAAACTTTATAATGATAATCAATGGCATAGAGTTGAAACGAGCAGATTTTATAACAATGCAACTTTAGCGATGGATGGCCATCTGCTGGAAGGATCATCAATCTATCGAGATGAAAGGCGTAAATTTACTGTATGTTTTTTTAATGTTATAATTCCATTATTTATCTTTGTTAAAACTTAATGCTTAACAATTACAAAATATATCTGTTATGATTTTAGAAACCACGTAAATTTTATTTTGGTGGTTATCCAGGCAGGCATATGCTTGATCATGTTACGAATATAGATTTTGAAGGTTGTATAGATAATGTGCAATTAGACAGTGTTGTCGATTTAAAGAAGAACCTAGAATCGGTTGGAACTATCGCAGGCTGTCCTGCAAAGGTACATGCACTTTTCATAATTTTCTTTTAAAACTGAGGAAAAAAGTGTTCACTAAATTAAATTTTGCAGTTTGCCAATGTCGTATCCTTTGAATATGGTGCTCCTGGATATCTGCTAGGACCAGTTATAACTGCTGGAGACAATTCATTAGAACTGCTCATGCGTTTTAAAACATCATCGCCCAACGGTTTACTCGCGTATGCGACTTATGGGCCTGCAAGTATTTCATTATCACTTAGAGATGGACAGTTAGTGTTTAAGAGCGGAAAAGATGAATTGAAGTCGGATTCTCCAAAGCCGTACAATGACACAAAATGGCATGTTGTTATGGCAAATCTCAACCGAGAGAAGATGGAACTTCATGTTGATGATTATCAATCCTATATGTAAGTTAATTAATGTTTTTTTTTTTTAATCTACAAACATTACACATTTGTGTTACCTATTTCAGGTCAGAAGAACCCCCGAACCTTATACGGATGTTACATGGTCAAATTTATTTCGGAGGGGTTCCGTCCAGTGTGGATGCGCAAGTAGCATATTCTGAGAAATTTGTTGGCTGCATCAGTGATGCGACATTGAACAATGTTATAATTAATTTTGCTAATTCATCCGAAGCTCCACAAGCTTTGATTGGAAATTGTGTTTTACATGAAAAACCTTTAATTTTAGCTCCACATCCACCCATGCACAAGCCACGTAAGTAAAGCTTAATTAATTTTTTAACCCTAACAAAACTGATATAAAATTTTGTATAAATCAGTTAGATTATTCTCATATTCTTGACTGACTGTATTTAAATTCAAGAACATTTTAGGCCCTCCAGAGCCGCCGATTACATTTGAGACTGAAAAACCTCCGCAAACGCCTGAACCAGAACCTTGTAAGACTACTGTGTACTTATTACTTCTGTGAACACCTAAACTGTACACAATATACCATTTTCTTTATTTTCAGTATCCACAACTTCAGCTCCGATTACAAGAGAAGATTCTGAGTCATGTGTCCTCCCTCTTTACTCTAATATAAAATTGACCGGGAAAAACTATAGATTTGGTAATGTTGAATGAGTATGTGGGAGGAGATACAAACTAATCATTTAACTGTAAACAGGTACCAAACCAAACAGCAGAATAGAATATATGTCACTACCTGGCAAACTGAGGGCGAAATATGAATTTACAGTTGATATAAAAACTACGGCACATTACGGCATTATATTCTTTGCTAGCAACAAGCATTTCACAGATTATATATCTCTTCTACTTATGGATGGAATGGTAAGATTTATTTTAGTGTGAGATATTGATATTTTTTCATTTTAACACTTTTAATAATCCATTACAGTTCATTGTCCGATTGACCAATTAACATTTTTCAATTAATTAATATTTATGAAAGTTATTGGTTGGGATAAAAAAGTCAGTGTCACGAACGGGATTCGAACGCAGGACCTTTAGCTTAATACGATAGCTCAAGTGGTAGAGTAGCGGCATATTTAGCCAAAGGTCATGGGTTCGAAACCTGCTCGTGACACTGACTTTTTTATCTCAACCAAGACCTTTCATAAATATTAAAAACTTTTAATAATTCCCTATTTTTCGTGGTCCGCTTGACCAATTAATATCATTCAATTAATTAAGGTTTCTAGTTGAGATAAAAAAAGTCAGTGTCACAAGCGGAATTCGAACCCACGACCTTCGGCTAAATACGATAGCTCAAGTGGTAGAGCAGCGGCATATTTAGCTGGTCATGGGTTTGAAACCTGCTCATGACAATGACTTTTTATCTCAATCAATACCTTTCATAAATATTAAAAACTTTTAATAATTCCATATTTTTTGTGGTCCGCTTGACTAATTAATTAAGGTTTTTACTTGAGATAAAAAAAGTCAGTGTCACAAGCAGGATTCGAACCCACAACCTTTGGCTTGATATGCCGCTACTCTACCACTTGAGCTATCGTGACTTCAATCCACTCGGGCACTAATTTCTCTTCTTTGAAAAATGGCAAAAAGGAGGGAATATTCAAAAAGGTGGGGTTGAGATGAGAAGTTAGTGCCCGAGTGGATCGAAGTCACGATAGCTCAAGTGGAAGAGTAGCGGCGTATCGAGCCAAAGGTTGTGGGTTCGAATCCCAATCATGACACTGACTTTTTTATCTCAACTAAAAACCTTAATTAATTGAACTTTTAATAATGTGTGATAATAGGCAGACCAAGATGAAGACAGTGTCATGCAACAATGATTTTTATTAATAAGTATCATTGTGAGAGTTGAAAGTTGTTGAATGTAAATCTGTTAAAATCTCCCTGTGTTAATAAAATCCATTTATCTTTGAAATTATTTTACATAGATTGCTTACATTTTCAACTGTGGATCTGGGGAAGCGTATATACACAGTACATTCCCAATAAATGACAATGAATGGCATACAATCACTTTTAAGAGAACGCATGAATCCGGCAGCTTAATTATCGACAATCAAGATGCAATTGAAGGAATGTCAGAGGGCTCGACAAAAACGCTCAACGTAACACCACCATATTTTATAGGTGGGCTCGATCCTGCTATAGCGCAAGACATCCCAGCAAATATTGTTAAGGTAATTATAGGTTAAGGTATCTGTTCAAAACACTCACAAAATATATTGATTTTAAAAGTTAAAAATACATTATAAATGTTTTCAGGGAGTAAAGGAGTCTTTTGATGGCTGTATTAAAAATTTTATGGTTAACGAACAGCCTGTCCCTAAATCAAGAAGTGAAGTAGGTGTAATACCATGCTCTGAAGATTATGAAAGTGGTGCCTATTTCCCTCCTGAAGGAGGCTATATAAAATTATGTAAGACCAAAATGTTAAAAATTAATCAATCTGAATGTCCATTAATATATATTTATCTGTTACAGCTGATAAATACTATGTCGGTAAAGGTGTTAATCTAAGGATGTCCATAAGACCTAGAGTCTATTCAGGAGTGTTATTATCCGTTAGAAGCAAATCAGACTATTTAATTGTTGCATTGGAAAATGGTGTTGTAGTGGTTAAAATTAAGACATCAAAAAGTAAAAGTATATCAGTGGACTATAAAATGCCTAATGAAGAACCAGCTTATATATGTAATGGAAAATGGCACAATATACATAGTAAGTTTATATAATTTAATCTAAAAAAATAAAAATATCTTGTAACATTTGCTTATTTTCATTATTTGTTTCAGTTATGAAGTCGGTTAACTCATTTTTGATTGGAATAGATGGTAAATACAGCGAAGTTATACAAACTCCCAGAAGATCAAGAGATATTATGACACAGGATCCAATGTACTTAGGAGGAACGCCTGACATGACAACGCCACCGTACGTCGGTTGTATTAGGAATATAACTCTAAACAATGATATACTGTTCGTTACAAAAGAAGCTACCTTTGGAAATGCGATAACCAGTGTTTGTCCAGTTATTTAAAAATGTTTTTTTCAACCATGTATATAGACATTTAGATTTTTTTTTAAATTTAGCTTAAAACTTTTATTAAATAATAAAATATTTAAAATATTTGTTCTCTTTACTATCTTTCCATGTACTCTCTATCTCATAAAATACACTCTGCAAATTTATATCACCCTTTTGACATTTTGTTTGTGTACATTGATTTACCTGGCATACCTCACTCTGGGTTTTGTCTATCAGTAACAATTGTTCACTATATTCAGAGGTCAGAGAAACTGAAACAGGGCCAACATACCAAGGCAGTGCATAAGCGGATAATAGCATAAACATGAGCTAAGCAGGTGACCTGAAATCTTAACTATATGTCTATCAGTCCATGGACCCCAACAAAAATTGTCGACTGTTAGAACATATTCTGTCTTTCAATACATTTTTAAACTATAAAAACATTCTAACACCAAATCTGTTACACTTATTTGCTTAATAATTTAATTAAATTTAAATATTTATAAGAAACGAAGTATTTAACTAATTTTTTTTTTTGTATTTTCTTCTTTATTTTGCCTGTTGTTTTGAGTACCTTTTAATGCTAACTTCAGCAATTCCATAAACCACAATATAATTTTTTTTAAATTAGCTTCAGAGGCACCTTCTTTCATTTCTCAAATTGAACCTGAATTTAAATGCAATAAAAATCCTGAAATATGTCCATATAATGTTCACTTATCTTTGTGTAAAACAAAAACAAAATGGACCACAACTTATCCAACAATTGGACGTTTAGAGAAAATGATGTTGATAAATCTTCTGACAACTTTCCAACAATAACATCAGTCAGCTTATCTGGAGGATCAAAATATACTCAAAAGTTGCTTATTCTTAGTCATTGTCCTAGTGAAGACCAAAGGGTAATTTTTTTAAATTGTGCTTTCGCTCAGCATTTTGAGACCAGTATAGTTTTTGAAAAATCCTTTTAATTCAGAATTATCGATCTTATAGATTACGTCATTGCTATTAATAAAAGCATGGGGCCGTACAGTGAATTACTGCAAGAAGAAATTGATGGAGAAATCAATCCCTGCATGAACTTTCTTTTCCTTTTAGTAGTTTTCTTTTGAAGCCCAAGAAAGATAAAATCTGACCCAAAGTTAGATAACAGTTTTCAGATGAAGCTGTTGGCTGAAGAAAAGGCAGAGAAAAATCATAATTAGCTTCAAAAAATGTACCAATATATATGGGTCTGACAATTGGGCATGTGAAAACCAAACAATTGGGTATAGTCAAGGGAGGTAATTGAAAGGTGAACTCATAATTGCTAGCTGAATGTAAGAAATCGGATGCTGGAAAGGAGATACTCTCTCATGTCCTTTTCAAGTGCCCAGAGAATCTCTCGAAGATTGTAAGGACCTAGGATCAAGGACCAATCCTCGGTCTCTTTAACTCAAGAAACCATTGAAACACCCCATTGTACGGGACATAGATAGATAGATAGATAGATATATATACTTTATTTACAAAATGAAAAAATTTAAAGTTAAAAATAAAAAACACAGTATTATTATGGCATGGTATTAAAACCGTCAGCCAGAGTTCGGAGTGCATTACTATCCCAAGAATATGCATAATTATATAATTATGAGAAAAGGAGAATTTAAAATATCAACTTCAGAGGTTACAATTATTTACAGGATTTTCAAATTACAAGGTTGAATTGCGATAAACTTTGAAAATAATAAAAATGACACTTCAAAGAACAAAAGGATTCTAACTTACATAGGGTCCCCCACAGGCCAACAGAATTCGCATTTAGAAGCCCACAAATTACAAATTATATTTATTAAAACAAACAGAACAAAATAAAAAAAAATAAAAAAAGACAAACAAAAAAGAAAAAAGAAACAAAATAAGACGAACAGAATATTAATTCCCTACATTCCAATGTATTCATATCTGTAAAACCAGGCTTTCCGAGCAAAATCAACAAGACCCCCGGCAATCGGAGCCATTCAGAAGGGCTATGAGCTCTTCCCTTGTCTGAAAACATACAGATACCTCAATTCGTTCAGGACCGAGCATCTAGCGAGAAAATGAAATGCATCCTCACGATCACCTGAGTTGCATAGAGAGCACACTGCAGTGGCAGGAGTACTCCCAACCCAAGGAACAACAACTCCCCTCGAATTTTAAACCACCAGCGGAAAAAAGAGAACGGAACATCATTTGATGGAGCAGAAAAAACATTGCAAGGAGTTAGGGAATGATTCAGGACATGTCTCTAGCCAAATATTGATGCCACAAATAAGGAGACCCTAGACCTCGCGGAGGCGTATGACACTGCTAGCACATTGTATTGGGTGATAGACCTCAAAACACAAAAATATGGGATATTGAGGGAAGCCCTCTTGGAGCTACACCACAAAAATTTCTTTAAGCAGTGAGTGTAGTAGTGCATACTGAGGATGCATACCTGTGCATACTGAGAAGACGCTCAGGTAACCTGGGATCAAGCAGCTCTCGAGAATGCTCCTCACCCTCTTCTTAACAGCGCTGAGGTCCTCACTCTCCATGGATCTCCTGCACCAAAGGATGCGAAAACTGGCAAATGCCAAACATTTATTATTTAAATTAAAATCGGGGGAAAATAGTTTGATAGAGTAGGGTTTAATTTGAAAAGGTTGCCTACTTGGCCAATTGTCATGTGCGATACCATAAAAAAGCAACAAATAACATTTTTATTGTGCAATTTCAATAGTCTCACTCACTTAAGAGAAAAGTGTTTTATTTGAAATATTAAACTAGTTTTCTTACACTAGTCAAAATTTAGTCCCTTCCAGTGTAGATACATGAAAAAATTCTTTAATTAGCTTCTTAGAAAAGTGTATTTTTTTAATTTTCTCCATGCTATGCTTGGACATAACACAGCATTACGTAGATGTTTGTCCAATTGTCTTTCACTTCATCTTCAATAGTGCCTGCGATACCATAAAAAAGCAACAAATGACATTTTTGTTGTGCAATTTTATAGTCACACTTTCACTTGAGAGAAAAGTGTTTTATTTGAAATATTAAACTAGTTTTCTTACACTAGTCAAAATTTAGTCCCTTCCAGTGTAGATACATGAAAAAATTCTTTAATTAGCTTCTTAGAAAAGTGTATTTTTTTAGTTTTCTCCATGGTATGCTTGGACATAACATAGTATTACCTAGATTTTTAAATTTGGTGGGAAAGCTAACAGACGACTGTCAATCAAAAATTATGACATTTTCACAAACGATGCCTGGTTCGGATGAAACATAAGCAATTAACAAGAAGACTTTAGTTTTAAAACATTGTATTGGCAAAAATATCGGCAGTTAGAAAAGTGAGGAACTCAAAGGAGGAAAAGTCGACAAAACTGAATCTAGACAGCACTGGTGCTATAGGTATTTAGGTTGTGCTGTCAGTGTGTCAGCTCGACATGAGAAAGAAACAAAGCTTGAATTAGTTATTTCGGTTCTGGACGGATATCAGGCGTTCAAATCGACGTCGTCGGACGAGATCACACTTCCTCTCGGTTCTCGGTTGAAATGTTCTGCACCTCCTGAAGGAGACTCAGTACCGTTTTGAGTTGAGTCGCCTGCCCCCTTTCACGATCGGAGGTCTCGTTTTTCTCAAAAAGACATCGCCGAGCATGGGCTTCGAAGTCAATCGTTTCAGCGGCGAAGTAGACGACGAGCTACTTTGCCCCATCTGCTCCGAAGTCCTAGAAGATCCTCTCCAGGTATATCTTGCTCTTTTTTTCTCATCCTGTCCAGATCGGGTAGCATTTTGGATTGGTGAAAGTTCTGGACAGTTTCGGAGTTTTCAACAATCGCAAAATGCTAAATAAGCCACTTACTGGACTCATTTTCATAGAAAAACATTTTGTAGTTTGGTCATTTCCGATCACCTGCTGATCGAATCATGCTAGTCCATCTACAAACGTAACCAGGGCCTATCCTTGCTGCAGAGTAGGCCAGCATCCTGATTTATTTTTTTAAATATGCCTGATTTCCTTAACGGCTCAGCTTTTTAGGTGAAATATTCTTTCAGCCAGTCGATAGTATTTCCAAAAATTAGCAGTGCGATATCTGCCAATTTACAAACCATAAAGGAATCGTGACCTTTCTAATTGTGGTCTGCAGGGTGAACCTGAAGTTTGGTTGCTTCCACAAAAGTCTGCCTTTGCTAGCTAATGTTGCCTTTCACACAGGCCATATTATATGTTTTTTGTTTTTTAAATATCTATGATTTCTTTACCAACTCAGTCTTTTAGGTGAAATACCAGTGTCTTTCAGCCTGTCGATTGTATTTTGAATACATCTGCCAATTTACAAACCATAAAGGAATTGTGACCTTTCTAATTGAGGTCTGCAGGGAACCTGAAGTTTAGTTGTTTCCAGTTTGGTCTGCCTATCCTTGTTGAAGTCGTCCGTCATAAAGTCCATGCATCATGATTTTTTTTTTTAAATATGCCTAGTTTCTTTAACTACTCAGCATTTTGGGTGAACTCTTCCTTTCAGCCATTCAATTGCATGTGCAATAATCTGTCAGAGTGATATCAAACAATTTCCAAACGAGAAACAAATTGCGACTTTTTTAATTGAAGCCTGCAGGATAAACCTGAAATTTGGTTGCTTCTAGGTGAGACTGCCTATGCGAGCTGTTGTTGCCTGTTATACCGTACTACATCATGATTTTTTTACAAGGCCTGATTTTGACAACTGTCAACGTTTTGGGTGAATTATCTCATATTTTCAGTCCTTCGATTGTATTTTCAATAGTTTAGCAGATTAATATCGAACAATTTATAAACCATAAAGGTATCGTCTGCAGGATGAACTCGAAGTTTTGTTATTTTCTATTGGGTCTACATACCTAGTTGCTATCATACAGTCTATACTGCATCATGATTTTTGTTTTTTTAATATGCCTGATTTCTTTAACGGCTCAGCCTTTTAGGTGAAATACATTTTTCTTTCAGCCAGTCGATAGTTTTTCCAAAATATTAGCAGTGCGATATCAGCCAATTTACAAAGCATAAAGGAATCGTGAACTTTCTAATTGAGGTCTGCAGGGTGAACTTAAAATTTGGTTGCTTTCAGGCAAGTCTAGCTATTCTAGCTGTCATCTGACCCATGATCTATATGTTTCATTTCTTTGCCTAAGCGTTTTGAGTGAAATACCTCATTCCTTAGGTCAATTAATTGCATTAACTATATATTAGCCAATTTACCAACCATAAAGGAATTATGACCTTTCTAATTGAGGTCTGCAAGGTGAACCAGACGTTTAGTTCAATAGTTTCCAGTTTGGTCTGCCTATCCTTGCTGTTGTTTGCCTGTCATACGCCTGCTTCATAATTTTTTGTGTTAAATATGTCCAATTTTTTTAATAATTCAGCCTTTTAGTGAAATACCTCTTTCTTTCAGCCAATCGATTGTATTTCCAATGCATTAGCAGGGCGATAACAGCCAATTTACAACCCATAAAGAATTGTGACCTTTCTAATTGAGGTCTGCAGGGTGAGCCAGAAGTTTAGTCATTTCCAGTTTGGTCTGCCTATCCTTGTTGCAGTCATCCGTCATAAAGTCCATGCATCATGATTTTTTTTTAATATGCCTAGTTTCTTTAACTACTCAGCATTGTGGGTGAAATACCTCATTCTTTCAGCTTTTCAATTGCATGTGCAATAAACTCATAGGGTGATATGAAACAATTTATGAATCATAAAGGAATTGGAACCTTTCTAATTGAGGTCTGACGGGTGAATCTGAAGTTAAGTCGTTTCCAGTTTGGTCTGCCTTTCCTTGCTTCATTTGTCTGTAATATAGTCCTTAATGCAAAATTATTTATTTTATTTGCATGTTTTTAAACATGTCTGATTTCTTCAAACTCAACTGATCCTCAACTCAGCTCAGCATTTTGGGTTAATTACCTCATTTTTTCAGCTATTCAATTATATGTGCAATAAACTTTTAGGGTGATATGAAACAATTTACGAATCATAAGGAATTGGAACCTTTCTAATTGAGGTCTGCAGGGTGAACCTGAAGTTTCGTCGTTTCCAGTTTGGTCTGCTTTTCCTTGCTTCATTTGTCTGTCTGACTTATTGCAAAATAATTTTTTTTTTAAACATGTCTGATTTCTTTAATAATTCAGCATTTTGGGTGAAATACTTCATTCTTTCATCTATTTAATTGCGTGTGCAATAAACTGTCAGGAAAAACCATAAAGGAATTGGGATCTTTCTAATTGAGGTCTATAAGGGTGTACCTGAAGTTTAGTCATCTGGGTCGTCGGTGGCCGCAACGGTTTAGGCGTTGACACGGCGCTCATCTCTGTAAGGTAAAGCCTCATCCAGCGGCCCTGCATTCGAATCCGACATACTTACAAATGCGCTTTTTTTCAAACACACCGGCACCCTGAGGGTTTATATGACCTCTGCTGTTGCGAACCCTCTTTAAAAAAAAGTTTAGTCATTTTAAGATTGGTCTGTCTACCCTTACTGCATTCGGCTGCCGTACAGCCCATACTGCCTCATTTTTGATTGTCTGATTGAAATACTTCTTATTTTAAAAAGAGAACTCATACAAATTACAGTACACAAAGTATAATGGCATGGCTAATGCTTTCTGCCATGACTGCGCAGTGGCAATATCGCAATCAATGAAGTTCTACTGAGATGTGATTATTGCTGGTCATGAATTTTTTATTTATTTTTTTATATGTATGACTGATTTCTTTAACAACTCAGTGTTTTGGATGAAATACCTCATTCTTTAATTTAATTTAGGCCTGCAAGATGAAAACTGAAAACTGGTTGCTTCCGGGCAAGTCTGCCTATTCTAGCTGCTGTTGTCTGACACATGATCTATAATACTTTTTAAAAGGATAGTTCCTACTCACAGTAAGTTGTTTTGCAACGATCAGGATTTCGAGCCTTTTAGCTCATCATCAGGTTGAAGGACTTCTACAACCTGATGATGAGCTAAAAGGTTCAAAATCCGGATCGTTGCAAAACAACTTACTGTGAGTAAGAACTATCCTTTTAAAAAGTATTGAACACCACACTCACTCCATCATTTATCATTTATATTGATCTATAATATGTTTGATTTCTTTGCCTGACCGTTTTGGGTAAAATACCTCACACTTTCAGTCTTTCGATTATATGTGCAGTAAACTAACAGTGATGTTAAATTGTTGAACAACTTACAAACCAGAAAGGAATTGGGGCCTTTATAATTGAGGTCTGCAGATGAAGTTAAGTCGTTTCCAGTTTGGTCTGCCTATCCTAGCTTCAGTTGCCTGTTATACGGTCCATACTGCATAATGATCTTTTTACATTGTCTGATTTTGACAACTGTCAGCGTTTTGGGTGAATTATCTCACATTTTCAGTCCTTCGATTCTATATTCAATATTTTAGCAGATTAATATCGAAAAATTTACAAACCGTAAAGTAATTGTCTGCAGGATGCTCGAAGTTTGGTCATTTCCTGATGGGTTTGCACATCCTAGTTGCTATCATACTGCATTATGATTTTTTTACAATGTCTGATTTTGACAACGGTCAGCATTTTGGGAGAATGAATTACCTCACACTTTCGATCCTTCGATTGTATATCCAATTTTTTATCTCAACCCATACCTTACATAAAGATTAATTAATTGAAATAAGTTATTTGGTCAATCGTACCATGAAATCTAATGGATTGTTTATCCAATATTTTAGTAGATTAATATTGAACAATTTACAAACCATAAAGGTATTTTCTGCACGATGAAATCAAAGTTTTGTCATTTCCAGTCAGGTCTACATGTCTACATATCCTAGTTGCTATCATACAGTCCATACTGCATCATGATTTTTTTACAAGGTCTGATTTTGAAAACCGTCAGCGTTTTGGGTGAATTACCTCACACTTTCATTCTTTCAATTGTATATCCAACATTTTAGCAGATTAATATTGAACAATTTACAAACCGTAAAGGTATTGTCTGCAGGATGAACTCAGTTTTGTCATTTCCATCGGGTCTGCATATCCTAGTTGCTGCATTTTGTTACCAGAAGGGAATTTTAACCTTTTTTAACCTGAGGCCTGTTGTGTGAATACAGTGAAAAGCTGCCTCTGAGATAGCTCAGGATCAACAAATAGCCAAAGTTCACAGAAAAATTGTTAAAATAGCGTATAATTTGTGTGTGGAATTATAGTCAATTTAACCTCTGCGATTTGACCAAAACTGAAAAATTTTTGAACAAATTTGTAAATATAGCCACAGTTTCTCTAATTGATTATTAAAAATAACAATTGATAAAGAAAAAATCTGTCCCTGATATATTTATATTATGTAACCAGATGGACAACATAATAACACATACTCACTGAAGATGGCTAAATGCAATGCCTAAGTGTGTTTGACAGAACAGCGAGGATGTTTAGAAACAACCAACAAATTATTTTTCCACTGACATCTCTCAAAAATCTCACGATAATCTTGACCAAATGCAGTCTTATCTTGTTTTTGAGTTTTGTATTTTGGCCTCGGCAGCCAGACAAGAACATAATTTTATGAATACTAGAAGATCACTAGCTATTGAGGCTCATATAAAATTTATTATGTCGATTGTTAATAATAATTAAAAAGATTTTGTGACAGGCACCATCCTGTGAGCACGCATTCTGCAGCGCTTGCATTAGAAAATGGATCTCTAGACAGTCCACGTGTCCTGTCGACAGACAAGCTATAACACAGCTTCGACCTGTGCCTCGAATTTTGAGAAACTTTCTTTCTAGGTACATTTTATTATACAGCTCCTTGACCGTCACTGATGTAAATTGGTTTCAGACTGAGCATAACCTGTGACAATGCAGTATATGGGTGCCAAGCAGTTTTAAAACTAGACGCGCTCAGGAGTCACGTATCTGAATGCGAACACAATCCAAAGAAGCCAGTGCCATGTGAACAAGGTTGCGGTCTTGTCATACCGATGGATGAACTCAAGGATCACAACTGCATCCGTGAGCTGAGAGCGCTCATCCACTCCCAGCAGCAAAAAATTCAAGACTTCCAGCAGGAAATAGCCGACCAGAGGTTTCAAATTAATGAGCAAAAAAATGAACTTTTTATATTGAAGGTAAATAGGAGAAAATGTTGTTTATTGGTCGAACGATTATGTTTGAATGATTTTTTTCAGGATTTTGTAAGAGCCATGAGAGTGTCAAATCCAACGATGAGAGCATTAGCCGATGAAATGGAAAGAGATGAAGTTGTCAGATGGTCCAACACTCTTACCAGGGCAAGAGTGACCAGATGGGGTGGTATGATATCCACTCCTGATGATCTTCTTCAGGCAAGTCTTTTCTTTATCATCAAAGAAATGTAGTTAAAAATGTAGTTAGTGAAAAATGTAGTTTAAAAAAATGTTTAATAAGGCTATATATATATTTCCTCAAATCAACTTTATGCATATATCATTTTGCAGCATTTTTTATGTAGAGTGCAATAAAAATATAAAACTTTATCAAAACCAAAAAATTTCTAAAAACAAAAAAAATTTAATTAAACTAGGTCATTTTTTCCTGTAAAAACTAACTTGAAATTTTGGTTTGAATTTAAATTTATCGATTTTTTGACCCATAAAATTTTTCCCATTTTTGAGAAGTCGTTATTGGAATATCTGAATTAAAAGGTTAAAACTTATAAACGGCCAAAAGGATTTTAACATCAAAGATGCCAAAGAGGGACATAACTTTTTAACAGCATAAAATTATTTGTCAGAAATTAACCTCGTTTTTTTAATGGAAATAATAGTTAGATTGTAATGTTTAATACAGTTATAAAATGCACTTGATAGTTACTTTAAAACGAATTATCAACCATGAAAATCGGTCGACTAGCTTTTGATAAAAATGATGTTAGAGTTTGCCCTAGGAATTCAGTCATGTACAAGGTTGTCAAAATTATCAGTCAAAAAATTAATTTAGATTGATTTCCTCCGAAAGTCGGTATCTAACGGTTTTATAATGCTAGAGTCACGACAATGAGGTCAAATCCAAGTTTTCACCATTTTCTTGCTTTCTTTGCTTTCAGAAAGTTTGTTAAAATATGCAAAAAAACTTTTGATTTCTCTTTTAAAATCATACCAAATTAAAATATTCTGCGTCGTAGAACATTTTTGTTTTTATGTTAACCAAAAATGAAGTTAAAACACCAATAGTCATATTTCTTTAATCTCTCAGTAACAATTTATGATCATATTTAATTGTAACTGAAATTAGACTGAACATTAACCAGATTAATTAATTTATTTATATTGTATAAATTAAAATATTAATAAAAATTATAAGAATAAAGTAAATTTAATTAAATGATCATAAATCGTTATTTAGAGATTTACAAAAAATTAATTTAAATTCAAATCAAAATTTATACATATTAGGGATCTCTAGAGGTGCGATTTCATGTTTCATGAAAAAAAAATTTATAACCTAGTTTACTTTGAAAACATTTGGTTTTTAGAATTTTTTTTTTTTATTGATAGTTTGATAGCTTTTACTATATTTTTATTGCAATCTACATAAAAAATGATGTAAAATGATTTATTCACATAGTTGATTTGAGCAAGTAGAGAGGCAAAATAAAAATATTAAAAACGGAAAATTTCATAAAAAAAAAAAAATTTTTTTTGCGAAAGCAGGGCTTATTCTTGGTACAAAGTGGCAGTTTTGTGTCCTATATTTTGTCGTGTAAAATCACCAAAAAAAGTTTGGTGTAAATCTGTGATACTAACCTGGTCGTCCCCTTGTCAATGTGATTATTTACAGCATTTGTTGATTTAGCAAATGTAAATATTTTTCTAAGATGGGAATTAGTAGTATTGTGGACGGGGTTTATTGATTGAGGGAGGATTGGGATTTTTTGTGGTTCATTATGATCTATTTTGGGCTAGAGCTGGCATAATGCATCGATTTATGTCATGGGAACAAACATTAAAGCAGAATTACTGTTCTTCAAGAATATAAAGTAAAATAGCAATGAATATGGGGGAGGCATTGGTGGCCATAATGGTTGACACGGCACTCATTCAGCGACCCTGAATACGAGCCCTACATACATAACTTTTTTTCGAACTGGCGCCCTGAGGGTCATATAACCTCATTTAAAAAAATATATATTATTTTTCAGTACATTTATATGGAAATTTATTTCAATTACAGAGAATGATTAAAAGGTCGTTGGCTGAATCTGGCTGTCCTGCTCATATTGTCGACAACCTTATGGAAAAATGTCATGAGATGAGTTGGCCGCCTGGGCTGAGTTCACTTGAAACAAGACAGAACAACAGGAGAGAATACGACAGCTACATATGCAAACGTATACCAGGGAAGCAGGCCGTCGTCGTATTACAGTGCGATAATCCTCATATCAGTCAGGACATGATGGTGGAACCCGGTCTTGTTATGATATTTGCACACGGTATCGAATAAATCGAAGCGGTTTTGTGATAGTACATGGGTCTTGGTCAAGGTCCTGTATGTTTTTACCTAAAATGATTTTTTTTTTTATTGTGATAATTTATATAAACTGGGTAAAATTTTGCAGGTTTGATAAAATTTGAATATTGATTTTGGTCTTTAACATATATTAAATTGGGAAATTGGAGGGTGGGCGGTTCTAATTTGATTTGAAATTTCTATTGTTGTATTGTCATAAATCTGAACTATTTATTCACAATATTTTAAATCAGTCATTAAAAAAAAATTGAAATTTATTCGCCTAGAAGAAATAATTATATGAATTTAAACAAAATTCCAATTTCTCATTTGATATATTTTTATTAACTTTCTCTGTTAAACATAAACTTCCACATTATTATTATTATTTATTGAAGATATTAAGTGCTAAAAAGAGCGAGACTGAAAATATAAATTTCCTATATGGCTGTGTATACATCTGTATGCTATAAATTGATTTCATGTAATAATTGCTAATGGATCAAAATAATTATTTATTCATTATTTCTCAGATTGATTCAACATAGCAATTCCATAAATTTTATTTATAAACTAACTCGATGGACTGTTGCAATTTGGACTTAACGTTTTAAAAAATGTATGTTGCACTTGTTAATTTATGTTTTGAATCAGAATTTCGTTACATTTAGGAGAAACAAGTAGCCCAAGAGTTAAAAAAAGATTAAGGGTTTTTGTTTAATATTGAGGCCAAAGTAGTCAAAATAACTTTAAATAATACTATAAAATAATTCAAAAGATTTGTTTCCCGATTAAACATTTATCTTTTAAAATCAGAGAATAGTGATAATTGATCCATGAAAGTAAATGGGATCCGATATTGTAGAAAACAAAAATGTATCCCCTGTGGTGTAACCCGTAGAAAAAGTAGAATATTAAATGAACTCATTTTTTATATATTTGTGAATAAAATGTATGTGGATATAACCATTTTTCTTAATTCACCCAAATTTATTTTATTGCTTGTTATGATTTGAAGTAAAAAAAATTAAAAAAACGTGATTATTGCACCAATTTGGTATGAGTATTGAACCTCCAAGCATGATCAATTATTAATTAATAACTAACTATAGCCTAGTCATTTCATTTGTAACAAATTTTGTCCAGGGTGTCAAATAGTAATATAAAAATCTTGAACATTTAAATGCTGTTTTATTAATAATGAAACATACATATAGAAAAATAATTTGCACAGATCAAAAACACTTCCTGAATCCCTCAATTTTACATATTTTCATAATTACAAAATCATGAGGCGTACTACGTTTTGGAATAGATACTCAATCATGTAATGTTCATTACGATTAATCGTCAAGCATCACAAAAAGCATATTTTATTGATAGCAAAAGATAGTTGCCAGAAAATGTATGTTTTAACAATTCACTTGTATGATAACTTTTTTCATATACTCTTCAGTTATATCGATTAATATAAAAATACAGTAAATTTATATTTTAAATAATGAACAAATGGGCCCAACAATAACAAATTTGTTTTTGGTGTTTTAAATTTCACAGTTTTGTGTACTCATTTGTATACCAAAAGCATATAATTAGTATCAATTTACATTTGGCTTCTTATTGTATTTATATAAAACTTGTTAATTATTGTTTAATATTGTGCTGTTATGGTGTTATGTATATACATATATTAATTTTAAGGCTTGAGCTTTCATTTTTTTTCTATTTTCATCTTTAAAATTTTGTGTTTTGTAAACATTAAATTGTATGTTTATAAATTCAAAATGATTATTTTTACATCATGCTTCAAAAATGGTGTGCTTTAGTGCTTAAATTGTTTGATAGCAAACATAAATATTGCTTTGTTATTTATATTTTCCTAAATTTGTCTGTTATTTGTTGCAAAATTGGATGTGAATTTATTATTTAGCTAGTCATTTTTTAAATTTTTTAAACTTATATTAGTTTGGTGATTAAGTACTTTTAAGTAAGCACTTTGACTAGAGCAAATATTTGGACCAAATGGATGTAGAAAAACAATCATATAATTTTATAGCTAACAATTTAATGGTGGATTATTTTTTTAAATAGTGAAGATTTAGAACAATACATGTTCATGCAATTAAAATAACATTGTCTTGTAGATGTTCTTTTTTATTTATTTTGTTATAATTTGATAGAAACTTTTTTTTTGCCTCGAGTGTGGTGCATCGATAAATAAACTTAATGAGTCTTGCACATGATATTGATTTTTCCCCCATTTATTTATCTCATTAAGGCTATTTTTATAACAAGACATTTATTTATTTTATTAATTAATTTTTTTTTTTTTAATAAGGCATTCAACTATATAGGTCATGTTCTGCCTTAATCCATGTAAATTTGCCACAATGCCACCCAGCTCGTAGGCTCTCTGAATCTGCAGTTACATAAACAGTCATAGTCTTTACTTAAATGGTTTTTCATTGACCATATCAATGCATTTTTGTGTTTTGTCAATACTTCAACTTGTTGCAAAAATATCTGCGCCCCAATCATGGTCCAACTATTAAACAATTGCACCAATTGTTTGGTATTTTCTTATGAAAATCTAACTTTTGATAATATAATTTTGGCAAACTGTCATTTTCCAAGGAAAGCAAATTTATCCACTAATTAAGGGTTATTTTAAATATTTAGACCTGTTGCAGTGCTTCTCTCTCTAACTCTCATGTCTAACTACATCATTGGGCGTGTTTTTGAACAATTGCAAGAGTCTTATAAAATCCGACTTGCAGTTTTTCCAGTTTCAAAATGTGGGAGAGCTCACACGTCACCACAATATAAAATAGTTGCACACCATTCACTAAAGAATCGAAAAGCACCACAAAGGGGGTTCAAGAATCTTAGTTAACAATGCAAATGATTTGCCTTACCTTTGTTCATGTTGCCACACCTTGACTTATTCAACAGCTTTAGTGAATTTACAACTTGATGTAAACGAGAAGCCAAGATAATTGTATTAGTGAACTAATTCTATTTCCTTATTATTATAGAAAAATTTGTTCATTTTATTCGGTTTTTACCTGCATTTTTTATCTAACAATGATTTTTGTTTTGGATATGTTGACTGTTAATGAGTTTTGATTGCAGCACTTGTTTATGAGATATAATTTGAACTGTACATTTGTGAGTTACAGAGACAATGTCATCGGCATATAAGAGCATGATAATATATTTTTGCTCATTCAGATATATCTCCTGCATTTATCTCCAATGTTTAATTTGAAATAAAAAATTTCAAATTTCCCAAATTGAAATGTACATCTTTTTGTGAGTAACAGAGCAAGACAGTGTCATCAGCATATAAGAGCATGCCAATATCTTTTTGTTCATTCAGATATATACCTACAGTGCCATGATCCCTAAAAAAGTCTACCAAGTCTTATGAAGAGGGAAAATAATAAAGGGCTGAGGTTTTCTCCTTGTAGGACACCCTCAGAGTCCTTAAAATCCTTAGTTTTATTGTTGTTTTGTTCCAATGAGAAACTGTTTTTACTGCTGCTCAACTTTTAACATGCAAAAAACGTTAATTACCACACAATTAAATATTATCTTAGTAAATACTGACAGAAAATCAGTTTTTAATTAGTGATTAATTTGTATGTCAAATGCAGGTACATCTATTATATTATTTATCCATTTTTCTCTATGTTTAATTTTACTTTTTTTATTTCAAATTTCTCAATTTGAACTGTACATCTTTTTGTAATAACAAATCAAGACAATGTCATCAGCTTATAAGAGCAAGTCAATATAGTTCGTTCATTCAGATATATTCCTAAGGTGCCGCAATCCCTAAAGAAGTGCACCAAGTCTCTCATGAAGAGGGAAAATAATAAAAGACTGATGTTTTCTCCTTGTAGGACACCCTCAGAATCCCTAAAATCTTTTAATTTTTATCTCAAATTTAGTAGGTACATGTTTAAAATAGGAGGTAAATTAAAATCTATATTATTTATGCATTTATCTCTACATTTAATTTTACATTTTTTATTTCAAATTTCTCAATTTGAACTGTACATCTTTTTGTGAGAACAGATCAAGACATCATCAGCATAAAAGAGCATGACAATATCTTTTTGCTCATTCAGATATATACCTATGGTGCCATGATCCCTAAAGAAGTCAACCATGTCTGTTATGAAGATGGAAAATAATAAAGGGCTGAGGTTTTCTCCTTGTAGGACACCCTCAGAGTCCCTAAAATCTTTAGTTTTATTGTTGTATTGAAAATAATAAAATTTGTAAAATGTAAAACAAGTGACACAACATAACAAACAACAACACACAATAAAACAAACAACCGGCAATACTTTGCTTTTCCCTAGGTATTATAGTAACTAAGACAAGTGTTCTTCAATGATTGGCGCATTGATCATTACTGATATTAGAGGTTTTTCTTGTTTTTCATTAAAAAAAAGGCACGTCTTCATTTATATGCGAGTCATAAAGTGGCGCCGTTGGATCGAAGAGACCAATAGGGATTTAGAAATTCGAAGTTGAAGGTTCAGACTGAACTCTTGAAGCACTTCGTTGTTTGTCGTGGTGCTAGACTCGGCAAACATCGTTTATCTCAGTAAAATCACCGGGTGGTGTCATTCGCGATTCACGTTCACATTCAGTTCTCTACTTCGAAACTGAGCAAATATGACCGTCGAACATCTCGCCGCAGGTGAATCTCAATTTGAGAATCTAGTTTTGTTGAATTTTTATATATTCTTTTACATATTTTGTCCAGGATCCAAGGCCGTGCCTCTTCAAGAAGGAAAGCTACGTTTGTATTCCATGCGCTTTTGCCCCTACGCCCAGCGAGCTCACCTCATTCTCAACGCCAAGAACATTCCGTACGTATTTCTTGATGTTTGTTGAAAATCCCTTGGACTTGAGTACTAAGTACTCTAACGAAGCAACTTAACTAAGTAGAGAGTTGTACTGTAAAAAAAAAATAATGACCCAAAGTTTCTACACGAGTTCACCGACTCACAGACCAACACCCAGCATCAAGAAAAGTTGCTGTTTAACAATTTCAATAAAAAATTTGTTAATAGTACAATAACGCTTTTTTTCAGTGCAATATTTACAACTACGTACATAGCTTAGCACATGTTAAATATTGGGTGTGAGCATAAGTTTTTTTCAATTGCAAGGAGTACCTTCTGTCCTAGTCCAACTTCGTGAACAGAAAAGTGGTAATTTTTTACCAGAACAATGGGAGACCTCAGAACTACAGCCAGTATGACAGTGTACGATCTTACTTGCGCCTTTTCCTCTTCTAGTTGTAAGAATTCACCTACATGGACCTTCACACAAACATAAATATGTTATAAGTATATTCTGTAGTCTCTTCTTCTTGGCAGTATCTGTTCAGTGTTTCTTCTGTCTGTACTCCTACCCAGTACATGTGCCTTCTTTAGTGTTAGGAGTTCAGCCAGAATTGTTTGTAAGTTTTTCTGTTGGTCCTTCTATGAATCTCTTCATGTGCCTCATCCTGAGTTATTATGCTACAAAACTTTGGACTCTAAAGATCCATTTTAAGATGTATCCTCTTTTGTGGCAAGATGCTATGCCACAGTAGGGTTCAGGACCAAGAGTCCATGTTGGCTCCCTCTTTGGCCAACACGACAACCTTTTCATTGACACTAATCTCAGAAGCTCAGGGACCCCATACCAGGGTCATTGGTGTTGCCGATTTCAGCTTGGGTACCCATGCAGTTCCAAACACTCTTTGCCTTCACCTCCATGAGGCTGGGCCTTTAGCCTGACTGACAGAGAAGATGTCTATCTTACAAGAATGTATTCTTTTTATTTATTTTTTTCCCTGGCACATTGTTCAATTGCTATGATGTCAGACTGGAAAACAGTATGGTATTTACCTAATTTTAGAGTCAGTTCAGTTTTGCATTCATCGCAAAGATTCGAGCCTCCTTGACAGGGATGATAATAAAGTTGGATATGGTTGGAAAATCTTACCATTCCCTCTCAAGAACTGACTGTACTTGACTTTCTCCTTTTCTTAGCAATGGACAATCGAGAATTCAATAATTGCAAACAGCTGGAAAATGAGGTGAATTTTATTTTTATGTTCCGGAAACCAAATATTAAAAACGGCATAACTGGCCTAGTAACTCGTTGGACAAAGGTCTGGAGATTATGGAGATTATTTCACCGAATAAAATATTTCTAAACTAATGTTAATCGTGGAACTTATTAAACCGTTTAAACCCATATGAACTTTTCTGTTTACCTAAGTCAGCTATTTCAAAAGCAGTAATATTGATAAGTGCAGTTTTTTCCACATTTTGAAGATTGAACTCAATTATGAATTAATTAAAAAATTTGATATATTGAACTATGAATGGAATAGAGATGATACATTTAATTTTATATGTTAAGCAAATCAAATCCATAATAATATAATAATAATAAATAATATAAAATTTGGTATAATAAAATTTGTCCTTTGTAAATCTTTACATAGATAACCAAAGTTTATGCTGCATGCAAACATTTGTTTAAGGATCTCACTATCTTACATTGTTTTTTTTTTATACCACAATTTTATTAGGACCTTTTTCTACATAAGAAAGATTGTTTCCTTTGTTGTTTTTTTTTTCAACTTTTAAGTTTACAGTTTGTAATCATATTTCCCCTTTTTTTTTTTTTTTTAAACGAGGATTCGCAACAGCAGAGGTCATATAAACCCTCAGGGTGCTGGTGTTTTTGAAAAAAAGCCCATTTGTAAGTATGTCGGGTTCGAATGCAGGGCCACTGGATTCAAACCCGGGATCTTCACCTTACAGTGGATAAGCGCCGTATCAACGCCTAGACCGTTGCGGCTACCGATGTCCCGAGTATTCTTTATTATTACTATTTTTCCTTAAATTATTATTGCTATTATTATTTCCATTTTGTATTATGTATTTTATGTCAATTTGTTTCATTTTATGTTAATGCCAAACCTTCTTAATTCAAGTGTCAGATTTTTAAAAAATGTCACGTTATTGTTATTCTTTCTTAGATTCTTAGGGGACTCTAGTCCTAGAATAAAGTATTTTCTTGTGCCTAGTGTAAATGGCCCCCTTCTCCTCCCAGTGGCCGAGTATGAAATGCTAGTCGTGTAGTCCTTGTTCCTTGGTTCCCCATGAATTGAGTTTCACAACATAACCCAGAGATCAAATTCTTTCTATGGTTGTGCGATGTTCCTTAAATATGATACAGTTAATTTGTCCTCTTCCTCCAGTGCCAGCAATTAGTCGCAACTTTTGAACTTCCTTGAGGCCGAGGCTGGCGTTTGATTTGTCTCTCTACAGTATGAAAACAATTAATTAAGGTTTTTAGTTGAGATAAAAAAGTCAATGGCACGAGCGGGATTCGAACCCACGATCTTCGGCTAGATACGCCGCTGCTCTACCACTTGAGCTATCATGACTTCGATCCACTCTGACACTAACTTCCCATCTCAACCCCACCTTTTGAATTTTCCTTCCTTTATTATGAAAACATTGGAACCATTGATTTGGTTTTTCTACATTACCATTGTAAATTCCACATAAATTTCGACAGGCAGCCCCTGCTCTATGGCCGAGATCAATCTTGCACAGCCTCAAATGAATTTTATCTGCTGATAATGTTGTACTCATCACAGTTTATTCTAGACTGACTTTTGAGATCAACTATCCCTTTCTTAACAATCTCTTTTTCAATAGGACTTTTCCCACCCTCCTACAATGAAATTAATCACTTAAATGCTGTATGATTCCGCTTTGGCTTGTTTTTCCTTTGATAAACTTACTGTTAGGAATAAAATAAATTTCATTTCCAGCCATGACACAGTTTATATCAATCTGAAAAATAAACCAGAATGGTATCTCGAGCAGTTTCCTCTTGGAAAAGTGCCTGCTATTTGTGTCGACGGCGATCGCATCTACGAGAGTTTGATAATCTGCGACTTCCTTGACGAGAAGTACCCGGAAAACCCGATGTATCCGAAGGATCCTCTCAAAAAAGCTAAAGACCGCATTTTGATCGAACGTTTCAGCAAGGTAAACCGTTCTTCTGTGGATGTCTGATTCATTCTAATAACATTTTCGTACAACAGGTCAGTAGTTTGCTTTACCAGTGCTATTTAAATCCAAATATGGATGTTCAATTGCTACACCCTGTGTTCGATGCTATGGACCACTTTGAGAAGGAACTTAGAAAACGGGGGACACCGTTCTATTCAGGTTTGTAGAAAATTTCATTATAAAATCTGCGTGTGTGTTTTTCCTCCCCTAATAAGTTATTTTGTAGGAAGCAAACCGGGCATGGTTGACTACATGATTTGGCCCTGGTGCGAAAGACTCGAAATGCTAAGAGTGATCGGAGGTGATAACTTCAAAGTGCCTAAGGATAGATTTGCAAAGCTTGTACGTAATATATCGAACTTTTAAAATAATATAACTTTAAAATAAGAGTTAAAATGGTTATTGCAATTGAAAAAACATTAATATTACATTATTACATAATTGTATATATTTCCTTTGTTTCAGTGGCGGTGGTCTGAAGCAATGTTGGAAGATGATGCTGTTAAGAAACATTATGTCACACCCGAGCAGCATGCCAAATATCTCCAGTCACACAGAGCAGGAACTCCCGATTTTGACAATATTCTCTAATTTTGTCAAACATGGTTAATATCTTTATTAGAATTAATGTTAAACCATTATTCTAATAGTTGAAGAGTAAAAACTAAATAATATTAAATTTTTTAAGGCTCTAATAGGTCACTAAATGCTAGTTTAATTATAAGGGAAAAAATGTGTAACATTTACCTCATGTGAATTTCATAAAATTTACAATAATGTGGTTTTTCATTAAATGTTTATGTTCGTTGATACTGTAATGCACAAGGTTCACAAAATGTCGTTTTATTTTTGTATTATAATCAAAATTTGCCTAGCATTTGTTGTATTCATCTTTAAAAGTAATGAAAAATAAACTATTTTTGATGCTGATTTATTTGTGGTAAATTTATTCTCATGACAATACCTGTAGTTTCTATTTTTTCCCCGTTGCAATTCTCAAATTTGAAAGAAAGGTCAATCAAAGAAGACAAATCAATGATGGTTTAAATTATAATTATCTAGATACTGGAAATGTCTTATTACAGTGGAGCTCAAAGTAATTGTAGGTGTTCAGTATCCTTGCTAACATCAATGGACTGCTTAGTATCAAATAAATCCTGCATTGTGTTCGTCACTGCAATAGGTGTTGTGACTGAAAAAAAAATTATGATTTTATGTAATTACTTTTGATAAGACAGTCATACCAAGGGGTGTTTGGGACGTTGCGTTATCTAAAGCACTATTTTCTGGGATTGGTGAATTGACTTCGCCCCCTGTACATTCAGTGTATAAAAGTTCAAAATCATCCAGCGCTATTGTTCCGTATGTGTTGTCTTCGACGAACTGAGCTTCAAATATCAGCTAAAGCATTTCAGACAAAATTAAAAATACAGAACATGTAAAATACAATCAGGACAATCTTGCCTTGAATGGCCTCGTGACATAAAGTGGGATTTCAACGTGTATCCAGTTCCCTGAGTTTGTATCATTACTCCAAAGCTCGAACGTAGTTTCAGGATCGTTATTCAATTGTGTAACTCTTTCCAAGAATGCTTGGGATAACTGTAAATTTTTATGTTCTAATATGTATTTTTTCACACAAAAAATTACAAACCTTGAGGCTAGCAGAGGAATCGCTCTGAATCATGTACCAGAAACGCACACAGCCAAGTGGACCTTTCATTTTATCCTGTTTTGCCACATTGTGGAAATTAATCGACACAAGGTAGCCTGGAGTGGTACCAGCACTTTCGAAAGTACTGTACAAATATCCATCTGAAGAATAACGCATTTTTTAAACGAGTAATAAATAAGTTAAAAATTAATTCAGTACCAGTTTCATTTACAGAACGCCAGTTCCAAATTGACGAATCTCCATTTTTGAACCCACAAGTATGCTTATTAAATGTGCATATGGTGTCATAGGGAAAACCATCTTTAGCCTTCGCTCCTGAAATTTTATTATGCAAAAAAAAATATGTGAACCAATAAAATATATATAAAAATAATCCAAGCTTGTGATCATATTCACATATTGTGATCATACATAAGAAAAAATACGGGTCGTCCGAGAGGCTTTTGCACGTCAAGAGCACGATTCGTAGATGGCTCCCCGAGAACCTGAGCCGGAAACAAGGAATCATCCTTACATGATTAAGAATAGGCCATACACGGTTGACACACGGGCACCTGCTTTTGGGCCAAAGCCCGTGCAGGTGCCCCTTATGCAGAAAAAGATTGCTCGATGTGTCCCACATACTGGAAACATGCCATGCCTTGGCTCCCTACAGGGAGCGTGTACGCATGCCATCCAACTGAAGATGGTACTCGAGCACTGCAGCGAGTTTCAGGGTCCCCTGTTCCGCTTTTTAGGGGAAATTGGTTTTTTTTATTGCATATAGTATGTCTTATGTGTTGTGTGTCTATATGTTTTGATTGCATGTATTTATTAGCGTGAATGGCGAGGGGTGAGGGTGAAATATAACATCATCATCGCCCCTTGAACGTTGAGAGCGTATGAGTGTGTGTTCGGGGTCGATGGCGGAATATTTATAAAAGTACTCCATCAACCCCAATCTAGATTAGTTTGAGTATAGGTCGGTGGAGGAATATCAAGTACTCCACCGACCAAACGGAATGAGTGTATTGTATGGATGTATTTATGTGTATGAATGTATTTATTTGTATGAATGTAGTGTTTGAAATTGTAAATAGAATATAGACTTAGTTGGGGGCTGAAATTACCTAGATGTTGGAAGCCCCAGTCAAAAAAAAAAATAAATAAATAAATAAATACAAAAAGAGTTTGCAAGAATTAGGATTTTTTGTTATTATAACTTCCATTTATGTACTTTGTTCTTTGATTTAAATTTTGAATCTAGTGATTTTATTTATTATAATTCATTGTCACATTCTCCATGTCACAATAAACAACAAGAACAATAAAATAACAAGCCTGATCGGTTGATCATCCTGGATTGCCTATTCTTGCTAGATTTGACAATGGGATGCCTTCTGGTAAACCAAACCAATGAAAACAGGCCCAGAATGACGGGGACAACCAGGTTCAACTCACAGACGTCACAATGTTTAAACAACTTGAAAACTATTTAATTTACCTTTGCATGAGTAAAGTTTGTGTATTCGCCTTACATCGGAATTAGAAAGGCCAGGCTTTTTCCAGATAGGCCCAATTTCGTATCCAGTTTTTGCTTGAAGCGTGGGAGATACTCCGTTCTATTAGAAGAAATAGCCATCAAAAGGGATATTGGTTAATTAATACTGACATGAAATGTATAAGGGTGAATCAGTAGAGTGGATAATTCAGGAATTATATTATTATTTAATTTATGCTGATATAAAACATATGCACATTTTCTGGAATCTTTGTTCATTATTTAATTATTAAATACACTTGTATGTGAACTCACTTATTAATGAGAATATAAAAACGTATAATCAACCACAAGGGTGACAAAGGAGAAGAAGAAATCAGGAGAGAATAAAATATAATATTGTATACAGATAGCCCCACAATCAGTGAAGGAATTGAGTCACGTATATTATCTGTAAGGGGATTAGGAAAAAATATTAAGTAAGAACACATTGGTCTTTTCAATCTGAAATTCATGTAAACATGCTTGTGTCAAAGAAAATCAAAAGAATTTCACTGAAAAAAGTAATCCTCAAAGGATCAGACAGCCAAGCTGTCCATAAAGTATTAGCTCATAAAAAGGTCACATCTAAATTGATCGGTGAATGCATCCAAACTCTCAAAACCCGAGAAAACATAACAACTTGACAATATCCTGGGTGTAAGTAATTCTGGGCAATAAACAAGTAGACAAATTGGCCAGATCTGTAAGACTAATTATAGAACCAGAACCTAACTGGGATGTCAACAATAAACTCAATCTCAGAATGGGTTTACACAAAACAAAAGGAGAAATGGACAAACTCTAGATGTTCTAAACCTACAAAAATCACGGTTAAAGAACTGTCAACACAATTGGCAAACACACTGAGAAAGATCTGCAAGACCAACTATAGGCCCAGAATTATAGCTGGGCTGTTCAAGATCAAACATACATAAACTCTCTCAGAATTTCCACACAAAACGGAAGGAGAAATGGACGAGCTCTAGAGGTTCCAGAGATAGTAAACTCATAGTTAAATAACCATCACCATAATGGCAAACACATTGAGAAGGATCGGCAAGACCAATTATAGGCCCCAACTATAACTGGGATACCTAGATCAAACATAGACTCGGATCTTACAAAACACATGGTTGAAAAATTCTCACCAAAACTGGCTTACACTTAGCTACAGTTATATAGAGTAAAACTGAAGGAAGTGATAGGTCACACCAGTCACTGGCATCAGAGAAAACACCTAACATCTGCAAATTCTATGATGACACTATTTGTAGGTTTTGCAATGAGGAGAAAGAAGCTGCTTCTCAAATTATCATCAAATGTGAACCAACTGATCAATGGAGACAGGCATAACCTATCTCAAGAAGACCTGAATAATTGCAGCAATGACCTACTACTTCTTACAAGAAAAATGAACTGAGGAAGTAAGAAAACAAGCCAAAAGGCCTCTGGTACCTGGGGTATACCCAAATACTCAAAAACCGCGGTTCTTTGCATCCTTCTCATCATCATCAACCTCAAGTGCACGACAAATTTCTTCGATTCTATTTATATTAGCCTAAATAAAAAGTTCTATGACATCTTTGGTTGGGTAACTAGTTATGTTGAATATTGCTATACTTATGTTGCATACGGATCTATATTTTAATTGAATATTTTTAAAATTGTATTTTATTATCTACTTTGAATTTTTACTGAATATATTAATTTTCAGTGTATCACTTACTTTCGAAAAGGCGTATTCATCATACATCATTATCGATTTGTAATCAAAGGTTTCTCCCAGATTATTTACAGTGTGTGAGTCGTGTTTGGCAAAAGCATGCGCGAAATTCTGAAAAGAGAACTTTTAGCATAGTCCATTACATAATGGCACTTCAGTTCAGTTTTGTCATACTGGTATTATGTTGTTCCAATAAATGTAGATCCAATCATCGCGGTCTGGTCGGTTCATTTCATGCCAGAAGCCCGCTGCATGACCCAATTCGTGTATGACTATCCCCAGGTACCAGCATCTCTGCCCCAGGGACAACCGTTGTGGTCCCTTGCCCACACGTCCGACCGGCGACCAGCATGCTCCGCTATCGCCTCGGTTGAAGAAAATCTGTACGTAGTTGTCTTCGCCGGACCACTCTTTGAACTTGATGCAGCTCTTTTTGTGGTAGTGGTCCATAGCTTTCATTAAAATGTCGCATTGCGGGGATTCCGGACAGCCTTGGGGAAAACGGATCGTTAAAATTGAACTTTAACATTCTAAGTTGCTTCCTTACCGATGTCGTCTTCCACTTTGTACACTATGGCACCCATCGGCCAGAGAAGTGTTGGCTCGACGACTGCATTCTTTTCACCAGGCTGATGATCAGTGTTTTTTTATATTCACAAACATTCTATACAAATAATTAACCATGGTCAAAAAAATTAAACTAACTTCTATAAAGATATCGCCTTCAAAATATTCAGCATTGTACAGGGCGCTGTCACTCCCTGGCCCGATCGGCGTGTACTTCTCGTTGATCGGTTTACCCTCGAGTGTTTTTATTTTTTCCATTGGTACTGACGCTACTTGATAAATTAAAACAATCTGCAACAAATTATTATTTTCCACAGAAAATTCCGATAAATTGTAGTGTTAAAAAAACTTTCCAAAATTTGTACTAAGAAACTGTGATTTTATGGTCAGAACATCCTGGTCAATCCTTGCTACTCTGGTTAAATGTTTTTTTATTGTTGATGCTCGGTACAGGTCTGCGAGTCGGTGAACTCATGCTGAACCGTCATTGGGCCACTTATTGGGCTAATTACTCACTGAAGATGGCGCATTCAGTAAATCAAAACCGCGAATGAAGACGGACCCAGTAAGTTTCCCAATGCCGATTCAACATATCTTGCTTAATTTAAGTTCGAATAATATAAATAATCCCACATGAGATATTTTAATTGTTACTTACTGATAAAAGGATCGTCTTCATTGTTTCTTTTGACAAAGGCGGTTGTGTCACCGAGAGACCCTATTCGCACCAAAAGGATTCTGTCCTCTATTTGAATTCAGGACGTATTTATAAACCCATTGGTGTTACAATTACGAAACAATCTTACACACGGCCGGGTCAAAATTAGATATTCAGAGTGTTATATGGAAATATTCGGTCCGATCTGAAACTTAAGTTCTACTATTTCTAAAAATATTTTTATCTGTGCGGATCGCCTTCATTTAAATCAAGAAGAAAAAGACCTAAGTTTCTATTCATCTTAGCACAAGAGCGAGTAGCCTAATAATTCATAATTATAAGAAATTTTTCGTTGAGGGAAAGTGTAATATTGGGTTGTCACCGAATCATCATGATCGGCCTTTTTTCGTTGCTTCGGGCTGCCAGACGCATCATCTTCCCTTATGAGTCTATATCCATCAAGTAATAATGATACACGTCTGAAAAAGGGGGAATAGCTGACCAAATGTCCTTAAAGGACCAAACTACAGGGTGACCTATAATGTAAAAGGATCGTTGTTTTAAATACAATGGAAGCAACGAACCGAAACTTTTTATCAAAATATTTCTATAAATCACAGAAACTCCATTTAAAAGATTAGAATCACACTATTTTTATAGACCCACCATGCACATTCATAAGTCCTCAATAACTCCATAGATCTTTTTGTTCTGCCATAAATCTCTTTCGACCTTTCTCGATAGTAGGCGTCATCAAGGCTCGATCTTTGATCCTACATTGTTTTTTATTCCCAAAACTATGTTTACGTTATGCTGATTATATTTCGGTGTACTGCTCATGTTATTATAATGGTTTATTAATGCTAAACTTGATAGAAGAAAACGTTTTGCATCAGATGGAAGTTATTAACAAATCTAACAAAGCATCAACATGGTAGAGGAATTGTGTTCACGACGTGGCCTCAAAGCTAATCCCTGAAAAACCACAGTAATCGTACTAAAGAAAATCATAAGTAAAGAAGCATATAAAGCCTAAGCATATATTAGGTTCATGTATCTTCAGGGAAGTGCTGCAGTTCAAAAATCAAATACCTAGGATCTTGGACAAGAAATTTACCTGTAACCCTCACCTACAACTCATAATAAAAAAGTATAACATCACTATCAGCCACCAGAACGACCTAGGTAAACAAAAATGGCATGTTATCTATGTATATAAAGAAATAACCACAGGGATGACAAAGTCGAAGAAGAAACCAGGAGAAAATCAAATAGAACATGGTATAGAGTTGGCTCCAAAATCGGTGAAGAAACCAGGTCAAGTATATTCTGTCCATGACCAAAATACGAGCAATCAAACTCATTAGGGAAGAACTTTAAAGCTAAAATATATGCTATTACATTGATAAAAAATCCTAATAAAATCAGACAGGCAACCGGCCCTAAGGGCATTAACACTTAAAATAAACTGTGACTGCATCCAAAACCTGGGAAAAGATGACAACCTGACAATATATTTTTTTGTCAGGGACGAGAAATTCTGGGAAATGAAAAAACTAAAACTCCTAACTGGGATATCAACATCAAACATAGACTCAGTCTCAGAATGGGCCCATACAAAACAAAAAGAGAAATAGACGTTCCAGATAAAGTAAACCCTCACCACAACTGGCAAAAACATCGAGAAGAATCTACAATACCAACTTTTTGCAGAACCTATAATCGGTATAACAAGTCCAAACATAGACTCCTACATCTCAGAATGGGTCCGCGCAAAGGAAAAATGGACGAACTCTAGAGAGTCCAGACATACATACCTCATAGTTAACAACCCTCCCCACAATTGGTAAACACATTGTTACAGTTAGATAGAGCAAAACCCATGGGAGTGAGAGGGTTATTGTACCGGCCAATGGCATCAGAGAAAACACCCAACTAACACAGGTATATTCAATGATGACCCCATTTGTAGGTTATGCACTGAGGAGGAAGAAACTGCCACTCATACGTTCTTCGAATGAGAAGTAACCGCTTCAATGGAGACATAACCTTGAAGGTGGTAATGGAGAACCTATTACTTCTCAAAAGAAGGATTGAGTCAATTGATCTGAACTGTGGAACTAGGAAAAGTTATGCCAAAAGACTGCATTTTTTGGAGAATACCAAACCCCACGCTTACTAGTATCATTATCATCATCAACATAAAACTAGCCTTGTTCTGTTAAAATTCAGCACACTGAAAACACATGCGTATTAAACTCCTTTAATTAAAAAACAAGCCAAAACAAACAAGTGGTTTGGTTAAACCACGAGTCATCTATGTCTCTTTCCCTCACGTTTTTCTCCGGCCATGTATTATTTTGTCAATTAATCCATTACGAGACTTATTAAGTATGTATGTTCCTTTTCAGTTTTTAACATTTTAAGAAGTTGCATTATCTGTCAAGTAGAACTAAGTCGTGCGGGAAGAAGGCAAAGGGCAAATGTTCGAAACGGTCGCCCGACGGAAAAGTCAATTTCCTCTAAATGGCTCTGAGACCTAGATTATCAAATCAACGTCTATTCAAGCAAATCTCTTCGTGAAATGTTTTTTTTATTAATAAATTACCCTTCAATTTAAGAATGGAAAATCGTATAGAAAAATATTTCATCTATTAATGCCTGATGACCTCAGCTGTTTGTCAGCCCATAAACTTCTCAGTTTATTACCCTTATCCATAATAGCATTAACTGTAGATAATTGCAGAATGTCACATTTGATTATCATGGTGAGTAAAAAAGAACCAGATCCGATTCTATCAAAAACTAGCTTCTTTCAGAGAGAAAGGACTTTAGGACGAGATAGTGTGAAAAGAAGAAGTGCAACACTCAGTCAAATGCTTCCATAAAGTCAAGAAATACTGATGATGATGACATCGCATCAACTACTCTGAAGCCCTGCTGGAGACTGGAACAGAAAGATCTTAAATCTAATTTACGGGATGGATTATATTTTTAGAGCCGAGAAATTAGTTTGTCAAGGAGATGTTCAAGAATTTTGGATAAAAGAAGAAAGAAGCTTATCTATCAATATATACAAAATACTGTCTGTCAGACAACGCACAGACCCAACCCCTGAATCTAAAGGGCTGAAATATCGAGAGTGCATTTTTTTAACGACATGGATAGCTGCTAAGAAAGGATTTTTTGAAATTCTTAAGGGAATCATATGGACAATTTTTTACCATGTATAGACCGAAGTGAACTGAAGAAGAGATGAATTTGAGAAACGACACAGAAAGCCATACATGCAACAGTGTAAACGAAGTTTCGGGTAAAAGCTAGTTGGTCAAAAGAAAATGGGGGTCACAGGAATTTGTGTTTTGGGACTGCGGTTATTAAAGTTTCGACTGGTTGGAGAAATAGGTTATGAGAATCATTGAATTGAAAATAGTTGTAATTTGCACTATTGCTTTTTTGAGTGTTTTGAAGGATTTGGAGTTAATACAATAACAAAGGCCCTGGGATTTCTCTTCTTCTTCTTCTTAAATCTTCTCATTTTGAAGCTTAGTGATCCACGGGACATTGACTTGTAAAACTAACGTCCGAAACAGATTAACCGACCTGAACCATTTTCATAAATCATTCAACCATTTGTTGTCGACCAATCGATCTTTTTCTGTTTTAAGAGTATCTTTTCAGATTGGCTGGAGTTCCGATGACTCATGCCAGGACTTCTTCGTCGGAGAGAAAAAGGCCGAGGACCTCTGTCCACCAGTAAGAAAAACATGCTTTATGCGATGTCATTATTCTAAGTAATGTTTATACAAATGAAATAAATTTACGTTTAAGTCTGATTCAGAATAGCTAATTTAATCAAGGATTAATAAATAATTTATACGAATACAGATTAGAGTCCTAAATCTAATAAGGAAGTATGCCTGTTGGGAAATTTCGATTTTGTAATCAATCCGTCATAATTTTAAAACAGCCCGTTCATTGCCCTAATGCGCTGACACGCCTCTGTCATTGGTTTATTTTTTAGGTGAAAAAAGTAGAGTAATTGTTGGAAATTTACCAGCTCAATTTACCTCGAGATATTCATTTGCTTATCCGAGTTGTACGATAGTCAAAACATAAGAATTTATTTCCACCGAAAAAGTGGCGCACTGAAATTTTGATTTCGTTTTTAATTGGACAATGTTTTGACCATATTTTTTGTTTTACTACTTGAAAACTGACTATTTGGTTTTGTCGCCGATAATGAGGCAATACAGCTTAATTCATAATTTGATTTAAAATCTGCACAATGTAAATCATCAACAAGGGCATTTAATCTTTTAAAAATGCCATTATGTACTGTTGTGTTGGTGGAACAAACCAAAACGATTATGAAAATGCCCATGAGCAGCGAGGAAGTTGAAAGAAATCAGCGTTATGCTGGAAGAGTTTTAGATTTGACTAAAACGACGGTTGTCGGGCATTCAGTGATACCAGGAGATTGCATGATGTACCCGGAGACCAGGATTTGGACGCCCAAGAGCCAAGAGAACAGCTGTCGACCGATTTACCAGATCTCATAGTCTGAGACATCGCCTTTACTTTTCCTTCTTTTGAAACTTCTCAAAGACTTCGAACTGTGCGGGATGTATCCATCAGTAAGAAGGAAACTTGCAGAATGAGTCTACATCCCATAAGGAGTTCAATGGTTCAGCGCTTACCAGAGATTCATCGTGACCTGGAGGTTGCTAGGTACCGACATTGGGCGGAAAAGTAATTAAGGAATTTTATGTTTTCAGACGAGTCCCAGTTTTCTCTCCATTCACCAGACGGACCTCTTCGAGTTTATCGAGCGGCTATAGAGCCAATGCAACCTTGCCGGAAGAGGTGGTTTAGTTATGGTATGGTGTGGAATTTCTTTGGAGGCAAAAAAAGAGTTACACAGTTTTAATAGGACGTCACTTAATTATATTTATTCAAGATAATACATGATAATGTACCAACTGTCGCCACTAGTGTTATGAAGTACCTTTGAGATGTCAACATTTACATCCTAAGACGCCCAGCTCGTATTCCTGATTTGAACCCCATTGAGTACTTTTTGGACGAGCTAAGTCGTTGGGCAAAAGGATGAAATAACCCTCCTACAGCCTTAGCTGAGTTGAAAGTTATATTAGATTTGGGATGAAAATAGTCAAGAAATTGTTATAGGCTTAATTATGAGGATGCTGAGAAGTTTAGAGTGTGTAATAAGAGCAAGAGGAGGTAATTCACCCTAATAAAGATTGTTTTATCTTCATACACAAAAATAAATTTTTGTTTTTGTTTTTGAGAGATATTTTTATTTTCCACTAACCAAATATTTTAATCAATCGGCGATAATATTACAGAAACGGCAAGTGCATAAAAATATCGAAATTCAAACAACGCCACTTTTTTGTGGATAAAAATATTAGGAGTACATTTGGCATTAATAGTTGAAATAATTTGAAGGAAAGACATATATGTAATTAATAATTATTAAAAGTAATAATTGCATATTATGAAAGACCGAACCAGCAAGGATTAAAAACGATCAGACCAAATATGGTTAAGAAGCAATATCACAACTTTAATTTCAGCTTATTCGAAAAGCACGAAGTTTTGATTAAGCACTTTAAGAAGTAAGCTTGTAGGTTTTAGACAATTGCTGAACAACTTTTTAAAAAAAATTTAACCTTTATTTACACACATTTAAAAAAGTATATATTTACATTTTTTACAAGCAAAATATTTTTTTTTCATAAACAACAATCATCTAAAATACATACATATTTACAGATAAATAATTAAAATAAATATTTAACCTTAAAACTAAAAGACAAAATTATAAACAACAGAAGAGTATTGAGTTGAAATATAACGACAATAAAATTACAGCATTTATTTAAACAGACATAAAACTGAATTCAAATTTACAATTTTTACAAATCGTTTTTTTTAATGTTCTTTCAATAGCTGAAAATTTTGTAAATCTATAGTCTGCGTTTCAATAGTTTTAAAGATTTTGGTACATGTCAGTGATTTAAAAACTCTCAAAAACATTTTATCACATATTTTCCCAGATTGATGACTTTATATTTTTAAATTTAAATGAAGTATTGTGTTTAATCAAAATTTGAAATTATCTCAAAAGCCGTTCAACTTTTCGATTCTTCATCTTTCTCAGATTCAGCTCCTTCTGATAACAAACTGGCGTCGACGTATTCGTAATTATTTGCCAAGATTATAAACATCCCCATGACAATCGTCATAAGACCGCCGTACAGGAAAAATTCGGATGACTGGAAAAAAATAGATGTTAAGCATTGTACAATAAGATTCTCTCTATCTATCTCTCTATCTCTATATCTCTCTCTCTCTCTCTCCCTCTCTCTATCTATCTATTTATCTATCTATCTATCTATCTATCTCTCTCTCTCTCTCTCTCTCTCTCTCTCTCTCTCTCTCTCTCCCTCCCTCTCTCTATCTATCTATTTATCTATCTATCTATCTCTCTCGCTCTCTCTCTCTCTCTCGCTCTCTCTCAAACACACCTACTCAGGCACTTGTATGAACTTCATCGAGCGAGTATACAAATGATAAAAACATTTGCTGATACGACGTTTTAATGCAGTTCATTGACCCTACTTCGAATATTAATTTCTAGTGTATAATTGAACGTTTGAGAATTATCAAATTAATAATGTTATCACCTGGTTGTCGAACATTTTCATTCCAGCGATGAACAGGATGATTACGTTGCCCAATGAATCCGTGACGAGCCAGAGCGAGGACACGACCGATTTCATGCTATTAGGACTCTAGAACGACCGTTAGATTATTAGTAAAATAAATATGGCTTAAGAAATTAATTCTCACCTGTGTGAAAGAAAATTCTATTCCTGTTATAGAGAACATAATTTCAGCGAAAGTGATTATAACGTATTGAGGGAGTTGCCATAGCATGTTCACGCTGTTTGGCTCAGTGATCGTCAAAAGTTTACTCTTCCTTTCCGTCATCTGTGAAAGTTTAGTTTATTCATTCTCTCAACGTAAAATACGTCTTAAAAATTAAAGGATAGGAATTTAAGGCATAAAATACATGTAAACATACAGATGCATCGGGAGCTATTATCATCAAAGTGTAGACGCCACCTGACTTGAGATAAATTGGTTTATCGCATAATTTTCCATTGATGAGTACTTTGTATCTGCAAAAAAGTAAACAATCTTAATGAAAAACACAGTGGTTCTTGAAATTAAAAAAAAAAAAAAAAAATAGTACACTTACGAGACATAGCTCTTCATTTCTAGCATAGAAGATTGGTACTTATTGAAAACCATGTTTTTAGAATTATCAGGCGAAAGTAATGTGACATTCACTTGGTCGCCGCCACCGTATATCGCTCTGAAATACAAAATATTTTGTAAGATACGACCCGTGGGAAGATACATGGTACCTACTTTATTTTTACGTTGCCATCCTTGGACTTTTCAATCGTTTCTCCACCCGAAATGTCGAGCTTTTCCAAGGAGATTTTTTTCTCGTTGGTAAACATATAGCTTGAAATCTGTATACAGGGGAAAATTTGATTTAAACCTTATTGTGTTAGGTAAATTATTTTTACATAGATATGTTTGTTTTGCTGGAAACATATGCCATTTTTGCGTCATGGTTAGGGGGTTAGGTTAGAGTTACGGACAGATTAGGTTAAGTTGAGAGGGTTAGAGTTACGGACAGATTAGGTTAAGTTGAGAGGGTTAGAGTTAGGGAGGAATTAGGTTGCATGTCCATTACTCAATGCCTTTCCGAGAAGCGAAAAATATGCGAATGCGAAGGGCGAATTTTGTCAACATTTTGTAAACAAATATTTTTATTAGCCTTTCTATGTTCACAACATTGATTTCGCGGGGTAAGGTTAGAATTAGGCAGGGTTCAGCTTGGGACGGGCTAGGTTGAGTAGCTAGAGTTAGGATTAGGGACGGGTTAGGTTAAGTTATGCATAGTTAGGGGCAGGTTAGGTTAAGGTGGGGATATTGGTAGGGTTAGGATTAGGTTAGATATCCATTATTCCATACTGAAGCGTGAAGCGGAGAGAATATGCGAGTGCGAATGGCGAGTTTTGTATACAATTTTATTCACCTTTCCACTTTCGAGTTTAACACTGAACGACCCAGAGGACTCTGGGCATCCTTTTCCGTATTTGGCTTCGAGATTAAAATCCTTCAATTGTGACACAGAAAGTGCGGGAAAATCCATCGTATCAAAGCTCATTATTTCTCCTCTGATGCCGAATTCAGTCGAACTGACCGAAACAGGGCAGTTGAGCGTGTTGTACAGTCGCAAGTTGGCGATTCCTGTAGATGGCAAAACGGGTTCTAGTGCCTAGAGGAAAGCAAATTGAAAATGTCAAATATTCTCTTTGCTGGTGTGTTTTTAACATTATAATTGCTAACTAGTTTCTAGTATGACATACAAACCTCAATTTTTAATTGAATTAACGCAGACACAATAAAGGACAAAGCAGCTAATAATCCACCGTAGCTGAGTTTTTGCAAGGGCGTTCTTATTATTTTCAATTTTTCCAGGACTGGATAGAATACACTTTCAAAAATTGGGATGAACACTAGGCACAGTACTGCGTTGATAGTTTGCATTTGGTCCGGTTGGAGGACGTAGAAGCCTATGTCACCGTCCATGTGGCTCGCCTGGAAAGTCCATCTCGAGCCTTGTTGCTCGTACAGTGCCCAGAAGATGATGGTCGGTGCGAAGAGATAACACAACTTCAGCACTATCTTCGTCTCCTCGATGAACTTCAAGCTGAACTTGTCATCGGCGTAATCAAGCCAGTGGTCTCTCGGTTCTTTCTTCTGAATCTTTATCTTCCTCGATATCGCATGCTACGGACACGATTGATTAATAAACTAAATCTATATTCGATTAAAATTCACTCACCCCCCAGCATTTTATGACGTCGAGTGCGACGTTTCCTTTAGTCGGTGGTTTAATTTTGTACATCGGCTTCCCGCATACAAAAATGACTAAAGCATATTTTTTTTAGTAAAAAAAGTTATCCGAATAAAATTAAAATCAATCATTGCCCTCACCGACTGACAGACACATAAGTAAAGCAGGAAGACCAAAGGCCAGCGGGTAGCATACATCATCCTCGAAGCACGGTACGCTCTCTCTTAGCATAGGAGTTATGAAACAAGAAATGACACTCCCAGCGTTGATAGAAAAATAGAAAAGTGAAAAGAATTTTTGTAGTTGTTTCTCTTGTTGAGGTAAAACGAACTGGTCACCGCCAAATGACGAAACGCAGGGTTTGATTCCACCTGTACCAGCTCCGATCAGGATCAGTCCCATCATGCTTATCGCTCTGGATCAAACGAAAGTTCCGTCAGAGTTAATAAGCAAAACTAAACATGTTTCGTACTTACATATGATTAATACCCAAAGATTTGATTGATCCTATGGAAAGAATCACGTTACCAAAGGCGTACAGCAAAGATACATAAAATATCGTCCTGAAAATAACATCAATATAACTTACTTTATTTTTGTAAAAATGAATTAAAATTACTTGTATTTTCCCAGATATGAGTCGGCGATAATGCCTCCGATGAGCGGTGTGAAGTAGCAGAGCATGACGAACACATGGTAGATCATAGTCGATTGGTTTTCTGTGAATCCCAGATATGCCAGGTACAACGCCAAAATAGCTTTGGTTGGGAAAAAAATCATGAATGATATCAATAAAAAATGGAAAGTTTGATTATTTACTTCTCATTCCATAGTAAGAAAATCGTTCGCAGAATTCGTTCGATATAATGAAGAAGACAGATTTGGGATATTTCAGTTTTTCTTCCTTTTCTTTTACGGTTGAATTGGACAGAGCCATGCTCGTGATGCTGCCGCTGCGTTTTTCCATGTTTCTGACTCCTGTTTAGTTCAAAATTAATCGCTTAAAACTTGAGGCGGATAATAAATAAAATCAGACGAAGCGATAAGCTTTTGGGTTTTCTTATCCATAAAGTCATCAAATTGAAAAACTTCACGGACTTTTTTTTATTAGAAGGAAATATCTTATCTTTTGTGTACACACTTGTGTTGCGACCTTTTCATGTCCAATTTGCATAAACTTCTATCACTCTATCACCCTTGCCTTCCCCTTCAAGTGAAAACGCGTCAAACAATATGTCAATAATAAGTAAAAATGATAGTGATAAAGCATACATCGATCATCTTATCGCAGGGTGGAAGATCAAACAAATTTGTTTGGCTGTTGATCTGAAGTATTTGTATGGGTACAAAAAAAATGTGACCTGTGATTTTACACCTGATTAGGTAATACGTCTTATAATTAAGTCCGAAAGAATTGGGCCGAATTTGAAACTTGATAAGATTAACGAGCTTTTAGAAAAAATGGTTTGTATTATTAAAATAATGCACGAAATATATATCGAAGCAGTTTAATAAATAAATTAAAAAATACAAAAAGAATGTAAGAAGAGAAGATGAGAAAAACATTAGACTTTTTATCAAAATTTTAGATAAATTTTATAAGTACATAAAATTTCTAAAAACGTCAAGAAATTTAAATATGATTTTTAAAAATTAATTTTAAAGAAAACTCAAAATGAAACAGAATTTTAACACAAATTAAAGTAGTTTTGCCTTCTTGAAGACTTCAATTCCAACGTTTCATAATATTTTGAATATCTTAAAAAATAAAGAAAAATTCATGGTAAAATCAGATATAATTTTAACCAAATATAAAAGCAACAAAATCTCATCTATTTTCTTATTAAATATCACAAAATAATAAATAAAAATCTTTCTCAAAGAAAGAAATTTACAATGTGACTATATTTATCCATGATTTACTTGCAAAAATTTTTCCGCAGGGTGGCAAGTTATTCATCCTAATTTTTACAATCTCAAGCATACAAGCATTTATATTAACGATTTTACACTGCAAATTTTTTAAAACCATGACATTTTTTCAGAACTGGAACAGCTTTCACCGCCTGGGTCGCAACGTCGTACTTTTAAAGTTCGTTACGCTACAATATGACCTCTTCGGTACGCGACAGTTTAAAAACAACTATTTTATGGTCAATGTCTTTTCAACCCCTTTTAAAATAAATTAAAAACAATAATTCGCCAGCATAAAACATTAAAATTGTCATGGTCGAACCTGCTTCGGAGTACGGTGGCGGGGGCGGTGTTTCCTGTCCGTTAGAACTCATCGCGAGGATGGCAAAGAGCGTACTGGCGAAAATCAACGAGGAATACTCCTGATAAACCCGTTGATAACGTTGAGATTTAGTGTGATCGTACTTGACGTTTTTCTACTTGTATCCAAGATTAAGAATTCCATTGTTAAGATTTTGATTCTCAACGTTCAATGCTATTCAAGATCTACTAAAATTCAATTGATTTACATACAAAGTTTATTAAATTGATCTTTTTTAGCCAATGAAAGCCTTAACGACCCACCGAATTCATCGCAAGGTGGAAAAAAAGCAACTGCCATACCAACAAGTTTAGAATAACTGATATGGTAAAACTATCTCTAACTACAGAAAATATTAGACTTTGAAAAACCATTCAACATAATTAATTGAATTAAGAACAACATGACTAATAGACAAGAAAGCTAATTGGAAAAATAAAACATAAAAAAACTGGAGCTTTTCTATGTCAGAGAGATGGCTGGAAGATGGAAAAGAGTACGGATATTGCACATCTCCTAACTTTGCCCCCCCCCCCCATTATAACCAACTTTCAAACCGACTTTCTAGCCACAGAAACATATTCACGTGACAAAAATAAACATCTCAAAGCTGTAACGATATAATTTTGAGATAGTCAAACAGCTCTATGGGCTTTCTATGCTGTCCACATCAACTCAAAACCTGTCTGGAACTGTTTATACCCGGAAACCTGGGAGCTGCAAATAGTCTAGCGCTAATCTGGGTCCCAGGATATGAGGGAATTTCAAGGCAATGAGGCAGGGAGCGTACGTTTGCGCAGGCGATACCGTTGGTACGATTGGGATGAAGTTCATAGGGGACTATGCAGAAACCAACCCGCACAATCTGTGAAAATTTCATAAAAATTGGTCCCATAGTTTCTGTGTTTTGCCGGTCACAAGGAATCGACCGCGGACAGACAAACGCAAAATGCAAGTGGAAATTTTGGTTTTGGAGACAAAACATTTTTCGACTACCAGCATGAATACAATTCCCTTTCGGTAGTTCGGAAGCAGAAACAGGAATCTTTAATCACTAAATGGCACAGCACTGGGCGTTTAAACCAGGCATGAGGCAAGCAAAAATACTACTTGAAAAAACAACCTAATGGTTGAAAGAGGAAATTTTACAGAAAAGAATGAAAAAACTCTCTGGTTTAAGACATGCAAGACATGCGCAAGTGAAGCCGGTATGGGGTCTCCATTAGGTACGGCGGGGAGGTGGATAAGTGAAACAAATGCACAAGTTAAGTACTACCATAAAAAATGGATCTATCAACATGTGACCAATGTCAATTATGCCTAGAAAAGACAGAGAAGACAGAATGTAACTGCCCAGCTATAGCTAGGAAAAGGCTACTTGGGAGAACCAGTTTTGAGCCATATAGACCTTGCCATAGACCCTTAGACTATTTACTACACAAAATTCAAAATAAAAATATAAGCTAAATAATTTAAATTCCCAGGCCAACCTATGCACGAAAAAAGAGTGGTAACGGAAGAAACCCCCATGGAAGGCACGATCTGCTGGAGTACCGATAGATCTAAAACCCAATTAGGTTCATGCAAAGGAGTGTACGTTCCCAAAATTAAGACTCAACATCCAATGGGTACGTACACTAATATCTTTAAGCCAAACTACACCCAATTAAGAGATGCATATTACAGAATACAAAGACAAAGCTAAGCTGCCACCATATGAACATGTCACCAGCGAAGATGGTGATATATCAAGGCGGATCTAAATAGGTTTGAGGCCAAAGACTACTGGATTCTAAGACATGCTGAGTTAGAAGGGGAAAAATTGGTCTCCTTACAAAAAAAGGATCTGCTACTTCGCTCAAAGAACCCGAACCGATTTTGTGCCATGGTAGTAAAGAGTATCTTAGAAGATAAGGTGAAAGTAAAGAAAGGCATCACTCACTCGACACAAGCAAACCTTCTTGCGAGATTTAAAAGGAGAGAGATTGAAAATCACAACGGGTTTCTTGACGGAGCACTGCAGGCTAAATGGGCATATGAGCAAGACTGGCGTCAATCAACGGAAGAAGCACAAGCAGAGTAAACCCCTACCACACCTAATATCGGAACGTGGTGCTACATTTCCGGAGGAGAAAGTGTTTTGTCACTTTTGACACAACTGGGTCAAATAATCAAATTTCTTGATGAGTTAAGGCCCATCGGCGTACAGAAGATATATATTTAAGGGTAATCAGCCCAATTTGCAAAGGTTGAAGAGACCTTTGAACATAGGTGGATTGGAATGTTCTGAGTCTACATTCATTCAAGTCTACCTCTGGGCCAAAGTCTTTCCTAGTTTATTCCGATCATATCTGCATCGCAAAGACCCTCGGAAATTCTTCAGCTCATTACTCCAACTGGTGCTAAGAGAAATATTATTCTCTTTTAATTCACATCATGGGTCTTTTTCACCCCTACTGGCAACATAGCTGTCCATTTCAGTTCGAGATTCTTAAATCCTTCTCTTTCCCTGTTTTTCTTTTTAATTCCTAACATGCTTCTACAAATCGAATCTTTCTTCTCTTTGGAGCGTGGACCAGAGCTGTGCTAGTAAACGAGGGAAGCTTTAAATGCCCGTCTTTTATGGCTCACAGCTGTTTAATATAAAATTTAAGTTCCAGAAGTTTTTCAGTAAATTAGAATACAGAGATTAATTTTATTGTAGGTTCCTCCCGACAATGATTTTAAGCAGGTAGATATCGCTGTTGATCCATTTTAATTCTATGTACACATTATTCACTGTGTCACAATTACCACGAAAGGCCTCGTTTATATTAAATCCAAGATCTTTCCCTTTTCGTTTTAATTTAGAAAGTTCATTTAATTGTTGGAGAGATTTTTCGAAATTAAATCGAGATTCCAATCAAGATAAAGAAAAACCTCTTTTACAAAAAAGTTAATATCATGATGCGATCGGAAAGCTCACTCTATTGTCGTAATTTTATCAAAAAAATAAATTTAATACCTATAGAATAATAAATCAGGGTATTAAATGATAAGACATGTTTTTTATACATTATTTTATTAATTATAAATAAATTACATTAAAATTTAACGTTTTAGCAGCTAAATTAAAGTTTATTTCTACTATTTACACTTTTAAGACTTATTTTTATTACTATTATTTACAGTAAAAATATATATAAATTAAAATGATTGAACGTGATTAGTTCGTCAAATTTTTGAGACCTCCGTTGTTGCGTTTTGTTGGTCGCTCTGGTTTTCTTGGGTCGTGAAGTCGACGTACTTGTAATTTTTCGCAAGGAAGATGAAGAGTAACATGACGAGAGCCATCAGCCCGGCAAATAAGAAAAACTCCGAGGACTGAAAAAAAATATTTAGAATAGTACAACTACGTCTTGTTGTTCAGTATAAGATATAACAAGATAACAGCCACAACGAGCATAATACAGCATGTTACTATTGGTGACACCCAGCAATGGCAATCTCTGGTAGATCTGATAAGGTCGGTTAATCTCAAAGAAAATCTCTCCGTCACATCCACGTGACATGTTTGAGTTCTAGGAAAAGTTTGACTAACGAACTAGTATAAGGGGTTAGCTGTTTTTAGGAATTATAATGTGGGGATTTAATGAGACCAAGGTCGCATGGGAAGATGTGGTCTTTTGAACTTTTTGGTTTGATAGAGAGGGATCTTTGAGAAGATTTACAATTGGAAAGAGTTTGACATTTGTCCATAGTGACTTTTCAAGCGAGGTTGTAAGTTTGATCTTTCGATCAAGTTCGATATGTTTAGTGTTTTCAGTCCATTTCATGTTAGCCTTTTTTCAATGTACAATTCACGGTTGTGCACACTATCACAGGTTGGAATAGGATATACATTTGAGGTGAATTGAAAAAGAGGACGTACTCTCACATTGTCACACTGTGCGAAGAGATCCTATTTTTCTATTCGCCTGAAAAGTACATACATCATGGATTTTTAGATAAACTTCAGAGCGAAACCAAGACTAAGGAGGTGGTGGGTGTTGCGATTAGACAAAGTAGGACCATGAACAGACGAAAGGATGACTGTGTTGTCAGCAAAGGTTATCATATATTGCGAATAGAAAGGGCCCCTGGATGCTTCCCTAGGGTACACCCGCGTTAATGGGATTGTGAGTCTTCTGAGAAACCTTCAAGTAGGATTTAAGAAGCAGGTAATAGAAAGGAACGACTTGAGATTTCTCACCAACATCGCCCCCCCCCCGTACAATAATATTTATGCCCAAAGGTCATTTGTTCGTCCAAAACACGACGGACTTGGTGTTAACACGTTGTGCAATGATAGAAACGATTAGGTAAATAAATTAAATCCAATGTCGAAATAATTCGATTATTTCATGTAATAAATATGAAAATCATACCTGTTTCTCAAATATTTTTACACCAGCTATTACAAGAATAACGATGTTTCCCAATGAATTGGTTAATAACCATAGAGATGACATGACGGACTTCATGCTTACCGGAGCCTGAAACAATTTTTTTTTCAACAATCTATTGAGATTCGTTAAAATTTTTACAAGCAAAGAATAAACTTTAACTTAAACTAAAACTTTATTTTCCTAGTTAAAAAGAGGAAGATTTAAGCCAAGATGAAATTTCTGTATTTTTTAAGTATGTTCCAACTAAATCGAGTAATGAATGCCTTTATTTCTTAAGTAATACATGCCAAAAAGGAACATTTTTGAGAAAAAATGAAAGTGTAGAATAAAAAGTGGCACCTGTGTAAAACAGAACTGAAGACCAGTGATGGAAAACATGATTTCAGCAGCGGTGATAACTATGTACTGAGGCAACTGCCAAAGCATGTTCATTTTATATGGTTCCGTCACAACAAAGAGGGAAAACTGGAAAAAAAAATTAAATAAAGATCCAAAAAGGTTTATTTTTAATTTAATTGAAAAATGGCAAAAAGGAGGGAAAATTCAAAAGGTGGGGTTGAAATGGGAAGTTATTGTCCGAGTGGATCCAGGTCACGATAGCTCAAGTGGTAGAGCAGCGGCGTATCTAGCCGAAGATCGTGGGTTCGAATCCCGCTCGTGCCATTGACTTTTTTATCTCAACTAAAAACCTTAATTAATTGTAATTTATTTTTAATCTTTTTAACATACGTTAATATCTTTAAGATCGTTGAGAAGTAATGTGTAAACGCCTCCGGATTTCAATCTTATCGTACTATTGGATAATTTCCCATTCACGATTAGCGAATAACTATAACATTTTTCCAGATTAAAAAAAAGTTTAATTAAAATGTAACACAAAAACAAAGTTTGACTTACTCCGAGGAGCTTTTTAGTTTTTCTTGGCTTGACACATGATCGGAAATAGAAATATTTTTGGTATCTAAATTATTTTGCAACAGCACGGTAACTTTCTCATTTCCTCCGCCATAGACCAGTCTAAAAGCATAAAACGTTATACATGAAATACTAGCTATGTACATATTTATCAACAGACCTTATTTTAGGACTACCGTCTTTTGACCTAGCGACGTCCTCCTCACCGTAAACTCCAAGTCGCATCAAATGGACTCCCCCGTTTCTCGTGAACATATAAGTGGATACCTGATTTGAAATAAACAGGACTATTCAAAATTGCTAAATTTCGACAGGACAGTTTGAATACATAGTTTCTTTCAGTATTATATTTAAATTCAATTTTCCTCGCCACCATTTGCAGTGGAACATGAACTCCATCATAAAACATATTTTCAAACATCAAAAACCTCAGTATCCTACGTCAAGTCGCGCTAATAGTTTGCTGCCATTACTTAAAAAACTCCTAAAACAATTATTACCTAATCTTTGAAAGCTCTAGAAACATTCCATTCCAACAATTCGGGTTCAGGTTCCAACCATTCAACAATGGCACAAGGTGGTAGATATCATTAAATCCTCCCTTGAAGAAATGCTGTTGGGGTGCTTTACAATCGTTATGCAACCCCTTGATCGAATGTTCCATACGGTCAAGCTCTGAAAATTCTTCCATTCGTTTATTACACCATCCTAAAATCCTATCTGTCCGATAGTCACTTTCAAGTACAAATCGGATCAATCTTTTGCCCCATCCACCATGCCGAAGCAGGTCCGCATGGTAACACCATTGGTGCCATCTTCTATGCCATTGCAGACATTTCTATGCTATGCGCAGACGATACCGCCATTCTTTCAACAGACAAACCCAATAGCGGCCTTCAGAAACCTCGGACCATCTTCCTGTTTGAAAGAATGGTTAATGTAATGGAAAATCGGACTCCACGTATAATTTCTTCCTCTCCCATCAACCAATTTCGTCCGCTATGTGGGATTTACATCGATAAAAGGCTTACATGAAACCCCCACATTCGATCTAAAAGAAACTTTCACTAAAAACCAAACCCCTCGTGTATACATGATTAAACTTTACGTGCGGAATTGTACTGTGGGGTTCCAACTTCCACAACATCCAAACTTTCCAAACAATTCCTTCCAATCATTGCCCAAGCCCCTCTTCGTATCCAGCCTTACTATCCACACCTTCAGATCCGTTTTGTCACTATGCCAAAGCATGCGTTCCACAAGGCATCATGCTTACAATAATCATCTATTCAGTGTACTGCAGATATTCCTAACGAAAACCTATCGAAATCGATAAAAGACTTACTTGGAACCCCCTCTTGAAAGAATAGCCGCGGTGGCCGAGTGGTTTGGGCGTCCGGCTCGTCACACTAGCGGTTCTGGGTTCGAATCCCGGCAAAGCCCATGGCCTTTTAATTGATTTTAGTATGAAAAAAATATTGTAAAGTGATTTGTCCTCCGTACGCGACACCCAACGGATAGTTAAGTTAAAAGTGGTTTTACTACTTGTAAAAACCAGTTGTGAGTTGAACCATTGTATGTACCAACCAGTACTTAATGGAATTAATCAATCAAGAGTTCCAACCTTCAAAAAATCTAATCAATCCAGTCCTAAATACTTGGAATCACTGCTTAAGCAAGCTTGTATCCACGCAGACCTTCGATCCCATTTGTTCCCGAAATCGAAAGAACATGCGCGTCTATAAGTCAACCCTACCCCCTACCGTCACATCAGTCCATGTGACTTAGTAATAATTAACGTTACTGAATTAATAAAGCTGAAATAAATATACCTTCAAAAGTCACAATCCGTCACAAAATTAAATACCCGTATAACATACTTGTGTAATGGTGTTACCTTCTTACTTTCCAGCGCGAAGTTTAAAACTGCGTCTTTTTCATTACAACTAGCACCATATTTCGCTTCGAGTGTGTAGTTCTTAAACTCAGTTATCGGTATCTGAGGGAAACTGATTGTACCAAAGCTACTGATGTTACTATTAATTCCCAAGTTGTCGGACCGAACGGACACAGGGCAATTCAGCGAGTTGTAGAGTCTTAAGTGGCCAATTCCTTCCGAGGGAAGTATCGGATCACTTTCCTATAAAAAAAGTAAATAAATAAACGTATTTTTTTAAAAAGCATTTATAACTTTTATTAATGCATGCCTCAATTTTCAACTCGAGTAATCCAGAAATGATAAAGGCAACAGCTGCGAGGATGCCACCATAGACCATTTTCTGCAGTGGCGATCGAACGATCTTCAACTTGGAGAGTAGTGGGTAGATTAGGCTCTCAAAAATCGGTATAAAGGTGAGACAGAGTACGGGGTTGATTGTTTGCATCTGATCCGGCTGTATGACGAAAAATCCGATGTCTCCGTCCATGTGTTTCGCCTGGAACGTCCATCTAGAGCCTTGTTGTTCGAAAAGGGCCCAGAAAACAACAGTCGGACCGAGTAAGGCGATCATCTTCAGAACGATTTTCGTGTCTTCGATCAATATTCGGCTGAATTTATCTTCGGCGTAGTCAAGCCAATGGCCTTTTTTCACGTGTTTCATCGTCCGGACTTTTCTCGTCACCGCGTACTGTGAAAATCTCGAATTTAATATGAAAATTAATAATCAATTTTTAAAAATGTAAACAGAAAATCATACACTACAACACTTGACTACGTCCAAGGCGACATTCCCGTCAGAAGGCGGATTGATTTTATACATAGACTTCCCTCCAACAAATATCACTAAAATATATTTAGTGTTACATTTTTTATATTTTTTACTTGCTTATTTCGTCCCTCTTACCCACGGACAGACACATAAGAAATGCTGGCACTCCGAAAGCAAGTGGGTAGCAAACGTCATCACCAAAACAGGCCACGTTCTCCCTCAGCACAGGTGACAAGAAAGAAGATATTACGCTTCCTGCATTAATAGCAAAATAGAAAACGGAAAAAAACGCCTCGAGCTGGCGTTCCTGCTCCGGCAGCACGAACTGGTCACCCCCGAATGCTGAGACGCATGGTTTGATTCCACCTGTACCCGTTCCTATGACGAAGAGTCCTATCAAACTGGCTACACTAAATAAAATGATCCGATTAGTACACAATTCCAAGTTTTGACTTCCTTTTAAAATATTTTTTAAAAGTCTTACACATGATTTATATCCAGGGACTTCACGGAAGCTGCAGAAAGCATGATGTTTCCAACAGCGTAATACAGCGAAACATAAAGAATCGTCCTGCAATTGTAAATGTAGTTAATTAAAAACCCTTTTTGGTTTTTCGAAAAAGAAAATTGAATTTAATCGTGTATTTTAAATAAGAGAAATTAACGTCTTGACAATGCGTAGTGATGACCTTTAGCACTTCACGGACGTTTACGATCATTCACCGTTCTAGTCTGCCTATCTTCACTATTTCGGCCCCCATAAAAATTGTTGCTCTTCACACAATTCTTAGTATGAAAAAATTCTGATTATTCGAAAAAGAAAACTGGATTAAATATATATTTAAAACTATGATATTTCGTCTGAGAACAGCGGAGTGATGGACCTGTAGCTTGGACATTTTCGGTAATTCTGACCTACCTGTCCTCGATTTTTTGGTCCGTCAGGAGCAGATTTTTACAGTTGACTATCTTCAAAAACATTTGTCATATTCGAATCTACGAAATCCACAAAATTGAATTAAATTGGAAATTGTGATATTTCATCATGAGGTCTGCGGAGTGATGAACGTTTCCGACCGTCTACTTTCACTAATTTAGTTATGGGATCCCAAAATAACAAACAGACTAAAAACTGCAGATACGAGATTTTAAAATAGTTAGGGATCGTCTGACGAACGTGAAGTGGCGAAATATATCTGACAGACCAAATTAGCGATGATATGTTGGATCAGATCATACTGATCTGCTTGTCCTGGCAGGTTTGGTCTGTCAGACTCGTTTAGGCACTTGACGATCTTTACTATGACAAATTACTTTACGATCTTTACTATCTTGTTACTACGATAAAATGTATTTTGCATCACTCGAGAATGAAAACTGAATTAAATCGAAAATCGAAAATGTGAAACTTTGAGATTGCTTCTTAAGTCTACGGATGGACTCCTATACTGGAGTTTTTAGGTCTGCCAGAACTAGCTATTTTGGATTCTGAGGTTCCACAAAATAATACACAGACCAACAACTGAATATGCGAGATTTTATTATCAGAATCATGAAGAGATCATAAAGCGCCGAAATGCCTACAGACCACATCAATGGGAAATGTGTAGAGATTAGTGACCGTTAATCGATAGTTATTCAGATATCGTGAGATGCGGTCGGGTGTGATGTAGGTTTCAGAAAAACATTTTCTTTATCGTGCCAACGTTTCGATCTTTTATTGAGATCATCTTCAGGGCTCAAAGTGTTTGTCTTCTGTGTAATTGTGCCATCCTTGCGTGTCGTGTTGTGAGTGCCAATGGGAAAGTTGTTTCAGATCATTCTAGTCTTCTCGCAGTTTTGGACTGTCAGACAAATTTTTGCACATCTCACAATTGAAAATATAAAATTTCTTTTACATTGTTATAAAAATAAAACTGAATTAAATGAAAAATGTTAAACCGAGATTTCTTATTGAGGCCTGTGGAGGTGGTGAGGTGGTGAACCTGCAGCTTGGACGTTTCCAATCCAAGTCCGCCTACTTTCCCTATTTTGGTCGTGAGGTCCCACAAAATAGCAAATTGATCAAAAACTACGAAATTGTATGATGTTAAGAATCGTGTGTAAATGCAAGCTTTTAGGCGTTTCAAAAAATCTTCAAGCAGTTTTTATGAGGAAAAAGTATAGTTAACTGGATGAAATATAGTATAATGATGAAAAGTATGCTCAGCGTCTTGAATCTGCGGACTGATGGACCTGCAACTTGGTCATTTCCTATTATTCTCTCCTTATTTTCTCAGATTTGGTCAATTCAGATCATCAGTGGTGGGTTTATGTTTTGTAGTGTTCTATTTATACGAATGTCGCCAAAGATGACAAGTATGTCTTTTAGTATAGTCTCTGCCTATCTTTTGGCGTTGTTGATTAATCATTAGTTTTTATTCTTCATTTTGTACGTTTAGTATTTGTACAAATGCTTTGAAGTATAATATTACAATTTTATCGCCATAGACGTTGCTCTTTCAAAATTCAGCGTTTATTATTGTATAAAATGTTGATAAAAGATTATTGCATAAAATTGTCCTACCTGCATTACGATTAGTGTATAAATGGCCTGTTCTCGATTAATTTTCCCCTTATCATATCATTCTAGTATTAAGCGCTTTGCGGTATCTTACTAGTCGGAAGTGGACTTATCATAGGGAAAGATAACGCAACACAAATTCATTTATGCTACTGAATCATATTTGTCTCCTGTTTTAGATTTTCAAATGGTATTTTTCGAAAGCTTTTGAACATTTTGGACATCGTCGCCGACAAAGGAAACCACCGACAAAGGCCGGCCAGATGATCTGTAACGACCTAATTGTTGGTGACGCTTCAACAATTCGGAGACCACCATAATTTTCGAATACATTTTTATGAAATAATTACAAGTTCTCAGGTCTATTTTATACCACTTTACCAGTTTCGTTAGATCGGTGAAATTAATTATCCATATGTTAAATTCAAGCGAGATCTCTTGCCACTTTCATCCTTTATCTAAATACTTAAAAGTACTTAAAAATTCATAATTTTCCGTTATAAAAACAAAACAAATATTGAAAATTTTAATTTGATGATTAAGCATTAATTTTGTTAGTTTTTAAAGAATTTTCCTTATTTTAATATATTATATAATAAATTTTTACTTATATTTTCCTAGGTATGCATCAGCAACCACACCACCGATGAGTGGAGCAAAGTAACATAGCATAACGAACGTATGGTAAATCATTGTCGACTGATCTTCAGTAAATCCCAGGTAAGCCAGGTAAAGCGCCAAGATAGCTGAAAAGTCCACAAATTTTCAATGGAATTTTCCACAATGAAAAAATAAATAAATAATTGCCGGTACAAATGTACTCACCGCGCATCCCATAGTATGAAAACCTTTCGCAAAACTCATTGGATATTATAAAAAACACAGCCTTGGGGTATTTTAAATTCTTCAAATGTAACGAACGAATTATTGTAGATAAATGATAATAATACTCGTTAATTTTAGATGGTTTAGAATTACCTTTGAAGGCTTTTTTTCCGGGCTTAACTCGTGATCATTTTTCGCCGTCTCCATGCTTGTGAAACTCGTGTCTGAAACGAAAATAAATTTATTTTCCTTAACCTGACAAATTTTTAATATTCAAGACCTTTTACAACAGTCACATAAACAATATAACAAAAAATAACAGTACATACATTTTATAATTAAAGACAAAAAACTGGCCACTCCTATTTTGTATTTAGGTATGATTATTTGAAAAAAAATTCACCAAAACTTAGGATAATCATTTAGTGACAGATTCAATTTAATTATCAATTCATTTACCTGTTTTGCTCTTAATTATGCATTAAGAGCAAAGCTAGGTTAAAAAAAGTATTAATTACAATGATTTAAAAAAAAATCACCAAAACAGCGAAAAAACATTTAGTGACAGGTTAAATTTAACTATCGATTCATTACCTGTTTTGCTCTTAATTACGCACTAAAAGCAAAACTAGTTTAAAAATTATTTAATTATGATGATTTGAAATAGAAATCACCAAAACATCGGAAAATCATTTAGTGACAGATTAAATTTAATTATCAATTCATTTACCTGTTTTGCTCTTAATTATGCATTAAGAGCAAAGCTAGGTTAAAAAAGTATTTAATTACAATGATATGAAAAAAAAAAATCACCAAAACGGCGAAAAAAAACATTTAGTGACAGGTTAAATTTAACTATCGATTCATTACCTGTTTTGCTCTTAATTACGCACTAAAAGCAAAACTAGTTTAAAAATTATTTAATTATGATGATTTGAAAAAGAAATCACCAAAATACCGGGAAATCATTTAGTGACAGATTAAATGTAATTATCAATTCATTTACCTGTTTTGCTCTTAACGCACTAAAAGCTTTTTTTTAAATTACATTTATTTGGTATTTACAGCTACAAGTGATGTATTAAGTAAATATGTGTAAAAATGCACTAAAAGCAAAACTAGATTAAAGAGTTGATTAATTATGATGATTTGAAAAAATTCACCAAAACAGCAAAAAAAAACCTTTAAAGCAAAACTAGATTAAAAATCATTTAATTATGATGATTTGAAAAAGGGATTAAAAAATTGTTAATTAAATTTTTATTTAACAATAAACGAATTTTCTGTATTTTTGTGAATTTTCTTTCAACCATCACAATTAAATATTTTTTATTAAAACCAATGAATTTCTGATCTCGTTTAAATTGGTTTACATTAAAATAAGTATGTTGTAATTAATAAAGCAATAAAAACACATACGTTTAGTTTAGAATAAACAACAAAATACGTGTGGTGTCCGGTTTTTTTTTCTTTGAGGATATAAATCTAGGTAGTCCAAATCTCGATTCTCAACCAATAAAAAGAGGATGCTGAAGATTCACACAATACATAATTATTATGTTTACATTACTGTATAGACATCTTGTCTTGTATTTCTTTGTGTATATTAAGAGATGTACTAGTGTAAATGTGCAGTGTGAGAAGACCAATGATGGTATGTTGAGTACCCCATCGACCGAAATTAGATTAGTTATATAATATGTGTAAAGGGTAACTGAGTGAATGGCTTGTAAATAAGGAAAGAATATAAGTTAATTGCGTAAATTCGGAAAAAGATTTTTCAAAAATTATCTTTATTGCAAATTTACACAATTAATTACAACCTTATTCAGCAAACTTTCCCTGTTCGCGGATAGAAAATTCTGATTGCAATTTCTCAAGCAGTGTGGGAAAAACGAACTGGGATGGGTTTCTAGTTGTAAAGCATTCGTTGAAATTTAACAATAATAAGTTTATCTGTGCTGAGTGGATAGTTTAGGCGGACGTAAATGGTATTTAAGATAAAGTGAGAGTTGTTTAGATTTAAACTACAATTAATTAAGGTTTTCAGTTGAGATAAAAAAGTCAATGTCACTAGCGGGATTCGAACCCACGATCTTCGGCTTGATACGCCGCTGCTTACCACTTGAGCTATCGTGACCTCGATTCACTCGGACACCAACCTCCCATCTCAACACACCTTTTGAATTTTCAGTGAATTTTCAAGCGGCGTACCATCCGAAGAGCGTGGGTTCGAATCCCGCTCGTGCCATTGACTTTTTTATCTCAACTGAAAACCTTAATTAATTGTAAGATATTAATTGGTCAAGCGGGCCACGAAACTAGTGAATTTAGATTTAAAGACTGATGCGCTTGGGCCTGAAATGACCTGACAACCCCTGGAGCCTAACTTCGGAGGCGGGACGGATAAGTCCAAGGTCTGACACCGGACTGTTAAAACCGAAGGTGAGCGATTCCTGCGGTGATTTATTGCCAATTACACAAAAGCAGATATTGCCGGCAGTCTGCGAAAAGTCGTAGGTTCAGTTCTGAATAAATGTTCAGAATTGTGTTTATATGCACAGTCATCGATGGAAGCAAGACAGACACCCAGTAGGATGTGCCTTCATGCTTCATTGAGAAAGCGAGGCATTTATTCAATATATTAAGTACAAATCAGCAGATTAAAGTTTGCAAAATGACTAAACAGATTAGGTGCTCAAAACAAGGTTACACTCTCCTGGCTGTCAGGGAATGAAGAAGTTAATTAATACTCCACAATCCATTAAATTCATTTTATTGTTAACGTCATCACAATCTGTAAAACGTAAGCCATTCTGTTTGGAAACTTTTGATGTATCCATGTGTTCGATTGCATCTTGCACTAAAATCTACTGCTTAAGCTAAAATGCTTCCTTTCTAGTACATACTATCTTATGCTCTATCCGATCTTCCAAGTACACTCCCGAAGCTCAACATTTCCATCTACTTTTTTCTGGTATTTCAGAAGGGTGCATCTTTGTTGCGTTACTTTTGAGCATATAGTCGGCAGACTTCCCGTAACCCCTTTGCCTCAAACCTCTTTGCTTCATTCCGGTGACAGTTCGACCTAAGCCCTTCATTCCCTTTTCCTAAACATGTACATAGACAAAAGGTCATGGGATCCACACGTGCACTTTGAATTGGAAGAATTAAATTAGAGGTATAAGACAACTGAAAAACCACCAGAAATACTTTGAAGCTTCAAAGCTCTTCTAGCTCCGATAAGGACTTTTGTACTGGAGAACACCTAAAATCAAATCTTAACAGGAATCAATCCCAAAAATCCTCCCACTCCTTTATCTGTGACCTTTATAACCTTTCCTACCAATCTTTATAAGAGGTTTAGACCTGACAAGTATAGATATAAATTTATATTTCGCATTTGATTATTATAGAAAAATGTGGACTTTACAAATTAATACTGCATCGAGAAACATATTGGGTCATGAACGTCCCACAGGACAAGCAGGTGCCAAAACAAGTACCAAATTGTCCTCTTTCACTTTCCACCAGTCCACCTTGACTCTTTATAAATAAAAGAACCAGTATTTTAAAAGATCGTTTAGAGCAGTTGACTTTAGAATTACAATTATTTATATTTGCAAGATAATATTAATGAGTAACATTGAAGTGAACATACGCACTAGGACAAAACCCCTCAGCAGTACCGAAACCTTAATCATTCGTGCATTGAGAAATTCCCGCTGAAAATTGCGAAAAAGACATTTTCAAAAGAGTAATCCGTCTTTTTTTTTCTCTCTCTTGGTGCCAAATAACTCATCGAAGTTAAATGATGTATTTGTTTAGCTCGTGCGACTGACAATCGGCAGCGATGTTAATCCAACTAACGATTACTTTTAAGCACTCAATTTTCCGATAAAGAAGATAGCATCGCCAAGAGAAGCGGAACATGATTAATGTTTTTTACCGGATATTTCCATTATTGCAACATTTTTCGCAAATTTATTTGTCTCTCTTGAGGGGGGGTCGATATACAAGCCACCCGGTCCATGTTAATGCATTGTGAAATTCAACTCTCATAATTCCAGCTCAAGGATTTCTCAAGTAAACTGGTCTTAAAATAACCCAAAAACAATTTAATACGAATCAGAAATGGCCCGTTTCAACAATTGTTCATCAAAATTAAATTTCTTTGAGTGAACTAAAACATTTCTGACATACGTAAAACCCAATATAGATCAAATTCGATTAAATGACGGAACTGTACGGACCATAAATATAATGCAAGTTTTGGGGCTTAAGGCCCACGCTATACCTTAGATTGGCAGGAAAAAGTCATTTTTCTTTTTAATTACACAAGCTTATTTAAATATTTTTACAAGTCACAACTGATTTATGTTTAATGGTTTTTCCTATTGCACCAAGCACTTAGGGACTGTGACAGTTTCGTTAGAATAAATATTTGAATAAGTCTATGTAAAGAATCCGGAAAACTGGAAATTATGGCACTTGAGATTTTCCGCCACTCTGGGATATCAACCTTGTGTTTTTTTGTTAGTAAACCAGGAAATTTGTTTGATTCTTCTATTTTATGCGGTTATGTCAGCCATGCCTTGTGTCCTATGAATAAAACATTACTTATTATATAACAACAAAAAAATAAAAAAAATATTATAATCTGTCTTTATAAGACTTATTTCCCAATGGATATTATCCTTCATAAAACCCATTTCCAAAACTTTAAAAATCTCGGTATTTCCCCATGTCATACCGTCGTTACTTGGTTCCTAAAACTCCTAAAACTTCTATAACCTATCCTTGAAAGCTTCAGAATCAATCTACCCCAACATTTTTGGTTCAGGTGACATCACTTTACCATTAAAAAGTTCCACTGGTTGGCAAACTCATTGCATCTTTCCTTGAGCGGGAGGGATGGTGCTCCGGTGTTTTGAAACATCGAGTATGTTCTGGAAATTCAAGGACATTCACTTATCACCCCAGCCTAAATTCCCCTTTCCGATAGACACTTTCATGTACGAATCAGACCACAGACCATCCTTTTACCACTTACACTATGCCGAAGCAGATGTTCCGCAAGGCTGCCTCCTTGATCCCACCCTCTATTGAATATAAACTGTAGACATTCCTGTGCTGTATGCAGACGTTACCATTATCCCTTCCCAATAGTGGTCTTCAGAAATCTCCAGGACCATCCCTCCCGTTTAGAACAATAGTTGAAGAA